TATGAAAAATTACCTATCCGGGGCTGGGCATGGTGGCTCATGCTTGTAATCCTAGCACTTTGGGAGGCCGAGGTGGGAGGTTTACTTGGGGTCAGTTCAAGACCAGCCCAAGCAACATAGGGAGACCCTGTCTCTACAAAAAAATAGAAAAATTAGCCAGGTATACCTGTAGTCCCAGCTACTAGAGAGGCTGAGGCAGGAGGATCCCTTGAGCTCAGGAGTTTGAGGTTGCTGTGAGCTATGATCACACCACTGCTCTCATGCTTGGGCAACAAAGCAAGACCTTGTCTCCAAAACAAACAAGCAAACAAACAAAAACCCAAAAATTACCTATGGGGTACAGTGGATACTACTCAGGTGATGGGTAGACCAAAAGCCCAGACTCCACCACTATGCAATATATACATGGAACAGAATTCAACTTCTACCCCATAAACCTATTTAAATAAAATAAAATAAACAAGATAGACCATATCCTTAGTCATAAAACAAACTTTAACAACAACTTTTGGAATCTGAAATAATACAAAGCATATTATCTGATTGTGGTAGGCAGAAGTCTAATGTGCTCCCCAAATTTCTGCCCTCTAATGTGGAACTGGAGCATGATGGATATACTCCTGTGATGAGGTTATGTGGTCCAGTTGACTTTAAGGAAGGAAGATGATCTGAGCATGCCTAGCCTCATCACATGAGGCCTTTAAATCTAGATGTAGAGGACAGAGACAGAGGAAGCAGGGACTCAAAGTGTGAGAGGGATTTGGAAGTGAGGGAAATTCTCCCTTAATGGCTTTAAAAGCAGAGAGGACCACACAGCACGGAATGCAGGTGGTGGCCTTTGGGGAAGCAGAGTAGATCCTGGCTGACAGCTAGCAATGAAAAGAGAATGGCCTCAGCCCCAAAACAGAAAAACAACAACAAAACCAAAAGCTTCTCTTCTAGCTATTTTGTAATATACTGTATCTCACTGTTTGTTAACCATTGTCACCCTACTGTGCAACAGAACACCATAACTCATTCCTCCTATCTAATTGTATGTTGGTACCTATTGACCAAACTCCATATCCCCCCCTTTGCCCCCCTTCCCAGTCTTTGGTAACTACTGTTCTACTCTGCTCCTATGGTGTCAACTCCTTTTAGAAATATTTTCTACGTGAGTGAGATCATGCAGTCTTAGTCTTTCTGTGCTATGGCTTATTTCACCTAACATGATGTCGTCCAAGTCCATCCATATTGCCGCAAATAGCAGAATTTCCTTCTTTTTTTTATGGCTGAATAATATATTTAGTGTGTATGTAACACATTTTCTTTTTTAAAATTATTTTATTTAGCTTTTTACTTTTTTTTTTCTCTGCAGATATGTGATCAACGTAGGTAAACCACATTTTCTTTATCCATTCATCCAGTGGTGGACAATTAGGTTGATTCCATATCTTTGCTATTGTCAATAGCACTGCAATAGACACAGGGTACAGATATCGCTTTGACATATTGATTTCATTTCCTTTGGCTATATACCCAGTAGTAGGATTTCTGAATTATATGGTCGTTCTATTTTTAATTTTTTGAGGAACCTCCATACAGTTTTCTGTAGTGGCTGTACTAATTTACAGTTCTACCAACAGTGTACAAATGTTCCCTTTTCTCTATATCCTCACCAACACTTCTTTGGGGGGAGCTTTTTATTACAGCCTTTAACGGGAGTGAGGTGGTATCTCACTGTGGGTTTTTTTTATTTTACCTTTTTTTAAATACAATCTATGTGGTTTTTTTTTTTTGTTTTTTTTTTGAGACAGAGTCTGGGTTTGTCACTCCGTCAGCCTAGCTCACAGCAACCTCAAATTCCTGGGCTCAGGCAATCTTCCTGCCTCAGCCTCCCAAGTAGCTGGGACTACAGGCATGCTCCACCATGCTCTGCTAATTTTTTCTATATATTTTAAGTTGTCTAGCTAATTTCTTTCCATTTTTTTAGTAGACACGAGGTCTCACTCTTGCTCAGGCTGGTCTCAAACTCCTGAGCTCAAATGATCATCTCGGCCTCCCAGAGTGCTAGGATTATAGGCGTGAGTCATCATGCCTGGACTCTCACTGTGGTTTTGACTTGCATTTCCCTGATGATTAGTGATATTGAGCATTTTTTCATGTACTTGTTCATCTGAATGTCTTCTACTGAGAAATGTCTATTACAATCTTTTGTCCATTTTAAAATCAGATTATTTGGTTTTTTGCTGCTAAATTGTAAGAAAAACCTCCAACGTGGAGTTTCTGACCTAACAGTAGGGAAAAAATTTGTCATCAATTTCTCTCCATCTTTGAAGAATCACCTCTAAATGTTCATGCCTGACTGTAGAAGATAACCTACAATGAATGAAATTCTCTCTCTCTTCTTCACTCATTGGATATATTACTGGTAAATAACATACCAGTGTGTCATTTTTGTTATTCCTCCTCCCTTGCAAGATTTATTTTCTTAATTGTGTTTGCCTAAGGGCATTTTATAAATTGGTTTGCATTTCTGAGTACAAACCTTTGGGGAAACCTGATAAAATGCAAATTGTTTATCTGTGTCTGGTTAATTCCATTAATCCCATAGTATCCCTTATTTTATTAGCTCTTCTCATGAGAGGGAAAGGAACCCATGCTAAGGGACGAAAGTTAAGAATTTTGGCAATTAAACTCAACCAAATTGATTGTAAATTCTTGGATATCGGAAGAAGGTCTACAAATGGTTTTTGGAATCCCTGTTTTGTGCAGGTCTATGATGAATAAACTTGTGAGCCTTAGCATCCTGGTTCGTTTGGCCCCTCAGTGATACTTTTAAGAAGTGTAGAAAGAAAGAGGAAGCAATGATTTGTCATCTGCAGTCAGAATAAAGGAAGTATAGGCATAACTGCTACAGAAAGACTTAAACATGAGGATGTCAACCTAAATAACTGACAAAGAGGAAAACTCTAAAAGGAAATAATATTTGTGAGTAGCATTATAATGGGAATATGTATGCCATAGTAAACTATGTGTGTACTCAAGGAGGTTGGATAAGGGGAATTTTTAAAAGGCAAAATGAAGAAGATTACATAAATTGTTCTGAAACAATAATCTTTGATTATAGGGTGGTATTAGACCAAGTTTGGACAGGTGGTTGCTAGGCAGATGTCTCCACATACGTATTTGTGTGTGTGTGTGTAATTTTGTGATAGCCTTTGCGCAATTTTGTGGTTTTTGCAGAGTCTTCTGTAGTAGTTCTTTTTTATTTTTATTTTAAAAATTTATTTATTTATTTTTAGAGATAGGGTTTCACCGACACGCGGGCTGGAGTGCAGTGGACCAATCATAGCTCACTGTAGCCTTGACCTCCTAGGCAGGAGGATTGTTTAAGCAATCCTCCCCACTTCAGCCTCCTGAGTAGCTAGGATTTTAATTTTTTTATTTGTAGAGATGGGATCTCGCTGTGTTGCCCAGGCTGGTCTTGAATCCTTGGGCTTAAGCAGTCTTCTCACCTTGGCCTCCCAAAGTGCTGGGATTACTAGCCTGAGCCACTACACCTGGCCTGTGATAGTTCTTGTTATTAAGCATACATGCACGAGAACCCTCCTTCATGGCCTTCCCTGGCTCCATTTGTCAGGGTCTTAACACAAGTGTCTCCGTTTTGATTCTGACAACTTTTACAAGGAATATGTTCTGGATATCTGGCTTGTGATCTACAGGGACAGCAATCTGAATTCCTCATTCTGGGATTGGGCTCTGTGTGGTGCTGGGACTAGTCTCAGGAATTAGTATGAGTCAGATACATCTCTAGAATCTATCAGGAGAGGCTCAACGTGCTTGGCCTCACCATTTTCTTGTTCAGCTAGTAATATCTTTACTTTTCTGTTTCCCAGTTTTCCCACTGATGTAATAGTCAGAGCTGTCTTTGTTCCTTTTAAATTCTCTAGGAGGTTGGTGACATATGAGAGAAAGGAAGATTTGCCCTCCATGTAAGGCAATTCTTATTAGTAGCAACCCTTCTGCCCCACAGTGTGCGGAGGGGCTACATATTGTGTCACTGTTTTTCTTCTTCAACAGACTCTTTGAAATAATTAGGACACACATTACTGTTGCCTTCTTGCAGACATGCAAACCAAACCCTGTGCTCTGGTGAAAAGATGGATAGTAGAAAGTAAGTCTAACTACTGTTCAGGTGCTCATTGATTTAATAGGAGCACAGGAGAGCCAGTTTACTGGGGCGTGGGGGTGGGGTCTCTACTACCTTATGTTTGCTTTTTTTTTTTTTGAGACAGTGTCTCACTCTGTTGCCCGGGCTAGAGTGCCATGGCATCAGCCTAGCTCACAGCAACTTCAAACTCCTGGGCTCAAGCGATCCTCCTGCCTCAGCCTCCCAAGTAGCTGGGACTACAGGCATGCGCCACCATGCCCGGCTAATTTTTTCTATATATATTTTTAGTTGGTCAATTAATTTCTTTCCTTTTTTAGTAGAGACGGGGCCTCGCTCTTGCTCAGGCTGGTCTCAAATTCCTGAGCTCAAGCGATCCTCCTGCCTTGGCCTCCAGAGTGCTAGGATTACAGGTGTGAGCAACCGAGCCCTGTGTCTGTTGTCTATTAAAGGCCCAATGGATTGATTATTGATGATCACTCTATTATTCACCTGATGTTATCACACTACTAAAAAATGATGATCAATAAATTACCTTAGATAATTCAGATCACAGTAAAGACTATGAATGGTCCTTCACTACCCTGGAAGAAATTGTCGTTGTATCGCTTCTCGGCCTTTTGGCTAAGATCAAGAAATTGTCCTTGTATCTAAATTCAGGGCTCCCTTTTAACCCCTTAGGGACACCCGTCAACTATCTTAAACTACATCTCCCATCATGCAACGGGGAAACTTCTGCTTGAACTGACGGGACTTCAAGCCAATCCAATGCCAGATCTTTCACTCAGCGACCTATTGGCTCCGGGTGAAGGCGGGACTCCCAGTTGCTAGGTTGGTACCCTTTCCGGAAGTGGTTGTTGGCCGCTGCAGGGCAACACCCCGGCGTCCCTGGAAGCGGGGAGCCGGGGTGGGGCTGGGGAAACTGCGCAGACCCCGGAGCGGTCGCCCAGAACCTCCTGGGGTAGGGGACAGGTGAGGACGTCCTCGAGGGGGGAGTGGGGTGGCGGGGAAAGGGTGGTTGCGGGGGAGCTGAGGCACAGTCGTGTGCCAGCTAGCGGGATGTGCACGAGTGTGGGCGGGAACTGAGGGCAGAAGTGGAGAAGGAGCCGCCAGACGCGGGTGCCTCAATTTGTAATCTCACCTCGCCCGGCTCCTGAGTGCGCGGCCGGGGCGCTGGGCTGGGGACCTGGCGGGTGGGTGCGCGGCGAGCCGGGGCGCGCATGCTAGGGCCACTGGGCACCGGGTGAACTCGCTGGCGCGCTCGTTCACTTGTCCTGTTCATAGTTAGCGTGTGAGGCCGGGCCTTCTGAACCCTGCTTGAATGTTCTCTCGTGGGAAGCTCCCCCCATGTCCCAATCTGGGGCTAGCCCAGCCTTATACCACCGTGTGGTGAGCTGGGAAGTTGGGAAGTTTTCTCCTTTTCTCGCTTTGATTACAGCTATCTCCCTCTCTATCTGGGACCGCTCTCTTCACTTGGCCTCTACGACTTCCTCTCTCCTGGTGCTCCTAATTCAGCCCTTTGCAGGCCCCTCCTTTCTGCTCACCACGCTCCATCTCTGGGTGATTTCACCCCATGTTTCAGTTACCATCTATTCAGCGGTGACTCCCAAGATACTCTTCAGCCAGACCTCTTTCCTAGCTCAGACCTCCTTGCTGTCATTTCCGCCCTTCCTTGCTCCCCGGGATCTGTTTCTCTTCTTGTATGTCCTATCCCAGTGAAAGACTTCACTGTTCACTCAGTGAGCCAGGACTACACCTGGAATTCATTAATCTAATACATGCAGCAAACATTTTGTTGGAGTGGGGAACCTGCAGCCTTGGGGCTACATGCGGCCTTCTGGATTCTTGAGTGCGGCCTTTTGAATCCAAATTTTACAGAATGAATCCTTTTATTAAAAGGGGTGCAGCAGTGAGAGATGAAGCTTTTCTTGCCTCCTTTGATGCTTAAGAAAGAACAATCTTGAAATTAGAAGGCCACAGGTTCCCCCAGAATCTAGCCCTTCCTTTCTGTTTTCACAGCCAGTGACTTAGTTCATAATTTCTGGCTGATGCTTTCAGGGTAACTTCCTAAGTGGTCTCTCTGCTTTAGTTCTTGCCCTTCTCTTATTAGTTCTTAACACAGCTGTCAGAATCGTCTTTCTTTCTTATTAATTAATTAGAGACAGGGTCTCACTGTGTTATCCAGGGTGGAGTGCAGTGGCTATTCACTGCAGTCTTGAACTTCTGGCCTCAAGCAATCCTCCTGCCTCAGTCTCTTGAGTATCTAGGACTACAGTGCATGCCACTGTGCCCAGGTAGAATCATCTTTATAAACCACAAATCGAATCATGCCAGTCTCCATTGTGAAATCCTGTGATGGCCTCTCTTCATATACAGGATAGAGCCTCATTCCTTCCAGGCACTTTATAATATGTTCTTGCCTTCCATTCTAGAGCTCTCTCCTGCTGCTCCTTCCACTGTCCCTTGTACTCTCATCATGTCAGAGTGGGTAAGCGTTCCGGCTTTAGAGTCAGATGGATGTGGATGTGTGCATATTCTGCTGTGCCATTTACTAGCTGTGAAACCTTGGGCAAGTTTTTTTGTTTTTTTTTAACCTTGCTAAGCCTCAGTTTCCTTATTTGAAAAATGAGAGTAATAATCTCTACCTAACTGAGAGGATGAGGCAAGATGATGTATATAAGCACTTAGTACAGTTCCTGGCACTTAAGAAGTATTCAGTTACTATATGCTTTTATTGTCATAATTAATTCACTGCACCCCCCCTACACTTTACTGCCTCTTTGGCCTCCCAGCTAGGCTGAGCTCGAGTTCAGGGCCATGTGTAATCAGGTGTGTAGCTCTAACACATAGCACAGTGCCTGACACATTATAAGTATTCAGTAGGTAATTGTTGAATATCTGAATGGCCTTAACTTTTTTTTTTTTTTTTTTTAGACAGAGTCTCACTCTGTTGCCCAGGCTAGAGTGCTGTGGTGTCAGCCTAGCTCACAGCAATCTCAAACTCCTGGGCTCAAGTGATCCTCCTGCCCCAGCCTCCTGAGTAGCTGGGACTACAGGCATGTGCCACCATGCCTGGCTAATTTTTTCTCTCTCTATATTTTTTAGTTGGCTAATTAATTTCTTTCTATTTTTTTTTTTTTTAGTAGAGACGGCGTCTTGCTCAGGCTGGTTTTGAACTACTGACCTTGAGCGATCCACCCACCTCGGCGTGAGCCACCACACCCAGCCCGAATGGCCTTAACTTATATTCCCCGGTGTTGGGCCTGTCCACTGGAGCAATAAGCCCTTTTAATATGTGAATAAGCCCTTTAAATATGTAAATAGTAATAATATATAATAGTAATGTTTAACATTTATTGAGTTCTTAACTATGTTTCAAGCACTTTTCCTGTATTGTACCATTTAATCCTCAACACTTTGAGATAGACATTGTTACTATCCCCATTTTATAGATGAGAAAACTGAGGCAACCTCTCCTAGCTAGTAAGGGTCAGAGCTAGGATTCAAAGCCAAGAATGCCCTGTGCTCATTACCACTGCATTATCAACTCTAATGTCTTCTACCCTCTCCCTAGTGCCTTCTCCAGTAAATGTTTTCTGTGGTGAACCTTCTTTATAATTGTTGGAGTAGGGTGGAGGAAATAAATCTGTAGGGAGCCCTAATTATGCATATGAGTGTATGTGCTCTGTTAGTGTGCAGGTGTGCAACATTCTCTGGCTGTCTGACAAAGCAGAGAGGAGAATAGCCACGATATTGAAGGATTGGGAAGCAATGATGTATACTGAATAGAAGGGAACTGGGAATGCTTAGCTTAGCTAGAGAATCACTGGGTACTTTCCATAGAGCAGAGGGCAGAACTCGACAAATCAGGGGCCGTATCTTAGAAACTGATTATTGGCTTAGTATTAGAAAGACCTTTCTAATAGCAAGCATTATCTAATTATGGAATTGACAATAACATCAGTAATAATAGCTAAATTTATTTAACATTTTCTATATACCAGGGACTATGCTAAGCACTTTACCAGTATTATCTCATTCCACCCTCGAACAGCCTTTTAAAATAGGTTATCATGATTGTTTGAATTGTGCTGCTGAGGTTATTGAGGCTGAGAGAGGTGAGGTGCCTTGCCGAAGGTCATATAGCTAGTAAGTGAGAGAGTGAGGATTTGAATCCAAGTTTTCTGTCTCCAAAGTTGGTGCTTTGACCACTGTGCCACCTGTCACTTAAAGCACAGAGAAGGAAAATTTAGCATGGGATGGGAAGTTGGACCAAAGCTATGTGGGCTTTTGCAGCTCCTGAGATTTCCTTGGATCTGTGTTAGTGGTTTACAGCAGTAACTGAGCTCCTGCAGTTTACATACGCTTATTTTAGGCATGGTTGGAAAATCCAAGAGGAAGAGGCATGGCTCTCAAAAGTTTGTGGTTTAACAGAAGAGGTAGAACATGTTCTCATGAAAAAAGTAATACTGTGAGAACTATGCCTATGAACACATGAAATTTGCATGCTCAGTGCTAAGGTAATTCTGGGTTGACAGGAGAGGATGAGGTTAGCTGGGAAGACTTCCTGGAGGAGAAGCATGAGCCACTTACTTTTTGCTAGATTCTGGGATAGGCAGGAGATGGATGAGTACACTAGGATGATCCTCCCCCTCTATGGCTCATAGAGGGTCTCAGGTCAGGTAGCAAGTAGATCTCATCAGGTTTCATCTGATCTATTGGTAACCACTATATGGGGTATGATGTTGAGGGTCCTGAGGCCATGTTTAGGGTGCCATGATTGACTAGTGAGGTCCCTCATGGTTGCAAACCTGGAGGAAAATATTAAGGCATGTGCCATTTATTTGCCATAGCAGACCTAAGGGTTGCATTTTTAGACTTCTCATCCTCTCTGTTATCACTCTAACTCAGGTTACTGCTATCTCTCACCTATCCTGTCTCATGATTTCCTACCTCATCTCCCTACGGCTACTCTGATTTTCTTTTTTCCAGTTTGGCCTCCATTCTAGTCTGTGCTCCCAATGGCTGCTGGTGTGATTCTTCAAAGCCTATATCTGGAACAATTGCTGCCTGGCTTCCAGTTCTCCTATGATAAAGGCCAAGGCCTTGGCATGGCCTGGCTCCCACTCACCTCCCAATATCATCTCCAACTATGCTGCTTTTTGGTTAGTGTTGCTACCTGTTGAAGGGCCTTTGCACATACTGCTTCTTCTGTTAGACCGTGGTTTCCTTTTCTGTTTATCTAGGGAATACCTCTTCATCCTTCAGTTCTCAGCGCAGGCATTGTCTAAATTGGGCTCATTTCCTTCAGAGGTCTTCCCTAAATTGTAATTATACATTTATCTGTGACTGTTTGATTGGTTTGTTTCCCTTCCTCACTAGACTTTAGCTTAAGGGGAGTAGCAGGTGAATGTGTTTTTAATCACCGTTGCATCTCTGTGCGTAGAAATAAATAATCTTGGTAGGTGCTAGTAAATATCCCTTGAATGAGTAAGTGGTCTCTAGTAGCCATTAAATAGATACGATTTTTCTTCCTACATTCCTCTTAACTGCAACTCCTTGCCCTTTTAGCCTTGTCCTTACATCTTTTCTGGAACCAGGTGAGGCAAGGAAAGAATACAGCCCACCTATATTTTAATTTTTTTCTGGCAGAAGATTTATTTGAAATTTTGATGTTCCATGAAGTCAGATTTTCCAGGTTTTCCAGATCTTTAAATAGTTAAATATAGATTATTATGTATATTACTAATTAGGTTTTTTGCCATGAGGACAGAGAATGTACCTGTCCTGTGCTTTCTGCAGATGGGATGTATTTATGCAGAATTTCTCAAATGCAGAATTTCTAAAATTCTCTGAGATGATTAAGACAATGCCTTTGTATAGAGCACATATTTGATAAATGTTTGTTCACACTTATGTTCAGGCTACTATTGAGTCCCTCTGCCATGGATCCTTTCCTTTTCTTTTTTCCTTCTCTCCCTAAGAAGATTAAGGATTCGGGTGACCCTTTAAGCCACAAGGCATTGGGCCACATCTGCCACCGTGGTTCCTTGTCCTTTTCTGCTCTGCTTTTTAGAGTCAGCGATGGTCAGGCCCTCCTTGTGTCTGACTATGTGTGTAGAGGTGTGAGCATTATGTCCACAGGATGTTACGGGTTCTTCTTAGGGTCAGGAGCAGAGTCCCACTTCACCTTATGTACTGCAGAGAAGAATCCTGTTTCCTTTGTGCTTCTCTTCCTGCTTGGAGGTGGCATGGTGGGAATGAGAGGGGGCAGAGTCTTGCTCCCTTGGGGTCCAGTGGACTGACAAAGCTGAGGGAATGATGTCTTGTGAGTCCTAAGGCAGGATACCTCTGTTGTCCACCTGCCAGCTGTCATGGTACAGAGAGGGGGCCACAGTAACTAATGGTCCTTGATGGATCCTTTGTCACTTGACTGCTCTCTCTGTGGATCTTGAAATAGATTCAGAGCCACCAGATACAGCCATTTCCTGAGCATTATTTCCAGGCCAGGTCCTGACCTCCTTTTTGATGGCTGGGTCTTTCTGGTTGAAGAGTGCTTTTTCATGCCTGCTGCTTGAAACAGTGACAGTTTCTGAAGAAGTGAAGACAGGAGAGGTTAGGACCCGTGGCTCCAGACTCCTGTTGGTCACATCTGGTGTGGCTGACTCCTCTGCAGGTGGGGGAGATGCCCTGAGCAGGGCTGTCCATGGCAGCCATTTTACAGGGCAGATAGTCTCTGCTTCATCAGGCTTCATCGTGGGAGCTACCAAAGGGAGAGTTGGTGGGATCTGGGGGTCTTGATGTAGTGGTGGGACTAGGGGTGGAAGACAGGAACAGTTCTAGAACTACACCAGCTTGTCAGTTAAACAATTTGGCAGCTGCCTACTTGCTGTGTCCTCATGTGGTGCAGAGAGAGAGCTCTGGTCTCTCTTCCTCTTCTTATGAGGACACTAATTCTATTAGGTCAAGGACCCATCCTCATGTCCTCTAACTTTACCTCCTAGAGACCCTATATCCAGATCCAGTCACATTGTGGGTAGGGCTTCAGTGTGTGACTTTTGGAGGGACAAAATCTAGCCCATTGTAGCTCCTTTCCACTCTTTTTCCTTATATCCTTGTCCTACTAAGCCTAATGTCACTCTGTCCATTGTATCTGTCCCTTCTCCATTCCCACTGCTTCTGCCCTAGTTTAAGCCCTCATCATCTTTCCCCTGGACAGCAGCTTCCTTGAGTGGTTTTCCTGATACCAGTCTCTCATTTCTCCAGTCAAGCCATGCCAGTCCTTCCAGAGTTCTTACCCTAAAAAAAAAGGCGACTCTGTGATATTTTCTTCCACCAGAGCCCTCAGTGAGTGATTCCTTTCTGCTACAGGGCAGGGTCGAGGCTCTTTAGCATGGTCTACAAGACCAGCCCAGTCTGGCACTCCAGAACAGCTGTTTGCATGTGATGCTTCCTCTGTCTAGAACGCTTTTCTTCACCATCAGAATTCTTGTTAGCCTTCTTTCATCCCTTCGGGGGAATTTGTTGTTCCTATCTTAGTATTCCTAGGGCAGGTTTTCCCCTTCTGCCTTCTAATACTGTTGATGCGCAAGCTCCCTTCATTGGATTGTGAGCTCCCTGCAGGCACTGTTGGGTGTAAACAGGGACATCCAAACGGATACGGTTGAGATGGTATGCCTGTGCTCCAGGGTGTGCTGGCATACAGGGGTCTGTGTGCTGCTGAGTATTTTGGTGACACCAGGGTTTTCTGTTGGTGCTTCTGTACTGTAATTCTTTCTCCTATTTGGGGGTGGGGATATGAAGCCAAACTCTTGACAGACCCAGGCTTTCAGTCGTCTATGGTTCAGAGTGTTGCCTTACCTGGATCCAGAAAAGATGTGTCTCAGGGAACTTTCCCAGGTGCAGAGCCTGAGTTCTGAGCTTTGGTCCTACCACCCTACACTGTCTCTGGAGCCTGGAGAGTCCCTGGTGAAGTTGGCTTGTAGGGTCTGGTTTGACTGAGATGCTCCATGATCCAGCTCCAGCTCTTCTCCTTTTAAGCTGGGTCACTAATTTTCTCTTTGGGTGGGGGTGTCTGCGATCTAGGTGTTTGAGCCCAGACCAATCATGGCCGGACGACCAATCCGCATAGGAGACCAGCTGGTCCTGGAGGAAAATTATGATGAGACCTACATTCCCAGTGAGCAAGGTAAGAGGCCAGGGAAGAGGCCTGTGGTGTATTGTATCAGTTCTTTGAGGGCAGAGATTATGTCTGGTTTATTTTTGTACTTTCAATGCAAAGTATGGTACATGTACAGGGCTGCTTAGTAAATTTGGGTTAGATTTTAGGTTGGCAAACTTTATAGCCTGTGGGCCTACTTTGGCCTGTTGCCTGTTTTCATAAATAAACTTTTTTTGGAAAACAGCCATGCTTATTTGTTTATGTATTGTCTATGTCTGCTTTTATGCTTCAACAGCACAGTTGAGTAGTTGTGACAGAGACTGTATGACCCACAAAGCTTAAAATATTTATTACTGTCTGACTCTTTATGGAAAAAGTTTGCTGACTTTGGGTTAGATCAATGATTAGTTTTAAATGGAAATACAGTAAGGGATATCATGAAATACAATGTGTCCTGAGACCAGGGGAAACCCAATTTCTTAAGAGCAAACTTAAAGCAGTGTTTTTTAAAAAATAATATTAATAACTATAATATTTTTTTCCACTGGAGGCCAGATCTGAATTGACTTAATTTATTGAGTGCTACTATGTGCCTATGTCTGTTTTGAGAACTTTACATGTATTACCTTTTCAACCCACATAGCAACTCCCTCAATTTTATAGATGAGGACACCGAGGCACAGAAAGATTAAGTAACTTTCCTATAGTTACACAGTTTTACTAAGTGGCCCAGCTAGGATTTGCCCCCAGGTATTTTAACTCCAAGGCCTGCATTTTGAAGCACTCAGTTATTTTTTTGGAGTGAACATTTTTTCATGCTGGGCGCGGTGGCTCATGCCTGTAATCCTAGCACTCTGGGAGGCTGAGGCGGGAGGATCGCTCAAGGTCAGGAGTTCAAAACCAGCCTGAGCAAGAGTGAGACTCCATCTCTACTATAAATAGAAAGAAATTAAATTGGACAACAACAACAAAAAATATATATATATATAAAAAATTAGCCGGGCATGGTGGTGCATGCCTGTAGTCCCAGCTACTTGGGAGGCTGAGGCAGGAGGATCACTTGAGCCCAGGAGTTTGAGGTTGCTGTGAGCTAGGCTGATGTCATGGCACTCTAGCTAGGGCAACAGAGTAAGGCTCTGTCTCAAAAAAAAAAAAAAAAAGAAAATTTCTTCAAAAATCTGATGAGTTATAGATTTGGACATACAAAATTTACTTACAATTCACGTAATTAGTGGCCCTGTTTGAGAGCGAGGTCATGATTCTTGCACCTCCAGGAATACGTGGATCCCACATTAAATCCTGGACTTTGCTTATAGCATGGAGTGTTTGTTTTCATGTAGAAGCTTTTTTTTATTTTTACATTAAATCTATCAGTCCACTCTCATATGGCTTCTGAATTATGTAGTATAGTTAGAAAAGCATTCCCACCTCCAAGGATAAAATAATTATCTAATGTTTTCTTCTAGTTTTATTTCCACAACATTAATGGATTAGCTCATCTTCCCACATAGGCAGCATCCAAACCCACTGATTTCAAACACCACTACTGTAATCTTAAATTACTGAGACCACATTATAAATTGTAATATCTAGTAGGGCTGAAATGCCCTCTTGCTCTTTTTTTTTTCTTTTCTTTCTTTCTTTTCTGTTTTTCAAGATAGGGGTTCACTCTGTTGTCTGGGCTAGAGTGCAATGACGTCATCATAGCTGACAGCAGCCTCAAACTCTTGGGCTCAAGTGATCCTCCTGCCTCAGCCTTCCTGAGAAGCTGGGACTATAGGTATACACTACCATGCCTGGCTAATATTTTAAAAAAATTTTTATAGAGACAACAGGCTCTTGCTAAGTTGCCCAGGCTGGTCTAAAACTCCTAGCCTCAGGCAGTCCTCCTGCCTTGGCCTCCCAAAGTGCTGAGATTACAGGCATGAGCCCCTATGCTCAGCCTTGCTCTTCTTTTTTCAGTTTCCTTAGCTATCTTGTTTGTTTTATCTTCCTGTGAACTTTAAAATAACCTTGTCAAGTTCTGTGGAGGGCTGTGTATGGGGGAACTGTTGGTATTTGGGAAAAATTGTGTTAAATATTTAAATTAACTTAGGGAAGACTGACCTCTCTATGAAAGTAAGTCTCTCTAAATTTTCTACTGAGATAACTCATGTTGGTGATGCCTTTCTGCCTTAGCTATCACCAGCTTAAGCATTGATGTCCCTTGGTTGTTTATTTCATCATTCCTGGGGCTCTGGTGACATGTTCCAATGGTCATCTCATCTGTCTTTTTTCCCTCTATATGAGATAGCTCTTGACTTAGTACATATGTCTTTCCTGTTCCTTCAGTTCTCTGGCAAAAAAGCTCTTCTAAATGCTTGATTCCAGAAAGTACAACAACAGTATCGGAGTCTATAACATATAGCAAAACTGATCATGGAAGAGAGGTTTCAGTAGGTGGTGAAAAAGTCTGCCTTAGTTTCATCTACTTTCTCAGCTCAGATAGCTCCCTGCCTCCAGGCAGAACCAGTCACTGCCTTCTCTCTGCTCCCACAGCACACGGGACATGTCTCCATTACGGCATGTATCACCTGGGTCCTACTCTATTTGTATGTTTGCAAGGTCATCAGGGAGCTTAGTCATCAGCAGTTGTTCAGTACATGCTTGTTGACTGAATGACAAGTGCTTTTACACCATGCTTTTGCAAATCTTGGGAGAGCTGACATCCTTCCGGTAAGGCTGCACTCGTCCTGCATGGTTTCTGGCTGTGGCTGTCGGGTTTCTTCCCAAGGCCCCTGCCACGATGAAGTACTGGTTTTATTTATTTATTTTTTTGCCTTTTTTATAATTGCATTCAGATTATATTCCTTTTCCCTCCCCCCCCCTTGTTTCCCCCAGAGATGGGGTCTTGCTTGTTGTCCAGGGTAGAATGTAGTGGTATGATCATAGCTCACTGCAGCCTCGAACTCCTCAGCTCAAGCAATCCTCCTGTCTCAGCCTCCTGAGGTAGCTGGAATTATAGGTGCAAGCCACTGTGCCTGGTTTAGATTACATTCTTTTTTTTTAAGGCAAGCACAAAAATGAGATTTATTGAGGAGAGAAAGATAGGATTATAGGGCAAGAGCAAGATACAGATTTACAGAGCATGGTAGATACACCACAGATGATGACCAGACCCATTGTCGCAGCAGGGTAAGCAAAAGGAAGGGCAAAGTGAGAGCGATTATACTCTTGTAGTATGGAGATAGCATGCCTAGATTCAAGTGTGCCATTTATAAATTGCAATGTAAGTAAATAGTTATATATGTTTATTATTTATATTTAAAGAAATAATGTTTTCTTACTGAAGATAATTTAGAAAGTAAAAGCAAAGTAGAGAAAATATTGTAATTTTTTTCTTCTTTTCATCCCTCTTACCCCTCATCTCTCTTACCTTCCCACCTCTGCCTCTCCTTGCAGAAATTTTTGAGTTTGCCAGAGAGATTGGTATTGATCCCATCAAGGAACCAGAACTGATGTGGCTGGCGAGGGAGGGCATTGTGGCCCCACTACCTGTGGAGTGGAAACCCTGGTAAGTCAGCAGAGGGTGTGGCCCACTGACTTGGCCTTTCAGAGAATCTGTTTTAACCAGCCGCTTTTGCAAACCTGACCCGCACTGTCAGGGGCAGCTCTGTGTCATTCCTCTGCTACCCGACATTTCAGGCCTGTGCATAGGCTGACTGGATGGTCGCTATGGCATGGTTCAGCCTTGTGTCCAAGTTCACACAGCAGCTGCTGCCCTGTGTCAGGTCCTCTAGCACCAGCATCTGTTTCGGATGTGTTGAGGAGGTATTGTTACTCCTTGCATCTCCTTGCAGACTGATATCGAAAGTGACATTGTATCCCCTTAGTATGTCCAGGTGGATGCTGGTGCTAAAGAGGTTTGTAGGTGAGGCTACACATACTGGTGAAGGTTTTTTTTTATTTGTAATTTTTCACTTTATTCTTTCTTTATTTTTATTTTTATTTTTTTTAATTTGAGACAGAGTCTCGCTTTGTTGCACAGGCTAGAGTGAGTGCCATGGCGTCAGCCTAGCTCACAGCAACCTCAAACTCCTGGCTCAAGCAGTCCTCCTGCCTCAGCCTCCCAAGTAGCTGAGACTACAGGCATTCGCCACCATGCCCGGCTAATTTTTTGTATATATATTAGTTGGCCAATTAATTTCTTTCTATTTATAGTAGAGACGGGGTCTCGCTCTTGCTCAGGCTGGTTTACTCCTGACCTCGAGCAATCCGCCCGCCTCAGCCTCCCAGAGAGCTAGGATTACAGGCGTGAGCCACGGCGCCCGGCTGTATTCTTTCTTTATTTTTAAAAAATTTTTTTTATTGCTTTCCGTCCTAGTTTGTCCTACTGGTGAAGGTTTTTTTGTCTGCCTTGGGAACACAATGGCTCTGCCATCCCTGAATTCATGTAACCTATTCATGAATAGGTTCCATATTCGTGGATTCATTCATATTTTCAATTTCAGTTAGAGCTCTTTGAATTGCAAGGGGCAATGACTCACTAGGGTCATCTCAGGGAAACAAAGGCTTATGGTGAGGAAAGGGAGAGTGGCCAAGGTGGGGAGGCTAAAAGCTAAAAGGAGCCACAGTCATTGCTGCCATCTCCCTCCTTCTGAAGACCACATTGTCTCCCACTCATGGTAACACCATTGTCTGAATTCTCTGTGTCTGCTCTTGAACTTCCTCTTTCTCATCACATGCGTAGAGCACTTACCAAGTTATCTCCCTAAAGTGAATGATTTCTTGTCTATCCCAAACTGGTCCCCAGATGTCTTAGGGGTCCCCTCTTTTGCTGGTTTTATGGACAAGGTGTAATCGCCTTGTTCTTGCCCATATCATTCACTGTGTTGGCCATCCTTCAAAGTGACTACAGTGGTTGCCTTACTCTTTCTTCTCAGACAAAGAATCCTATTCCTTTAGCTTTTCCTCACATGGCAGGCTCCATATGGTCATGATCTCTTTCGCTGCCTTTCCTTGGACCTTCTCCAGTTTCATGAGACCTTTCTTGTAGTAAATCCATCAGCACTTTATACATGTGCTGAGAACTCATAGTTGTGTTTGTAGGGCACGTTTATAGGATAGTGGTTTCAGTTTCTAATCCCCACTTTGACGGAAGGTAGGAAACTATCATTGGTTATGGGGCCAGCTGTGTGCCAGGCTTGGTGCCAGCTGCCTTCATGTACCTGCTAGTGGTGGCTAATACTCCCTGTCTTATAAGGACAGTGTGAACTATTTTACACTTTTTAAAATAATGTAAGTCATTAAAACTTACAGATGCATGTCATGTTTTACCATGCTCCTTTTCCCAAGGGTACTTTATTATTTACTGGTAAATTTCTTCCAGACCTTTTAGAACACACACCCTTCCCCCCTACATGGTTGGTTTTTTTAAACGTAAGTGCCATATTATATACACTGTTCTTTAATATCCGTTTGTGCAGGTCTATCTTATTCTTTTATCAGCTGTATACTTTTTCATATATAAATGTACCATAGTTTTTTATTTTTATTTATTTTTTATTTTATTTTATTTTAATTTTTTTTTTGACGGAGTATTGCTTTGTGTTGCCCAGGCTAGAGGAGTGCTGGTGGCATCAGCCTAGCTACAGCAACCTCAAACCCTGGGGCTCAAGTCAACCTCCCTGCCTCGGCCCCCAACGTAGCTGGGACTATAGGCATTGCACCACCATGGCCCCAGCTAATTTTTCTCTATATATATAGTTGGCACAATTTAATTTCTTTCTATTTATAGTAAAGACGGGATCTCGCTCTTGTCAGGCGGTTTTCGAACTCCTGACTCAAGTATCTACCACCTCAGCTTGCCCAGGAGTGTTAGATTTACAGGTGTGGCCCTACTGGATTGTTGTCGGTTTTTAAAATCTTGATTTGTTTGATTACTGTTATATTGAAGGATATTTAGATATTTTCCAAATTCATTTGTATGTGAGGGTTTGTTTCTGGATTCTCTGTTCTCTTCCGTTGATCTATTTGTCTACCTTTATACCGTTACTATTCTATCTTGATTAATGTAGCTTTATAATAAACCTTGAAATAATTTAGGGTAAATTCTCCAACCTTGTTCTGCATTTTCAAAGTCATATTCTAGGTTTTTTTTATTTCCACATATTTTAAAATTAGCTTGTCAGTTTCTTATTAGGATTTCGATTGTAATTGCATTGAATGTATAAATCAGTTTGAGGAAATTGATATCTTTATTTTATTTTTTTTTATAAAAATTTTATTTTAATTTTTAATTTAAAAATTTTTTCTTAGACAGAGTCTCACTTTGGCCCGACTACCAAGTCGGTGCGTGGATCGCCTCGTCACATGCACTCAAATCTGGGCAAGCATCTCCTGCCTCGCCTCTGAGTGGCTGGGATATACAGGCATGTGCCACATGCCTGGTAATTTATTTACTATATATTCATGTTGGCCCAATAATTTCTTCTATTTTTAGTAGAGAACGGGGTCTCGCTCTTGCTCAGGCTGGTCTCGAACTCCTGAACTCAAACGATTCACCTGCCTCGGCCTCCCAGAGAGCTAGGATTACAGGCGTGAGCCACCGCGCCTGGCTTAAAAATTTAATTTTAATTTTTTTTTTATTTAAAACCTTTTGTCCAGGAGAAAATTGATCTCTTGAACAATACTGAGTCTTTCAACTCATGAACACAGTCTATTTCCATTTACATATTTAGATTTCTTTTTTCTTTTTTTCTTTTTTAAGAGATGGGTTCTTGCTCTGTTGCCCAGGCAGGAGTGCAGTGGCTTGATTGTAGCTCACATCAGCCTCAAACTTCTAGGCTCATGTGATCCTCCTGTATCAGCCTCCTGAGTAGCTGGGACTACAGGTGCTGCATTCCATCATACCCAGCTAATTTTTGTATTTTTTTTTGTAGAGACAGGGTCTTACTATGGTGCTCAGACTGGTCTTGAACTCCTGACTTCAAGCCATCCTCTCATTGTATGTTTCTTCAGAAAAAATTTCCAGAATTTGAATTGGTATATTAAAGGTTGTGCAGAATTTAAGTATTGTTAGTTAATAATTAATTGTTGTTAATTGTTAGTTAATAAATTAATTTCCATTAAAGTTTAGCAATCCCAACAACACATATGATTGTTCATTTAGAAATATTATCAATTAAAAAATTGTCAATCTAAAACTATTGTCATTCTAAGGACAAGAAATTATACCTGATTGTTTTTTTTTTTGAGACAGAGTCTCACTTTGTTGCCCAGGCTAGAGTGAGTGCCGTGGCGTCAGCCTGGCTCACAGCAACCTCAATCTCCGGGGCTCAGTGATCCTACTGCCTCAGCCTCCCGAGTAGCTGGGACTACAGGCATGTGCCACTATGCCCGGCTAATATTTTGTATATATATTTTTAGTTGGCCAATTAATTTATTTCTATTTTTGGTAGAGACAGGGTCTCGCTCAGGCTGATTTTGAACTCCTGACCTTGAGCAATCCGCCTGCCTCGGCCTCCCAAAGTGCTAGGATTACAGGTGTGAGCCACCATGCCCGGCTTACCTGATTGTTTTAATTGGAATCCCCAAGTTGTTCATAGAATTGAATTGGCCATCTTTTGGCCATTTGTTTATATTTTGTGATTTGTTTGTTTATATCTTTTGCCTTTTTGTCTATTGGATTGCTTGTCTTTTTATTTTGTTAAGGTGGTGGAACTCTTTGATTATTCTGGGTATTAATCTTATTACTATTATTTCTACTATTTTCTCCCATTCTCATGTGTTTTAATTTTGTTTATGCTTTCTTTTATCATACTGAGGTAAAATTTTTTTGCATTTTTTTATCGTGGTAAAATATACATATACAATTTTATAACGTAAAATTTATCATTTTAACCATTTTTAGTGTACAGTTCAGCAGTATTAAGTACATTCATAATGTTATGCAACCATCACTACTATCCATCTCCAGAATTCTTCATCTTGCAAACTGAAACTCTGTCCATATTAAACACTAACTTCCCATTTTCCCCTCTCCTCAGTCTCTGGCAACCACCATTCTCCTTTCTGTCTCTATGAATTTGCCTGGTAAAGGTATTTCATGTAAGTGGAATCATACAATATTTGTCCTTTTGTGTCTGGCTTCTTTCACTTAGCATAATGTTGTCAAGGTTCATCCATGTTGTAGCATGTGAAAGAATTTAATTCTTTGTCAAGGCTGAATAATATTCCATTGTATGTGTATATACCTCATTCTATTTATTCATTCATCTGTCAGTGGAGATTTGGGTTGTTAACACCTTCTGGCTATTGTGAATAATGCTACTGTGGACATTGGTGTACAAATATGCGTTTGAATCCCTACTTTGAATTCTTTTTATTTTTTTTTTTGAGACAGAGTTTTGCTCTATTGTCCAGACTAGGGTGCTGTGGCGTCAGCCTACCTCACGGCAACCTCAAACTCTTGGGCTCAAGTGATCCTGCTGCCTCAGCCTCCCGAGTACCTGGGACTACAGGCACATGCCACCATGCCTGGCTAATTTTTTGTATTTTTTTTTTAGTGCCTAGCTATATTTTTTTTTTTCTATTTTTAGTAAAGATGGTGTCTCACTCTTGCTTAGGCTGGTCTCTAACTCCTGAGTTCAACCAATCTTCCCGCCTGAGCCTCCCAGAGTGCTAGGGTTATAGGCGTGAGCCACCGGGGCTGGCCCCTACTTTCATTTCTTTTGGGTATGTACCCAGAAGTAGAATTGCTGGGTTATGTGGTAATTCTGTGTCTAATTTTTTTTAGGAACTGCTGTACTGTTTTCAACAGTGGCTGTACCATTTTATATTCCCACCAGCAATGCACAAGGCTTCCAATTTCTCCACATCCTAGCTAACACTTGTTATTTTTTGGGTTTGTGATAATAGTCATGCTGATGGGTGTGAAATGGTATTTCACTATAGTTTTGATTTGCCTTTCTGTAATGTTTAGTGATGTTGAACATCTTTTTATGTGCTTATTTGTCATTTGAATATCTTCTATCATTGTCTTTATTCACCCCTGATATTTTTCTGTTTCTGATCATTTTCTCTTTTATTTGAATTGAAATGCAGCTTGTCAAGTTTCAAAAGGAGCTTGATTGGGATTATATTGGATTTATACATTAATTTTAGGATTATTGGCATCTTTGTAGACGTGAGTCTTTCTATTCTGAAACATAGAATGCCTCTCCAATTGTTTTTTTCTTTTTTTCCCTGACTTTTTAGTAAAGCTTTATAAAGATTTTACACATTTTGGATTTATTCCTGAGTATTTTATCCTTTGCATTATTATTGTAAATGGGATTCTTTTTCCTGTTAGCTGTCCTAATGGATTATTGTTAATGTTGGATGGGATGAATGGTTTACTTTGGTGTTGTCCATGTTGATGCACAAATTCTTGAAATACACCTCCTACATTATTTTCTTCTACCATTGGGTCACACTAGCTTGGATAATTGCTTCTTATGAATTTATAGTCTTGCAAAATCAGAGCTTTCACAACACATTCTTCTTCCTCACACTGTTTATTAAAATATTAAGCAAGATCTATCCTAGCACTTATTTCCAAGGTACCATAGTGCTTATATTTCTCCATCTACATAAAACCAAGTTCATTCCTACTCTAGTCTAGCATGCATTCTCAGAACTCCAGTGATTATACATCACCATCTTGAGAAGTCGTTAGGTATCCCAGTTCTGTCTTCCTTTATCTAAGTTAGCTTCTTATTCTTAGCCAAATGGTGCCCTTCCATTTTGTATGAATCCTTTTCTCCCTCCCTTGCTCTCTTATCCCCTCTTCTCCCTCCCACTTTCCTCCTCTTCCACCTTCTCTCTCTTTTTCTTCTTTTCCTTTTTCCTGAATACATTTGTCCCTGAGCAGTGACTAACTTCTGAACTCTGCTCATTCCCAGCCAGGACATCACAGGTGATATTTACTATTTCAACTTTGCTAATGGTCAGTCCACGTGGGACCATCCGTGTGATGAACACTATCGGAACTTGGTGATCCAAGAGCGGGGGAAGCTGTCAGTTCCTGGGGCCGTTAAGAAGAAAGACAAAAAAAAGAAAAAGGAAAAGAAAGACAAGAAGGACAAAGAGACCACCAAAAGTGCCCTGGTGAGTCTGGATGCCAGCTCTAAGAGAGGCCAGGGCTAAAACTTGAGGGGATATTGGGAACATCTAGATGTGTACAGCTGGGAGGGTAAGAGCGAAAACAATATAGTAATTTCTTGATAGTATATCATCTGAATTTTGCCTGTCTTCTAGCGGATTTTCCTTTTAGTGTCTAGAAGTTGTTACTTTCTCTAAACATTTTCTTTTTTCCCCACTTGGGAAGCACATGTTACCTAATAGGATCAGTGAGAGAGCGTGCTCTCCTGAGTATGGCTTTTTACAGTGCTAGTAGTAGTGATGGCATTGCCATTCTGAAGAGTGGGGACAGAGAGCAGCTGGGGGAAATCAGTGAGCTTAGATGAGTAGAGTGTCCTTTCTCTTCATTCAGAGTCAGGCCTTCCTAATGTGGGTTCATTATTGTCTTAAAGTGATGTGAATCCCTGTAAGTCAGATGTAGCCATAAAGCCATAATTTGGTTGTCAAAACACCAGTGCTTTCAAGATTCAAAAGAAAAGCCTTGGGCTTTGTCTACTCTGTGGATTGTTTTTGTTGCTAGTGGGCTCAGTTAATGGTGGATAACTGATATTTAATTGCATTGTGATCTGAGTGTAATCGGATTTCAAAGGGGCTCTTATCCAGCAGTTCCCAACCTTTTGGGCACCAGGGACTGGTTTCATGGAAGACAATTTTTGCACAGGATTGGGGGCAGGAGGCAGAGCTCAGGCGGTGATGCAAGTGATGGGGAGTGGCTGTATATACAGATGAAGCTTCACTTGCTCACTGCCCGCTTACCTACAGCTGTGCGGATTCCCAGTTCCTAAGTTTCATGGAAGACAGTTTTTCTATGGAGGGTGTAGGGGGTGCGGCCCAGTCCCTAACAGGCCACTGACCGCTATTGGTCCACAGCCCAGGGTTTGGGAACCTCAGCTCTTATCCATTATTGTTTTATTTATCCCTCCAGCACATTTGAACCTAGGAGGTGGCGTTATCATCCTCATTTTTTAGGTGGAGCAGCTGAGACTTCTAGACGTACTGAAGTGAGGCCCAGGCTCTCCCAGAATGCTGTGGTGGTGCAGGGAAACCAGACATTCTTCCCTTCACCCAGACCTCAGGGTGGGGCCACCCTGAGGAGAGGGAGGGTCGTAGGAACTCAGTCCAGCCAGTGGGAGCACTGGGAATATCTTTTCGACCCTTTCAATGGTCTAGTGGTTTTGCTTTTTTGTTGTAGTCTTTATTTTCCACCAGAGCCTTGTGCCTACTTCTCAGCAAAGATTTTGTCCATTTTCTTTCCTAAAGTGTCATTTCTGGCTTTGAATGGTTATTGATGGATTTAACCTTTTTGTCATGCCTAAGCTCTATGGACACTTTTCCCTCCCACTCCCCTCCCTGACGTACTACTCCTGGTTAAGCTAGGTAATAAACATATTCCTCTAGATACAGAAAAGAGGACAAGTAATTGCCAAATAGGTTGAGTTTTCTAATATTGTGTTTGAAAGGCAAAAGGTCGCTGAGGGGCTTTCACTAACTCAGGATTCTTTGAAATGATAATCAGCTATCTGGGCAGGCTATGGCCTGACTAAAGGTGGAGAGGGAAGAACTGAGGGTACTGGGGTGGAGGGTTGGGTACTGAGTTCTTGGAGCTCCCTGTTAAAAGGGTTCCTTCTGTGGTTTTAGGAAATGAGGGTAATTGGACAGCCCTAGGCTGTCATTCTGAATCTTAGGGCTCAGGACAGGTACCTCAGACTTGAGTTTGTCCAGAGGACAGGTCTGAGCAGTCTAGACTTAGGTGGTTTGAACTCTCTGGGGGTGCACATTCACAGCCAGGTGGTTGTTTATAGGGGGTGGTTGATTTTTTTAGGGTTTCTTTTAGCCCCGAGGGTCTATGACCATGTGGAGGACATCTCCCAAGCAATACCAACTGTGCCTTTGGTAGAAAACACTAGACTGAATTTCCAAGGCTTAGGTCAATGGTTATGCTTTCCCTCTTTTCTTCCTCTTAGAAAATTTCTAGAGTCTGTGATAAGGACTCACAGAACCTGAGAGCTGGATGGTACCTTAGGGCTAATCCTGGTTGGTGATTTTGAGACTTTTGTTAGTAGTCTTCAAATCACTTCTTTTATAGAAGTCCAGTTTATAAAAAAAGAAATGGGCTGGGCATGGTGGCTCAGGCCTGTAATCCCAGCACTTTGAGAAGCCAAGGTGGGAGGATCACTTGAAGCCAGGAGTTTGAGACCAGCCTGGGTAATATAGCGAGACCTGGTCTCTATAAAAAAAATTAGCTTGTTGTGGTGGTGCACCTGTAGTCCCAGCTACTTGGGAGACTGAGGCAGGAGTATCACTTGAGCCCAGGAGTTAGAGGTTACAGTGAGCTGTGATTATGCTACTGCACTCCAGCCTGGACAACAGAGCAAGACCCCATCTCTAAAAAAAAAAAAGGAAAGAGAAAAGAAATGGAGCTGCTCTGGTTGAAACTGGCGGTGTGGGTCTTGATGATGCCTCTTCTCTGTGGCATGTGCACTGTACTGAACCTTCCAGGTTTCATGGAGCATGGTTTGCAAGCCATTGATCTATTCCAGCCTCCTCCTTATAGATAAGGAAACTAGAACCCAGAAAACAACATAGTTTTAGCCTAAGGGAGTTTTTTATCTTTTCTTTTCTCTTTGATTTGTGTTTCACTTTAAATGGAGGGTGGGTTTCTGCTAAGGGCTTGCCAAGGGCTAAAGTAGCAAGTATAAATCAGAAGTACTTTGTCTTAGTTTTCTCTGCATATTTATATACCCATCTAGGAAACACAGCCTGAGCAGGGACTTCTGCCATCTTCCTTTCTCCGTGGTCTGTCCCCTCTCTCAGCACCTGGGCTTGCTGATCTGGAGCTAGACCAAGAGCTGCAGGCTAGAAATGAGGGCTCCTTTAAGAAAGGGAAGAGCCCATGCATGCTGGGTGACACCCCCTGGCCTCACATGGGTGCCCTCCCCAGTAAGCTGCAGCCGCTCTCCAAAGGCCAAGCTTCCCGGAACTACCAGATCTTTGCCGACGTGGAGAAAATCTTAGGCAGGGCCCCAGCCCAATGCAGGACAGAGTTAGGTGATCAGCAGGGTCTGGAGAAACCCCAGAAGGTGACAGAGAAAATCTACCTGGGTTTTTCAGACCCCGAAATAGAAGAGCTGGAAATGAGGACAAGACAGCAGAAACTCAGCGCTCCGGGCCCTCACAACACTGGGCCTCTCCAAAATGGGCAGGATGTATTAGACAGCAAGAGCCAGGCCCCTGTCCACTCAAAGTTTTCTGAAACCATCAAGGGCCCACAGCTGAAAGGAGAGCAGCATAGCCACAGCTTAGCCAAACTGAGCTCCACTGGCCCTGGAGGGGACAAAGGCCGGAGTCCCAGTCCCTTGCCATCCCCTGAGGAGGCGTTCTCCCTGTCCCTTTGTTCTTCTGACCACATGCCACCTACTAGGAAGAGCAAGCTGTTCTTGTTAGATAGCAGCCCTGCTGAAGACCTGAGCTTGCAGGGAGTGCTTGGGGATGGTGGCAGCATGGGCAAGGGAAGGAGGAGAAGAGAGGCCCCAAGATTATGGATAGGACAGGTCTCCAAGCTTGTCAACCAGGACATCCCAGGGAGTTGCAAGGAAACAGAGCTCAGTGAACCTGAGGCTCCAGGGGCCTCAGCTGAGGCTCCACCTCAGGGACTTTCCCCAATACCTCCTGATACCCTGGCATCAGAAGCAGCTCAGAAAGCCCCTTCAGGGAGTGCCCCAGGGGAGTCTCCTACCAGTGAGAAGAGAAACCCCCGAGGGTCTCCAGGGTCCCCTGATGAAGATAGGAAGCCTAGTGAGTCTGGGCCTGACTTGGATAACAGCAGCAGCAACAGCCTGGCCTCACACCTTGACTCTTCTGTCCTGGGTGAGGTGAATAACTTCCCTTGGGACCTGCAGAGCTCACGGGGATTCGAGCAGGCTGTGGGTCAGTCAGGCCCAGGACCTGGAGATCAATACTCCAGACCCTTCCTAGTTCCTCAGTTGTCCAATGTGCAGAGCTCTCCTGAGGAGCAGTCAGAGAGTGAAGACTACACTGAGGATCAGAAGTTCTACCAGCACATCTTGCAGATGGTCAAGATCTCTAGGCGGCTGGAGGGCCTGGAGCTGCCTGAGAACGTACAGGAAATGCCATGCAAAGACATCGCCAGCATGGTTTGTTGCATGGCAGCTGAGTCTTCCAGGGTGTCTGGTGAGGGTGAGCATGAGGCCATCAGAGCTATGGAGAGGGACTCAAGTTTTCTGGCTCTGGGCCCAGAGCTGATGGAACATCCTCAGGAGGTGGCCCTTGCCCCTGATGGGCAGGAGACCTCTCAGCAAGCCCATATCCAGCTGAGCAGCAGCCTCCTCAGGCAGGGGCTAGTCGAGCCGAGCTCCAGTGGAGGGCTGGCTGCAGAGCCAGACAGGATGCAGCTTCACCAGGTAGGCTTCTTAAAGAGAATGGCTTGAAGGCCTCAGTGAACTTGGCAGGGAGGGAGCAGGTGGGGTTGATGTCTCACCATAGCCATTAGGTCTGCTTTCTTGTTACTCACCCTGTCTTGGTATAACTGTCGATCCCTTAACTACCCAAATGGCCATCTTACGGGATGACACGTATTTCAACTTTCTTTATTGGCTGCAAGATAGGGCTGAGGGTATCGATGACTTCCCTTCCCTGGCTCTAACTGTAATTCATGGGTGGTTCAAATTTTTAAAGAGGATCAGTTTTGAGGGTGGCAAGGTGGCACTGACCCTGGCACTCATCATGCAGGATATAGGCACCTTTCTGGAATTTGGAAAGCCTTTGCTCTCCGTTGGTTCTAGAGAAAGGTCCTTCCAAGTAGGCATCCTGCCCCAAAGCTCTGAACTTTATCCTTTCTTGGAATCACACAACACTAGAGAGTTAACACTCCCACAAAGGACGGAAGCCAAGGATCTCTCTCTGCATTCCATTCTGCTTCTGCTCCTTGCCTCTCAGGGTCCCTAGAAAACCATGTGGACAACCTGTGTCAGGGTTGTGCTTTCTCTCTTTGAGACTTCATTTGTGACTTCACTTCCTCTTCTACTGGGATTTGCCAAAGGGCTGGCCTTGCCCTGTCTTTCTACTTTTGTCTCTTTAAAGAATCACTGTATTTTTCATTCAGAAGTCAAGTTGGATCAGAGACCATGGGGATCAATCTGAATTTCCCCAGCTATTCTTTTGCTGCTGCCCAGCTGTGGCTTACCCAGTTGTTCCTTCGGGCTCCTAATTGCTGGCTTGCACTGGTTCTCCCTTAGGTTTAATAACTACTGTAGCACTATAAATATCGGATAAGCTGCAGATTATCCTGAAAGTTTTAATTAGCCCAATGGCAGCAAGTTTATCCGCTCTGAAGGACAACGCCATGCACAGCCCCATACTCAGAGTTAATGGCCATCTATAGAAGATGATCAGCTAGGAGCCAGGAATATATAATTTCCCCGCTAACCACTGATTTGGTAAAGGCCTGGGAGAACAAAGCCCTCAGCATGCCTGTCTCCCTCCCTCAAGCCCCCAGCATGTTAGCAAATTAGCCATGTTAGAGTCTATAATTTTCCATAAATACAGTGTGGGAAGAATTTTGCTTACTGAGACATGGGCTGGTAGGGAGGGCTGAAGCCAGGAGGAGTAGCCCTGGTTTGCTCACAGTTTACCTTGGAGAAGCTTTCTTGGGCTCTTTTTTCTGCTACAACCAGAAGGCGGTATAAAATACCGGCTTAGAGATAGCCTCAGGTTCCAATCCTATCTCTTCCCCTCACTGGCCCTGTGACTTTAGGGCATGGTTCTTGACCTCGCCAACTTCCACTTGGTCACGTGGGTACTGTGGATAATGGCAGAGCCCGCCTCAGGTTGTTGTGAGTGTAAAACGAGACGTTGCATGTGAGGTATTGAGCCAGTTCCTGATGTGCAGTGCCTCGTTTAGCCAGTGCCTGGTGTCTAGCCAGTGCATTGTCGAATTTTATTATCATCAGCTCCTTCTCTCCCTAACAAAGATATTCTACAACAAGCAAATCTGCAAAGTCTTGCGAGTGGTTCTCACCTCACTTTCCAGATGAGCCCTCCTCTGCAGAAACGGCCCTACTGAGGACCTGCCCGCTGGTGTGGCCCCTGGGCCGAGGCTGTGGGTGAGAAGATAGGTCGTCTGAACTGCCTCAGCCTGACCTCCTCTGCGTTCCCCTTTCTCTCTTCAGTCCCTGTGGGATTAGAGAGGAATGAAATTTTTGTGTTTTTTTTTATACATTTTAAGTTTGAGAAATGAATTTCGAAGAGTTATGTATAAATATCTCCAGATTGCTCTCCTTGCCTCTGCTTCTGATAAGCCCAGGTTATTATAATGCGAATCCCTGTGATAACAGCCATTCCATAATGTTGGTGAAGCCCTGGGCCACTCACAAGGCCCCTTGCACTTATTCTCTCCTTTTGAGCTTCTCAGCAGACATTCTCAGGTGGCAAGGTACACGTCACCTCCTTCTTGCAGATGAGTAAACTGAGGATCTAAGAGTTTGTGAGTAGCCTGAGGTCTCACGAATTCTGACTCCCAGCCTGGTTTCTTTCCCTAGTCTTGGCACGAAGCCCTCGTTTGGCCCTCCTGAGAACAGGGAAAAGGAGGGACCTGGCCAGCTCCGCTACTGCCCTTTAGCAAGGCTCCTTTCAGCTACCTTCCTCATCAGTGAAGAGGGCAAACAGAGTCCTTGTGTTGCTCATGTATGTTTTTTCATCTTTAGTGTTTATTTTCATCAAAGTAATACATGCCCATAGTTTAAAAAAACATCAAATAGTACTAAACGGTATATAGCAAAGTGCAGCAGTTCTCTGGTACACAAAGCCCTCCCCAGAGGCAGCCACTTTCTTTTGCTGTTTACTTCCATCTTTATAAATAATATGCTTAGGCTGCTTTTTCTTGACTCATCAATTTTAAACTTTATCTATTGAGACATCTTCTGGTAGATGAGGATTTGTCTCTGCGTTCCCCTCCCGCATCCTTCCTATATGGCTTCTGAAAGAGAGCAGAGCCCCATGCAGCATCTGCCAGATGTAAAAGAACTGTTTACTGTGAGACAGCGTTGAGTTATGAGAATCAGGAAACCAGCCTGTGATTTCTCACACAGTTGGCACAATGGTAATTTCTGGATGTTGTGTTTCATTAGCAGCCTCTCAGCGGAGGTGGTTTAAATTTGAGCGCGCAGGATTTAGATGTTTTATTTTTATATCTGTCTCCAACACTGTCAGAGCCATGTGGTTTCTTGGGTTTGTAACAAAATGTTTTCTGTTACCCAGGGCCTGGGTTCCTCGTTAGCCCCAGTTCATGTTCCTCTCGGGGGCCTGGCTCCTTTACGAGGCCTTGGGGATGCCCCACCCCCTGCTCTTCGTGGATCTCAGAATAGGAGCCTGGGGAGCTCAGTGGAGTCTGGTCAGCTTGGAGAACCCACGCTGGTAAGTACGTTCTCTTGTGTTCGGTGTGTTTAGTTACCGTGGGACCTCCGTGTGCCATGCTGGAAACCTTGGCCCATAGATGAGAAATGGAACAGGCTGAGTCCTCAAAGTTCATAATCCAGTTGGGAAGATGAGTCACACCTGTGTGAGCGTGGACTCTGGAGGATAGACCCATGCTATGGCAACATCAGTGCTTGTTTCCCCATCCACACGGCCAGGGCAGTAGGAGTTGGACAAGGGAGTCATCAGTGTGAACTGGAGTCACCAAGAATGGGGAAGGCATTCTAAATAAAGGTTATTCCAAAGGTCCCCATGATGTGTCCCTTAACTGTTCTGTATTTTGGATCCTTCGCAGGGTCTCAAGACTTCTGTCTTTGGAAAGGGTCTCTTGGGCTCTATCAATGAGGACAAGAATGCTCTCAGCCTCTTGGCTTTAGGAGAGGAGAACAACGAGGAGGATGAGGAGGAGAGTGATGACCAGGTAATGATGATGTCCTTTCCTTGGCATGGAAACCCCCTGTACTATATTTTTTTGGAAAAATTTTTTTATTGTGATTATATATATATATGTATATATATATATAAAACATAAAATTTGCCATTTTAACCATTTTTAAGTTGCAATTTAGTGGTATTAATTATCCTCACAATGTTGTGCTTCCATCTCCATCCATTTCTAGCCCTTGTTCATCATCCCAAGTAGAAACTCTGTATCTGTTAAATAATAACTCCCCATTCCCTTTTCGCCCCTGGTAACCTCTAATCTACTTTCTGTCTCTATGACTTTGCCTATTCTAGGTACCTCATGTAAGTGGAATTATGCAATATTTGTATTTTTGTGTATGGCTTATTTCACTTAGCATAATGTTTTCAGGGTTCATCTGCTGCAACATGTATTAGAACTTCGTTTTTAAGGCTGAATAATATTCCGTTGCATGTCTATGTTGCATTTTGTTTAACCATTCATGGGATGATGCACACATGAGTTGTTTCCATCTTTGGCTAACCTCTGTGCTATTTTAAAAATAAGTAAAAATGATTTTCCAGCCCATAGTTTCATTTCTTAACTAGTCTATATGCCTCCTAGGTCTGAACCAGAAGGCACAATCAACAAGAAGCTTCTTGGCCACTTGCTTGGCACAAAGCATTGTTCACACTGGATGAAGGGCTGTTTAGTGAGGCTGCCTTAGTGGAGGTCCTGCCCGAGAGTCCTCTGAAGCCCTGTCTGGGCGCTGCCTGCCAGCCTAGCTGTACCCTACTTTTCCCTCTGCATGCCTCTCACCCTAGGCTCATGAGTTTCCTTAGACTTACCACTCATAATCACTTTTGTTTCTAGAGTGTCCGCAGCTCAAGTGAACTTCTTAAGAACCTGCACCTGGACGTTGGGGCACTGGGAGGTGACTTTGACTATGAGGTAGGATCCCAAAGCCCCTGCAGGCAAATCTATCAGCCTAGTATATCCCTCCTTCCTTATATTAAGCCTTTCTAATTTGTGGGATGTGTATTTGGAAAGAGAACTGTTTTGTCCTAGGCCTGTCCAGGTGTGATTTCTAGTGTTTGGGAAGGAAAAGAGGTGAAGGGAATACATTCATTTATTCATTTATCAAAGAATCACTATTTAATGAACATTTCTACATGAGGTACTTTTCTAGGTCTATAGGTCATGCAAACATAAATGAGATACGATTACTGCACTGTAAGATTCTGTAGTGTTGTAGAAAAGAGACTTAAATGACTAGAACACAGGCTAGCATGCAATGAGGCTGTAAGGAAGGTAAACAGAGTGCCATGGGAAGGGAGAATAAGGGAGCTCCTGTCCCTTTGGATCAACCAGGAAAGGCTGTATTGAGACATTGACATTTGAGGTGAAACAGGAAGGAGGATGGGCAGGTGAGAGAGAAGTCCAAATGCAGGGAACTGCACAGGCAGAGGCAGAAGCTACAGGTTAAGGTTGGGGCAGACAAGGTGTCTCCTTAGACTGGAGTGCAGAGCATGTGTGGGAGGGCGGTGGGACATGACACTGCGGGGGTAGGTTGGGCGGGCCCTGGAGCACATCGATGGCAGGCCAAGAGGTTTGGATTGGATTACACAGGCATTGGGAGCCATCTGAGTTTTTAACAGAGCTGTAACAACATCCTGAATCTTAACATGTTGGATGCCTGCTCTGTAGCAGAACACTGTGTTAGGCTCTGTGGGAGGTATGACATGGCCTGGGTTGTCCTCAAGGGGTATGCAGCTGGGGAGAGGGAATGGATACTAGGTAGTTGGCACTTAGTAAGTGCTCAGTAGATTTCGAATGAATGAATAGTTAGGAGCTATAAGGCAGAGCAGTATGTGTATGGAGCTATAGCACAGGTACACTGAGGGTGTTATTTGGGGGAAGACATTACTTCCCTGGATATCATGGAAAACTTGTTAGGAGAGATGACATTTGACCTGGGTCTTGAAAAGTAGATAAGTTACAGACATGGAGGATGTAAAGGGATGTTCTACGCAAACAAACAGCTTGAGCGAAAGCATGAGGGCTGGAAAATACAGAATATGGATGGGAATAGCTTCTAGAATACCCACCCAAGTTCCAATGTTCTTTATTAAAAAAAGAAAACCACACCAACACTTATCATGTCATTGTAATACCTGAAACCTCCAAAGTGTTTTTATTCTTAGAAAGGAAAATTCCCTATTATGTGTCCTTTGTTTAGTGTCCAATTTATTAATTTTTTAATTTTTTTTTTTTATGGAATGCTTCACGAATTTCTGTGTCATCCTTGCTCAGGGGCCGTGCCAATCTTCTCTGTATCATTCCAGTTTTTTAGTATATGTGCTGCCGAAGTGAGCACAAATTATTAATTATTAAATAATATTTCTTGAAATATTTTCAAAGTATTTATACCACCAATAAATAATGAAGCCAACAAGTTAGCTTTCCCTAAACATTTAAATATTGGTTGTAGGCTCAATTAGTTAACCTCTTCACAAGTCTGATATACCAAATTCTTTTAAATATCTTAAACACCTTAAAATCAAACAAGTCACTTGCGCTGCATTAGAATTATCACAAAGCTGGCCAGTAAAACAAAAGTGCTTATATGATGGATTTGAATTTGTTTCCTCATCATCCCTTATTATTTCTGACTCTTATCAATATTTCTTGATCTTTACCTTACCTTGAGATCCAGGATTTCTGTCTCAGGTCAGCTGAGGTTTCAGAGGCTAGCTGCTAGCTCCTGCCTTGGTACTTGAGACTTGAGTTGTAGGTGGACCTTCCAAGGTGACCCAACTCTACCCATTGGGCAGGACCCTTTTTATAGTTAGGCTTTGCCTATTATCTCAGAAACTGTCTAGCTTTTTGGCTCTGCACAATCAGGTATGTTTTGATTTTAACACTTCCTGCCAAATGTGACACTTTTTTCTGAGTGTCCCATCTTTACCATCAATCGGATATATGTCTGTGTGAAACTGTTCTTTCTGAGTGGGGCCTGGTCTGGTTGGATGAAATCCAAAGCCTTCAGTCTCTTTGGTTCCTTGAAATGACAACTTTGTTTTCTTCTCTTCCACCAGCAAGACCTATACTGATGGACTCAAAGGAGATGCTAGTGTTTTGTGCCTAGAAGGATGTCCATAAATAAGAGTAGGGGAGAGGGCTTGTTTGCTTTTGGAGATAGAGGACAATGTCCATAAGAATGAGCACATCGAGTGTGGAGATTCTGCCCTATTCCTGTCTATATGTCCAGGCAGCACCTTGCCCACTGCCTAGAGCAGAGAAGTGCTTGGTTATGTTTTGTTCAACAAGTAAGGGAATGAATAAGTGAATGAGTGAATAAGCTACACTGGGTCAGGGAGGGTCTCTAGGCAGGTTGTGTTGTATTTTTTCCTTCCCTGGGCTTTCCCAGATTCTGGGTAGAGTGGGTATTTGGTCCCTGCTGCCAGCTGATGGACTGAAGATCCTGCTGTGGATTGATCATGATGCACTTGGGCTAGTTAACATTTACTTCATAATGGATGATAAATGTCAACAAAAAAAAAGATTTTCTTCTTCGACGTGTTTTGGATTTCTAAAAGCTTTCTTTCTGATGATTATGTGCTTCTTTGGGGGACTGGGAGCTTTTAAACGTTTTTATAACCTCTTTAATATAAATAGGCACCCCAGTGTGATCGGGGGAAATGTCTGGAATGGGCGGTGTTAAATACACCTCCCACCCCAGTCTCTAGCGTCCTAGCAGATTTAGTTCTTTTTGCCACATGGAGTGTTAGATTCCTATGTTCTAACTTCAGGCAGCAATTAGGGCTTTTCCTGTTGAGGAACGTTAGTGGTAGGGACGAATAGGGGTTTCAGGACAGGCAATGCAGCCTTTGCTTGGGCCCTACCCTTTGGAAATGGCTTTTGTCTCAGTTAACAGTCTTTGGATTCTCTGAACTGCCCGCCTTCCCCACTCCTCAGCATTCCAGGCAGCCCCGGATGGAGATCTGCTGAGGTTTGTTCTGCCCTATCTCACTGAGCAGTCACTTTGTTCATGCTTCCATGAGAGGGCAGTAGGATGGCAAGAATGCATCTCTCCCTTCTCTCCTTCTCCCTCCTCTCCTGCCTTCCAATGTAAACCTACTTCTAGTCTGTTACAGACTCAAGAGGGAAAGGTTCATGGAACCAACGCTGAGAACTCTGAGAACAAGGGGAGGCTGAAGGGTAGGCAGCAGGCGTTGTGTGGCCATGTGGAGCTGGTGAAAAGCCCATCAGCAGATCAAAGGAGCGGGAGGGAGCCTGGGCTTAGGAATAACAGGATGATGTCAGTGTGATTGGAAAGTGCGAACAACACCAGGGAGCTGTGCAAAGAATTGAGACCAACTGGGTAGAAATGAAACCTGGAAAATAAACTGGACTGATGATCAGCTTGGTGGGCATCTCCCCAGAACAGAGGCGATACACAGACAGGGTGTTCAGCTCCCTGTTGCTTGCGAGCCCCCTCCTGTGTTGTGTGGGTTATAGGAGCCCCTGCCTTTGTGCTCTGGGCTAGAGGAGGGGGACTGCAGCACTGGAGACCTCATGGCTTTTAGGGGGTGTGGTAAATATTCATGAAACTATTCTTATAAGCACTCCACTGCACCCCTCCTCATGCAGATGGTAAGGTCTTATTTGAAAAAGCAGCAGAAATATGCCATGAGATACTCAAGGACCTGGGGCTATGACAGGAGGAGATAGAAGGAGTCTGAGCAGGGATGAGCTGAGGGCAAAGCTGTGCTATGGCTGCAGGCACCCCTGCCTTAGTCTGCACCGCGCCTCCCCCCCCCCAGAGCCCGGGGCTGGAGACTGCGTGCACTAGGCTGGTGCCTGGAGTGTGTCTTCTGGTTGGGGCTTTAGGCCCAGTGACCTGACAAGGAGCAGGGGTCCTTGCAGGGAGCTGAGTGTGGGATAGGATGGGTTTTCGGACACTCAGCTCTTGTTCATCCATTTATGGATGATCTACACTCCTCCCTCTGCTTTCCCCACCCTCAAGATGGACCTCTGGTTGTCCTGTTGTTGCAGTTAGTTGATACGGGTGCAGAGAATGCAAGTCATTTATTTTAATATTAGCCATATTTTACTATTTTAATATTTACATAGACAAATTAGAACAAACCTCATCATGTAAAAATCGTCTTTTGAAGAATTTAAGCTTTAGAATTACATTGGGCCTCAGATTCTTGTGGTCAGGTTGTATTCCCATGTGTAAGAATGGGAATCTCAGGCCAGGCAGGGTGGCTCATGCCTGTAATCCTAGCACTCTGGGAGGCCGGGGCGCGAGGATTGCTCGAGATCAGGAGTTCAAGACCAGCCTAAGCAAGAGTGAGACCCCGTCTCTACTATAAATAGAAAGAAATTAATTGGCCAGCTAATATATATAGAAAAATTAGCCGGGCATGGTGGCGCATGCCTGTAGTCCAAGCTACTTGGGAGGCTGAGGCAGCAGGATTGCTTGAGCCCAGGAGTTTGAGGTTGCTGTGAGCTAGCCTGATGCCACAGCACTCACTCTAGCCTGGGCAACAAAGTGAGACTCTGTCTCAAAAAAAAAAAAAAAATGGGAATCTCTACCTGTATCTGGGATTGTTTGATTCTTGATAGGTTACTTGTTTTTCCATCATCTTGAGTAGTTATTTAATTAATAGTTAATATTTTCCTGGCTATTTTTCATTTAATAAGCACTGTAACAAATATAGTCTAATCCCTATATAACCTTGTAAAATTAATGCTACATCTCCACTTTGCAGAATAGGAAGGAAAGCCTCAACTCTTATCTCTGCTTGACACCCTTATTCATTTTTAAAAATTCAGTCAATAAGCCTTCACTGAGCATCTATTATGTGCCAGAAACTAGGTACTAAGGACAATAGGGAACTAATTTGGTGAGGAAAACAGACAATGAAATCAGCAATTATTAATAGCTATTATGATAGAGGATGAGGAAGATTCATCTCAGGTCACCTGACCTAGGGTCAAGGAAGGTGGCCTGGAAGAGGTGATGCTGTGAGGACCAGTGGGGCTTTGTCAGGGTAGAGTGCATGTGTGGGTGTTTTAAGAATGTACCTGGCAAAGTAGCAAAACAGCATGTTTATCCACAGGCAGGAGGAGAGAATGTCTGCAGTTTGGCTGGAGGTGAACCATGAGAGGCAGGCAGGGGCTGGGCTGTAAGGGCTGAGAGCCAGGTGAGGAGATCTGGGCTTTATCCTGAAGACCATAGGTGCTGTTTGTGGTCTGATACTTCCTCTGTCCCAAATTCAAGGTCTATTAGCAGGAGAGCCTTTCCTTAATCTCAGGATGAACCTGGTCAGAGTAGATTGGCTCTGCTTGCCGAGCAAGGGGGTTGTAGCTGTCAGACACTGCTTGCCTACCCCAAGAAACTCCCACCTTCTTCTCAGAGTCCTCAGAGCCCCACAGACTGGTTATTGAGCTCCTGCTAAGTGCAGGCTACCGTGGGGATATGGAGACAGGAGGGCCTGGCTTTAACCTGGACTGCTTCTCTTGAAGAGGGGGCGCTTGTGCCCTTTCCTTCTCCCAGCCCAGTGATCATTGCAGATTTATTCCATGCTACAGGTTAGGTATATTGAGAGGAGCAGCACTGGAGGGTACCTGCTGTGTGCTGCCATGGCAGGAGGGAAGCCACCCCTTCTGCTTTTCTTTCTGGGACAGGCCCAGGCCTGGTGACAGTATCACCACAGTGTCTTATGGCCTCTTTGCTTTTGGAAGTCAAGACTCATAACCAGGGTCATCTGGGTTCCTTTTCTCAATATTAGCTCAATTCTTTGAGGGCAGGATCTATGTCTTGGGCATATTCAGATCCCCCAAGGCAGTGTTTGGCACATAGAAGGTGCTCCGTGAGTGAACATGTGGATCTCATCATATAACATTAGTTAACATTTATGGGACACTGACAGTATGCCGGATACAGTCCTAAGTTCTTTAACTCACTTAATGAGTATTGTCTCCTTTACTCTTCCCAACGACCCTATGAGATAGGTACTATTAATGCTATATCCCAGTATTTTAGAGAAACAAACTGAGGCACAGAGAAGTAAATAATTTGCCTAAGGTTACACATCTTTAAGTGTGGAGCCAATTTGAGCCTAGGTAGTCTATCCCTGAAGCTGAGGTCTGAATTACTCTGCTTTACTGCCTCCCTTAACCGTCCTTAGGAAGCTTGGATTAGCTGTCCATAGGCTGTCAGACCTGCAGGTGGCTGGCAATGCCTATGGGGACAGCAGATACTTTAACAAAGCATCAATAAATGTCATGCTTAGGGCTTCTTCTTGGACCTTTCAACTATTTAGCCATTATGTTCCTTGTATGACTCTTCAGGGTAGAGAACCAGGAAGACTTAAAACTCTCTGATCAGGTTGAGCAAGGTGGCTCGCACCTATAATCTGAACACTGGGAAGCAAAGGTGGAAGGATCACTTGAGCTCAGGAGTTCAAGACCAGCTTGAGCAAGAGCAAGATCCAATCTCTACAAAAAATAGAAAACTTATCTGGGCATGGTGGCATGTGCTGGTAGTCCTAGATATTCTAAAGAATTTAAGTGGAGGCTGAAGGAGGAAGATTGCTTGAGCCCAGGAGTTTGAGGTTGCAGTGAGCTATGATGTACTCCATTACACTCTAGCTGGGGTGACACAGGGAGACTCTGCCCCTCCACCCCCCAAAAAATCTCTGATCAGAAATTGTTCAGCTTGGCAGCCCAAGTGTTAGCACAAATGTTTTCTGGGAGGAAGTCTTCTTAGCCTTAGCCCAAAAGAGATCACTGGCTGTATTTCCAAGGGAGGGTTTTCTTTTTTTCTTTTAGCTGACTCTAAAGAATTTAAGTGGAAGCAGCCTTAGGTTTTCACTAGTCTGTAAAGTGATATTTTTATGTGAGAAGCAGAGTATAGCTGCTGTAGAGGTACATTACTCAGATCTCCTTTCAAGAGACCCTGTCAAGAGAGTTTAGTAGATTGACAGCATCCAGCCACTGCCCTTTCCCTCTACCTTGCTTCGTGGCAAGGTCATGCTTCCTCCTGATGATGGGGAACAATTGGTCTGAAAGCAGGACCATTTCGGCCAGATGTGGGACTCTGCTAACGGCAACCTGCTTAGAGGCTCCCTGCTGGGCTGGCCAGGACTTTCTCAGAACTGTGTGGTACCCGGAGGCTCTTCCTTCTTTCTCTCTTGTCACAGTTATCAGACCTGTATTGTGTTCTGAAGGCTCTCCTCACCTCCTTTGTCCTTCATAAACATGTCTCTCAGTAAACCTCTTGCACATCTAATCCCATCTTGGCATCTGCTTCCCAAAGGACCCAGTTGGCAGTCCTTGATGGAGGCTGTGGTCTCCAGGTTGCTGATGGTCAGCATGTACAGGGGAGGCTTTAGGGATGAAGGGAACCCTCCTGGTATTTTCCTCCCTGCTGCCTATTAAAAATGAAAAATAGAAATTCTAGATCTTGCTGCCTTTCTCTCACATGACCATCCATCATCATCTCAACTAGATATTGGCCTCTGAGTCTTCAATCTTATGATTTGGCTAATGGGGCTTGAGTGAGACAGATTTGTTATTTGAGAACATGATAGGTGGTGATGGAGTTGAATAGTCCAATGCAGTGATTTCCAAGCTCACCAGTGGACAGGAGTAAGGTTGAGTGTATCCAAATCACTGTCGAAATTCGGATTCAGTAGGCCTGGGGTAGAGCCAGGAATCTTATGTCTTAAAAAGCTGTTTGGGTGATTGATAACCACTGGAGCCAGAACTTGAGCACTGGCCCTGTGGGTCAAGGAATGGCAGCTCCATCTTTCAGTATGTCTCTGGACTCCTTTTATACATTCCTGATGTCTTCCTTTCTGACTTGGTCTGCTGCCCCCTAGGAGTCTCCCAGAACAAGCCAGCCAGAGGAGAAGAAGGATGTTTGTCTGGATTCAGATGCTGCCGGCCCCGTTACTCCCAGCAAGCATTCGAGCCAAGGTGCAGACAGCAGTCTGAGCAGTGCTGATGGCAAAGGGCAACAGAGAAGAAGGATGAGTCCTGGGCTCTCACAAAAAGAAGAGAATGAGAAGAGCGAGCCTAGGGCTTCCAGAAGTCTGGCGCCCTCCAAGGTGGGCCCCGGGGGCGATGAGCCTGCCAAAGCCTCTAAAAAGGACATGGTGGATGCAGGAGAAAAGGGTTCCAGGAGGGAAGAGGTGAAGGAGCCAAAGAAGGAGCCTTCTGCCCCCAAAGAGAACAAATCAGATGCCAGCCAGGTAAGTCAATGTATCCATAGGCAGGTGCCAGCTACAACCCTCTGTTGCTCTCTTCAGCCCTATCCAAGTTCCTATCCCCACGTTTTTATTACTGAGTCAGGAGCTTCATTTGTAGTCCCTGCACTGGGCTGTCAACATCAGCCGAACCCTTAATTGTGACAAATATGTCCAGACCCAGCAGGCAGTAAAATCCTGAATGAAATTGCAAACCTTCTGGTACTGAAATTCAGGGCAGGAATTTGCTTTTCCATTGGCACCCTCCTGGGATACTCATGTTCCTCTTTTTTTCCTACTTACTTCCTTCTCCCTCTTCCTGCCTCCCCTTTCTGCTTCTTGACATTGGTAGGGTCAGTCATGGTTGCATTAGTCTGAGTTCCTATAGAGAGAGGAGAACATTGTGTGTAGTGGGGGAGGTGGGGCAGGTACCACAGTTGGGAGTGTCCTGCCCAGCATAGGTCAGTGGGTTGCAAGAAGACTCTTCTCATCAATTTCTGTGGCTCTTTCTGAACCAACCCAAGACATGGGGGTGGTTGCTTTGGTAAGACCGGGGACCAATGACCAAACTAGACAGAAGTGTAGGTCCCAGTGGGGAGAGCCTTTGGCATTTTAGATTTTGCAACCCTTAGTCCTATTTCTCATCCAGGTAGATGGTGAGGGAATTCATTTAAAGAGCTTTTATCTATTTCCTGGAAAAGATGCTCTTATTCTGTTTTTTTAGGATAGCATCAAACTTCTGTACTGCCAACTTTCTGACTACCCCCACCACACTTGGCTCTCCTTACACATGTGTAAATCCTTGTTGATCTGATTCAGAGTGTGATCATCTATATTCATCTGGGCTGCCCAGCCCCAGGGTGGGTGGAGGCTGTTGGATGTGTTTGGAGAGAATGGCGTGGTCGGTCCATAGGCCTCCTTAGGGTTTTCATGGAGCCTGGGTTGGCACCATGGCCTGAACAGAATTCCTGGGATAGTCACTGTGGCCCTCTGCTCTGGGGGATTTCTCTGTGCGTTTCTCTCCCCAGGAGTCAGAGATAAGTGAACAAGTGAAGGAACCACAGCTCTCAGACTCCACGGCTTCTGACCTCAAGTCCTTCCTTGGCCTGGTGAGTTTGAGATGAGGGCAGTCGAGTGGTGGTGAAGAGCATGGATTTGTGAATCTCCAAGGTTAAGTAATTTGCTGGTATCACAGCTCGTAAGCGGGGAAATGAGAACTTATACTTGGCTCTTGTCTAGCTCCAGATTCACAACCCATTAACTAAGGATACCACTACCTACTTTATAGGTTTGTTGTGAGAAGAAAGTGAGGTAGAGAATGTAAAATGTTAGCATATAAATATTAATGTTATTGTTATGTATTTAATGGCATTAAAATGTTAGTTGTTGTTACTGTTGCTGTTCTGAATTTCCTGTGAGATCATGTGAGTTGCCTCTGGGCTCTAGCAGGAACAGTACATGAACCTAGGAGGTTAGGGACTGATGTGTTTGTGTTTATGGGATCGCTGAACTGTGGCAAGGACCAGTCCCCAGACTCTGGCCAGGAGGGATGCTGTGCTTTCATTTCTAAAGTTAAGGCTTTGTCCTGGAATGCCAGCATGCACTGTTTCTTTGTCGCAGACCTACCCAGCCTGCTGTGTCCTGTTTTCATTTGCCAGGTCTGTATCTAAGGGGAGTAGTTTGGGGTGCTTTTTGGCAGAACATTACCTCTAGAAACCATCCTCCATCTGTTTGGAAGAGGCAGATCAAAGGGAAGGGATTAGTGGGAGAGGGTCAGGGATGAACAGTAATGATACGAGGGGGTGCAGAGGAATTAGGAGGCTGTGTGCTCTCGCCCCTCACTGAGCCATGGGCTTAGGAGGCAGATGGTAGCTGCATTAAGTGGAGTAGAACTCAAACTGAAAGGAAAATGTCACCAAAAAAGAAGAAAAGCCCACAAGCTAGGAAAGGAAGGCAGAAAGTCACGGTTGTTGGCAAAAACTGTCCATGAAGAATAGCCATGTCACAAAACCCTTGGAAGCAAAGGGTCTGGCTCTTCTAAAGCGGTTATCCATGTGGAGAAATGTGCCCATCAGCATTTTTCTTCTCCATGGGAGTAGATGGAGGAAGCCGTGGACAGCAGGACCAGACCTTATCTGGGCGTCCCGCCATTTATCAAGGCTGATGACTGAACTGTCCCCATTAGCATGCTGTTGGGTAGCAATCCACTACTTAGTCTGGTAGGGATCTTAGGCTCAGGGGGGTGGGATTGTTGTCCTGTGGCAGCCAACAGGCAGCAAAAACTGGCACTATTGTGGGCACTTGCTGCCTGTCCCCAAGAGAAGCCTGTGCAGAAAGTTCCACTTATTAATCCCCATATAGTCCAGAGGGGCATCTATATAGAAAGGGGGATGGAGCAAGCTGGAAAGAGCCCACCAGGCTGTGTTTCCAGACTCTGCCCCCAGGTTTTCTGGGTTCTTTGGCCTGCCTTGTGGTGCCCTGGTTGGGCACTGGAGGGGGAGAGACAGCTGGAAAGTGACATGCTTTGCAGCATGTGTCATGGAAAGAGCTTGGGCTTTGGAGTCAGCCCACGCTCCATGTGCCCCTAAATCCCTTGCTCATCAGCTGTGTGACCTTGGACAAATGGCACATACTCTCCACCTGCTTCCTCATCTGTATGATGAGGATGGGAGTTTCAGTCTCACGAGTTTATTTTTTCCACATAATTTTATGAAAAATTTCAAACATATGGAAAAATTAAAAGAATTTTACATACTTAACCACCTATAGTCCACAAAATGTTTTTACCATACGTGCTTTGGCGTGTATCTTTCCATCTAGTCACAATGTTATTTTGAAGATTAAATTAGTAGATGTTGAAATGTTTATTTGGCATGGAGCCTGGTTGGCACATGGTGGACACCTCTCTGGAAAGTTGGAGTTGGGTAGGGGGGAGACCCAGGTGGGTGCTGACTGTGACAGAGGCAGAGCTGACCTCCCCGTCTCCACTGTCTCCAGGACTTTGGTTTTCGCAGCCGGATCTCAGAGTACCTGCGGGATGTTGACGTGCTTTCCCCGGTCCTGGGTGGAGCCCATCGGGAGGTGAGTCTTTCCAGGTGGTGGGCTGGACCTCATTTTCCCTGGCAGCCACTTTATGAGAGCTGAGCTCTGCCCATGCCAGGATCCATTTCTGGAAGTTCTCTCCCTTCTAATTCATTAAGGCGTGGCCCCGACTGTGCCCCTATGGAGATTCTGACCATTCCTGCCCTGTTGCTGCTATGAATTAAAGCCTCCCTCCCCCATATATTTATCTGTTTATCCATTTATTCAGCAACTGAGAGTGGACCACCTGCTCGTGTGCAAAGCACTATGTAGATAGTGGACTTCAAGGCACTTCCCAGCCTGGCCCATCTATCCTTTCCAGCCCCATGCCCAGCTCTCCCACCCCCCACACCAGCTGGGTCTGCCACTCACTATTTCTGGAGCTCACCCTCCCTCCACCTCTGCTACTGCTCTGCCTCCCACCCACCTGCCTGCCTGCCTGCTTGCTGTGCTGCTTCCCCTTTTGTCCTGGCAAGCTCTTTCATGGTCTTGGAGGGCCACCTCTGACACCACTTCCTCTGAGCAGGATGAATTGTTCCCTCTCTTTGCTCCCCTCAATGCCTCTTGTTTTGCTTTATGGTTATTTGTCTGTCTCCCCTGCCAGAGGTAAGGTCAGGGCAGGCATGGACGATGTTGGACCCACGTGGGGTACAAAGATGACTCAAGCACAGATCCTGTCCTTTAGGAGCTTCGAGCCAAGAAGATCATTTTTTTTCTCCTCTGTGGGTTGGTTAAGAGAAGAGCAATTGTGGCACATGGTCTCTGCAAGTTAAAGGGAGCATTTGGTTTGGGCAAAATGGAAATTTGTTGGGTAAAACAGGCAAAAAGATGTTTAATATGAACCCAGCCTGGGAGCCGTTAGTGAAATGCATGTTGCGGACAGGGTAGAGTGTTAAGGCTGATTGCACTTGAGGCCTACATTTTCTTTTCTGATAAAGCCTTCCTGGACCACTACTCAGCCACCAGGTCCCTGTTGGACTTTGGTCACCCTATTTGCAGTGCTGGAGAGATGCGAAGGCATAGACAAGGGCAGGTAGCATTAGTCAGGAAGGATTTGGAGCATGTGAATTGTGAGGCCCCTATGGCAGTAGGTAAGTGGGAAAGTTACCCAGTTGGTGGGGTGAGGGGTAGGTTCCATTGCTCTGGCTCCAAAGCCTGGCCAATATCAGAATTACTTGGGAGCTGGAAAAAAGATTTTTAAATCCTACCTAAGACTCAGTGAGGCCAGCAGCCTCTTTTTGGGGCATGTCGCTTGATATAAAGCAGTAGCAGGACCTGACTTGGATTTGGTTCTCATGAGGCACTCCCTTGAGGCAGCCAGCCCTGGCAGAGGAAGCCCTAGGCTATACCTGGTGACTGGCCTATCCAGGTGTGGGCAATTCTGGGTGCTCAGGTTGGCTGACCCTGGACTCTCTTGCAGGTCTTAGCCTCTAGCTCTTTCCCATCTTCAGGGCATGGAGGGGTTGAGCAGGGAGGTGGAGCTGGAAGAGAGAGCAGCAGCCTCAGCACTGTAGATGCAGTCCCCTTTCTCCTTCCCGTGGGCTCTTGCCCATTTTGCCATATTCTCCATGTCGCCCAAGTATAGGAACAGGGCGAACTATACTAGTTTTTCTTATTTAAAATATTTTATATGCAGCAATATAAGTAACCTTAACACTTGTACCCCCATAATATGCTAAAATAAAAAAATAATAATAAAAAATATTTTGTATGCAGCTCTATTGAGATATAATTGACATGCAGTAAACTGCATATCCATTTGATAAGTTCTACCATATGTATACACCTTTAAAACCATTACCACAGTTAAGGATCATAATGAGTTATAAGCATAATAAATTTCATAATAAATTAGAAAAGTGATCATAAAATTATTTCAATACAGAATGTCCAAGTCATCCACTTCCTGCAGTCTCACTCCCACAGGCAGGGAGTATGAGTGGTTTCCATTAATATTTTCCATGCGCCTTTCCAGAATTTTTTCTGTGTACATATAAACATTTATTTTCTACTTTTTTCTTCCCATAAACATTAGAATTGTGCTATTAAAACTTCCTGTGAATATGCTTTTTAAATTTAAGAACAGACCCCTGACTTATTTCTAAGCTATTTCAGGTAGGTCCCACTTATTCATTGCATTGGTTGTGTAGCCTTCTGCTGTATGAATGCACCGTGATTTGTTTAACTGAGGACTGGATCTTACACAAAAATGAGACCCTGGAGCTGACTTGAGGATGAGGAAATGGTGTGTCTTGAGTAGCGCTAGGCCAGAGACTTATTTAGGATGCACTGTTGTGGTGTCCCCTTTCTGAAGAGTGCCAATGTGGCTGGTTTCCTCCTCTGGTTTCTTTACTTCCTTTTCTGACTGGGAAGGGTGCATCATTGTCTACTGGCAGGACCTGGGTCCTCAGGGGAGCCTGGAACACTTTATCTTCCGCGGTCCAGGTGCAGCTGGTGCCCTTTTTGTCTGGGGCAAAGCTCTTTCCTGTTGCACCCAGACTCCATCTTTCCAGGATTCTTCTTTTCTAAGGTGTTTGCCTGCTGCCCCTGTCCTGCCCACTTAATTTCAGCATGCCTGTGAAACAGGCGCTGCTAATCTGGTCCTTTGTGGATTTGGGGTATTCATGGATTTCTCTGTTTTCTCTGCAGCTGGCAGTACAGGCTTCCAGCAGCAGGAGGCAGCGTTTTCCTTGTCTTGTGTGTTCCTCTTTAGCCTCTGGCTTCTGACTCTGCATACAGTGTCTGTGGTTATCTGTCTCATCTTCCCCAGGCCAGCAAGGCCAACCTAGGGAGCAGCTGTGAGCCTGGGGGCTTAGCCAAAGCTTGGGAAGCCTCATTGTATGGTAGATAGGGCTCTGTTCTGTGTCCTATAGGGTCCCATCCTCTAGAGAGCCACCTCTCAGTGCTTTTTCCTAAGCATGAGAGTCAGGAGGGTGGAGGGACCCAAATTATGACCCTTCTAATACACATGTTTCACTGTTTTGCCTGTAGGCCCAGGAGTTAGGAAGAGAAGACAAGGATGATAGCCAGTCCAGCCAGGATGAGCTGCAGAGCAAGCAGTCCAAAGGCCTGGAGAGGTACAGTATGTGGGATGCTGACCTCAGGGAGGTCATAGTGTGCCTTCAGGATGGTGTGGACTTGGACAGACTTCCTGGCTTTGGTGGATGGCATGGCTCACTGTGCAGGTGATGAACTGGCTGGATGGTCTTGCAAGGTCTGTGTGCATGTGCACGTGTGTATATGTGTATGCCCACACAGATATGTAAATGTTTGTGTATGTATGCATGCATGAGTGGATCTTCTGATTCTGCACCAAGACGAAAATGGGTGTACTCTGTGCACTGTTGTGGGTCAGAGCTCGGTCCTCCTTGCTGGGTTGGGTTGATTAAGCCATGTGTGTGCTCAATCCCAGGGCAGGGCTGAAGCAGCCTCCGGAGGTCTAGGGGAGTCATGCTGGAGGGTTCGTACTGTAGCTTAGAGCCCTGAGCCAGGTTCTGGTGCATCAGAAATGGCTGTGCTAACTCTGTATGTGCAATAGAGTGTGTGTGTGCGTGTGCGTGTGCGTGTGTGAGTGTGTGACAGGGGCTCCTGGTTTCTCAGGCCTGAGCCCCATGATGAGAGGGAAGGAGAGCAGCCTTTCCATTTGGGGACCAGAAAAAACCATCTCACAGCTTCATGCATTTTCTATAGTCTGACCACTTGAGTCTGGCTTATCTTTTTCTCTCCATTTTCCACTCAGTTCTCCCATCCCTCCCTGGCCCCGGTGATGGTGGACTTTGGGAATGAGTACACTTGTGAGTGTGTTCAGCTCTTTCTCCTGGACCAAGCAAATACAGTGCAGGGACTTGGGGAGCCTGACTCTAGTCCAGGCAAAAGGAGCTTAGGAGAGAGTCTCTTCTTCCTGCATATTGGCCTTTGCTCTTGTGGCTTTCCACGGGGATGGGGACAGGGGCTGGGATCTAGCCTGGGAGGAGGGATTGACGTAGGTCCACACACTGCACTCCCCAGTTCTCTTCCTGTTCTCCAAATGGAGGGGCCTGACTCTGCGGCTCCAGCTGGTCTGACCAGGTTGTCTCCTCCACTTCTGCGCGGGGAGCAGCTCCAAAGTCCCCTTCACAGCCAGTCCTCTGAAGAAGAGCCTCCACAGGCCCCTGAGGGGCAGCCTGAATGGAAGGAGGCAGAAGAGCATGGAGAGGACTCTGTGGCCAGCCCCAGCCCACCGGTTCCCCTCCAGAGGTAAGGATGAAGGGGAAGCGCTCCAGTGGTGGTGGCTCCTCTGTGTGTAGTGCGTGTGCTAGTGCTGAGAGAGCAGGGGCTGGGTGGGCCTAGAGAGAGAGGGGAGAGCTGGGCGGGTTTGCAGCCTAAGTAGCAGCAGCAGCAGAGGTTCTGCTTAGTGTCCCATGGGAGCTGGGGACTGTGGAAATCTGCTTCTTCCTAGTCCTCAAGTCTACAACTGAGATTGGGGTACACAGTCTGATTAGGATAACTTAGAAATTATTGAACAAGAAGGTATCTCTTCCGACCCTGCTGCCTCCCTGCCACGGACTAGGGCAGAGACTGCTGTCACCCTGGCTGCTCCATTCCTGCCAAGGGAGCCATTTCTCCTGTCCCCTCCCCACCAGCACCTTCCCTTCAATAGACATCTCACGTTTAGTCATTCAGCAAACCCAGCAGGAGTCCTGTTGTGTGCTAGGCCCAGGGAGAGGGCGCAGAGCCCCTGGTCACCCTGATGCCAGCTCAGAGGACTTTTGCATCCTAGCCTGGTCCATAGCACAGTGTATGTTTGCTAGTTCTCTGTCCCCCTAGCAAAAGAAAGATGCCAGTCTTAGAATTCATCAGGTTCGAATGAGTCATGAGGAACCCAAGTAGCAACAATTCAGCGGCATCCCTTGAGCACCTGCTGGGTGCAGAGCTTCTCCCTGGGTGCCGTGGTGGTCCTGCTTCCCACGTGGGGTGGGAGTCTCTGGTCTTCAATACAGACAGCTCAGGGAGAGGCAGGGAGAGGAGATGGAAGTTTGAGACCTGAGGTGGGGAAACTTTGTTGGGGCAATTTCTCTTGTCCCATCATAGCTTTTTGCCCCCAAATGGGGAGTGTCGTGAGCATCTCGCCTTCCCACTGGCTTTAACACAATTGTCATCAAGGGAGCAGGCCCCAAGCCCACCTGCCACCCATGAGAGGGGCAAGGAGCAGCACTCCCAGGCTGAGGAGCTGAGTCCTGGGCAGGAAGAGGCAGAGGAGCTCGAGGAGAAGGTGGCAGTCAGCACCACCCCGCCAGTCTCTCCAGAGGTGTAAGGGCCAGTTTTATGTGTCTGCCCCTGTCCCCCACTGTGTGTGGATTACTGAAGTGCCCATTCATTCTTGGGTGGTGGGGAGGGGAAGCTCTGTCTTCAGCCCAGAAGCGGGGGAGTGTAGGGAGAGATTGAGTGTATCCTTGGTGCCCCGTGTGCAGCCTTGATAGCCCTACGCAGCCATCACCAGTCCTCACTTGGGGTTAGTTTAGGGCCCTGGGGCTTTTGATGAGGACTTGGGGTACAAGGGTGGATGAGGAGATACCTCCTGGCTCATTAGCAGAAACCTGCTAAGTCATGTTACCTCTTCTACCAAGCACTGTTTTTCTCTTAAATTTTTTTTTGTTGAGATATTTATACTGAAGGACACAAATCTGAAGTGATGTTTGCATCTGTGCACACCACGTAACTACCACTCAGCTCAGACATAGGCTGTTTCTGTCCCTTGAGAAAGTTTCCTCATGCCCTACTCGGTCCACCGACCTCAGGTCTCCGTGGTTCTGGCTTCTATAGATTCATTTTTCTAGTTCTCCACTTTCATATACATGGAATTATGCAGCATGTAGGATATATCTTTTGTCCCTGGGTTCAAAGCTCCATATGTTTTTGTGATTCACCTATGTTGTTGCACTTCTAACATTTAGAAATCATTTTCTCTTCCCATTCTCACCTTTCCCTCCTTATCCCTTTTTCAGATGAGGAAACTGAGGCTCAGAGAGGTGAAGGGATTTCCTCAAGTTCACATTGCTGGTCAGTTGCAGAATTAGGACCAGAGTCTAGTCACTAGAGCCCTAGACTTCTGACTTTTAGTCTGCAGCGCTGTTCCTTTTCTCTGCATAGAGAAAGACAGGTGCCAGCATTTATACATTTTTCCTCTGTGAACTAAACAGGTACACAGGACTGACTGTTGAGCAGAGACAGGTTCATGCACCAATCACTCACAGGAAATGTCACTGAGAGCTGGCAGGGCACATGAGCTGTGATCTCATGTCGTCACCACAACGTTGCAGGAATGATGTGAGGAAGGAGTGGCCACGTTATTTGGATAGTGATAGATACTACAAAGAAAGCTGTGATGCTGAGGACGGTGCCGCTTTCCCAAGGCACCTCAATGGCTGTGGACAGCCAGATCAGGGTGCTTTCTGTGAGGACAGGAGACAGATGCAGTCCAGAGAGAGGAAGAGCCGGGTAGAGGTCCGAGGGGCGTCTTCCCAGGACCTCCAGTGCGAAGCCCAGGCAGCCTGGGTTGCCCCGCTCCTCCCAGCTGCGTTGGTTGATTAATCTCCTTATTTTGTGTTTCTCCCCCCATCCCAGCGAGGCCATCCGTGCCGGGGTCTCAGAGACACTTTGCTTGACCATGTAGTTTCAGTTTCCTCAAGGAAATGCCTTCTGTTCCTTTCCTGAGTCTTTTCAGGCCCTATAACTTTCTTGTTATTAATCTTTATAGCTGTAATACATTAGGAATTGATTGGTTTTCTGGGTTTTGTGGGAGTAGTTCTGTGTCTTTCAGCTTCCAAAGGTGTGGTCAAGTTGCATGGTAGGGCTGGGAGCAGAGGGTGGGCCAGAAGGAGCGGGCGGGCCGGCCAGCAGCCTAGTGCTGCTCACTAGGCATGCTTTGTGGCCACCAGGCGGGGACTGGAAAACAGGAATATCCTCCCCTTTGTCTTCCCAGCATCTTTCATGAGGGTTTGTGGAGAAGAGAGTAAATGAATCAAAGCCTCCAGGTTGAATATGAGATGAGTTGTGATCTCTTTGATTCCTGTCCCAGCCTTAGTGGAAGTACAGCCTTTTCAGAATGTTCCTGGGGTGCCATTTCTCCCTCTCCGTCCTCCCCTTCGTCTCTCCCTCCTTCCTTCCCTGCTTTCCTTCACGTGTCTCTGCGCTACTTGGTGGCTAGCCTGAAATGATTATCCTCCTGCAGAGCCTCCCCTTTGTCACTCACTGTTGGAAACTGGGTCTCACTGATTCCGATACCTGAGGAGTTGGCCTAGAAATCAGAGCTGCCTCTTCCTCTGGAGTCTTCAACTTCCCGACTGTCTCATGGATCTTTTAGGCATTGTTTGTTGTCTTGGACCTAAGCTAGGAGTTTAAGGTACTATTACAGATCTTTCAAACTGGGTGAGGGAGAAGAGGCCCACTGAAGAACAGCCCTCCTTGCCTGCGTGCCAAGTGTGCAGGCAAGCTCACTGGCACGTGTAGCCCGGGCACATGCCACCACACGGTCTGATGCCCCGTCTTTCCCCAGCATCTGTCCCTAGGGCTCCACATAGCTACGCAGCCCACAGGAGAGAGAGACATTAAAAGGTACCATCTCAGGGAAAAAAGATGTTCCCAGCCAAGGCTGGAAATGAGTTGGAGGGTTGATGAGGCGGAGAGCTGCCGGGAAGGCTCGTTCCGAGGGCCGCATCCTCAGAGGACACGCAGCCACATCTCCCACATGTGCCTCAGGGGACTGAGGGGAAGCCACGATTTGGAAGGAGGGAGTAAGTAAATGGAGGTGGGAGCAGGAAAGAATTGAAGGCATAGCTCAAGCTTTTCTGGTCTGAGTTACAATTTTGGGAAAGGTCTTAACAGTAGCTCAGAGTCGTCAGTAGCCTCTTCTGTTTTCCTTCTGTCTCTAGTCTCAAGGGGCTACAGTGGGATTCCTAAGTCCTTGTTTTTCTCTTTAATTTGATCCTTCCCGCTGCCTTCCATCTGCCGTGTGTTCGAGCTGGAGGGAGAAGGGATTCTGAGTTCCCTGTTTGACTCTCGCCCGGCCCTCTTTGATTTGGGTCATGCCCACACTTTCCCGCTGGGGTCAACTGAGCCCAGGCCAGTGCCAGGCCTGCAACAGGCGACGACGGTGGTGAGACCAGTTGCCAACCGATTGTGAGACTGAGGGACCCGAAATGTAGACACATACTGACCTTTAGGAAAATCACTCTGAGAGTCAGAATGTTTTATCCTGCTTATGCTTTTGTTGCTCAGAATGTTCTCAGGGTTTCTCTTCAGGCATTTCCTTCAAGAACCAGAAAACAATCAAAATAACAGTCCTTATTACTTTTCAGACATCGTTTTAACTAATACCATTCTTCCTTATGTTATCACCCACCTGTGCATCCAGGTTAGTTCTAAATTTCTTTTGCTCATTTTCAAACAGTGAATTAACCCTAACAGATGAAAACGTGCCCCCATGAAGAGATAGGGAACACAGCACTCCTGTTTATTCTTGCTACATTTTTTGGCTTAGGGAAGCATCTCTTCCTGGCTCCCTTAGAGTATGAGAGAAGAGTTTCTTATTCATGGACCTCCATTGGCTGTTGCAGTCTCAGGGTTAGGAGACATGCTGCTGCTTCTGTGAGCTTGCTCAGTTTGGGAGATGGAGAGGAGTCTCTGGGGACTGTTTCAGAATTGCTGGCATGAGCCTCAAGGAGCAAGCAGAGCCCTTGTGAGGAGATGGGAAGAGCCATTCTGAGGAAGTGTCCATTAGGGACAGGGCTTCACTCTCTTCCTCCTGCTGCCAGCTCTTGCCAGCATCAGATTTTGATCTTGGGCCACAACCTACCAGGTCTACTGAGAGTCTGCTATGTGCCACTCTTCTCCCTAGGCTCTTGGGGCCTTAGACAGCCACAGTGTGACTTGTCCTGTATAACAAATGATGACTGTATCTTAGCCTGCCTGTGGGTAACCTGATCTGCAAACGTGTCTCCTGACTGTGGGCCCTCCGTTAGGATTCCATGTGTGATGTTCTGTACCTGTATGAACCTTAATGTCAAAAGGTAGGTGGATATTAAAACTGTAGTGATATGCTGTTCCCCACCCATGGTAGGCGATTCACAGAGCCTGTGGCTCCCCCAAAGCAGCTCTCAGACGCTGCCCTAAAGGCCATGGAAGAAGCAGTGGCCCAAGAACTTGAGCAAGAGCAGAGGCGGCTGCTGGAATCCAAGCGAGAGAAGATGCAGCAACTGCGAGAGAAGCTGTGGCATGAGGAGGAAGAGGAGATCCTCCGGCTTCACCAGCAGAAAGAGAAGTCTCTCAGGTCTTGCCCTTTCCCTTAGGCACACTTTCTGGGCCTCGCAGGGATATGGGGAGTGAGGGACACCCTCTTCCCACCCCGGAGACCACTGGGATGTCCATGGCTCCACGAAGACTACTCCTGGAAACTTTACCCAATAATTTCTGCTTATAGCTCATTGGTTATCCCAGTTGCAAAGGAGACTGGGAAATGTAAGTCCTTCAGCTGTCCTTTTTACCTGGTAGAATAAAATCAGGGTTCTGTTAGTAAGGAAAAAAAGGATAGTGGATATAGAGATGGTAATGAGCAATCTGTCACAGTCCCAGGATGGGAAGATACTACAAAAAGGTGTTAATGTATTTCATTTACTTGGCAATTTAACTAAAGGCTAAATCTTGTCCTCTTGGAACATCCAAGGGTGGTAGAGAATTATTATTTTTAGATCATACATAGCAAAGTGTATATACAACATTTATGCTTAACTTAGAGAAAATAAAGCAGAAAACCAACACCCAAATACCAGGAGGATTGGGGGCGATCTCTCTCATTATCCCAACACAGGATCTGCTGACCTAGGCTCTGTCCTTATATCATGTCCTTCTGGGTCCTCTGCCAAGAAGCATCCCAAAGCACAGACCTCCCCACAGCACCCCCCTCTTCCAGTCAACTGAAGATTGGGGCAGGTGCCCACCCAAACAGGATGTGACTCAGCAGTTCACTTTACAATGCAGCCCCTTGGGGGAAATGCTGGTGGTGTCTCCCTGCCAGCCTGCCAGGCTCTTCCCCTCTTCCTGGCCACCCTGGGCTTGGCTCGCTGTGCTTTCTATTTCTCTCCTGAGCCTTCTGACTCCACGGGGCCTTCAGAGAGCCCTCTTAGATTGTGGTGAAGACTAGCATGCCAAAAGTACCTGATTTAGGGCCTGAAACATGGTAGTTGCTCAATAAATGGTAGTGCTTATTATTTTCAGTCCAAATCCATAGTTTCAGACGGTCTCAACTAAGTGGTTTCTCTGTGGATAGTGCCTTGCCTGGTTCTCTTCAAAGTATTAATAGTTCATCAAGAAAACCCTATTTCTGTTCATGCCCAAGCCTTTTTGAGGGATAGGCCCTCCTTTTCTTTGCTGAAAAACTTCCACATGGTAGAAATTTCTGGAAGCCACAGCTGATCTTATAACAAATACTTTTTGAATGAGAAGGCAGGCAGCCCCTTAGTTTCTTTAGCTGTAAAATGAAGAGATGGGACTTAACCACTGAAGTCCTTGCTGGCTCTAACTATCTGTGTTACTACGTGTAAAATTTAGCCATGGGACAAAGAGAAAGGGTTTCTGGGGAATCTAGAGGGAAGGATTTTTACTTAACTCAAGTTTTCTATCATAATAGAAGAGAGCAGGGTTGTTGATAACTTGAAATAGGAAATGATCCTAAATCCTTTTGGCTTTGGAATTTGCTACGGAAGCTTTTGAAAGAAATTGTTTTCTGAATCATGTTTTTATTAGGCTTGAGTTCCCTGAGTGCACAGCTCACATCCCTGGTCATGTGGGGCTATGTGAGGAGCTCCCTGAAAAGGGTGTGGTTTGCATCTGCTTTGGATGAAATGGTCACCATTGTTGACCTATAAATAAGATAACTGTTTGTGAATAATCAAGGCTTGCTTATAGTTTGGGGCTGGAAGATGCTGTTAAAATTCAACACACATTTATCGAGCACCTACTTTATGTCAGCTACTATCTTTGGTACCTGGGATATAACAGATTTTTATTTTGAGACAGAGTCTCACTCTGTTGCCCTGAGTAGAGTGCCGTGGTGTCGGCTTAGCTCACAGCAACCTCAAACTCCTGGGCTCAAGCTATCCTCTTGCCTCAGCTTCCCGAGTAGCTGGGACTACAGGCCTGCACCACCATGCCTGGCCAATTTTTTCTGTGTATATTTTTAGTTGTCCAGCTAATTTCTTTCTATTTTTAGTAGAGACAAGGTCTCACTCTTGCTCAGGCAGGTCTCGAACTCCTGAGCTCAAATGATCCACCTGCCTCAGCCTCCCAGAATGCTAGGATTACAGGCATGAACCACCATGCCTGGCCAGATATAACAGATTTTAAGATGAGATTTTTTTCTCTGAAGAAGCTCCCAGACTTGAAAGGAAGACAGATACAAAAGATTAATTATCATGCCATAAAGCACATGGTACAGAGAGGCATGGGATAAGAAAGGTCCACATACAAAGTGTGTTGGGAACAGAAAGGTGAATTGATGAACTTGGAGGGAGTTAGAAAGACTTCCCAGAGAGGAGGGACCTGGGTGGTAAATGATGAATATGGGTTTGTCAGATAGAAAAGGGAATTCTTGGCAGAGGAACTAGCAGGAAACAAAGGCCAAGAGGCAAGGAAGAGTGTGGTGGGATTCAGGGATGGCGACTCAACTGATGTGCCTAGAACAGAGTCTGTAGGGTGTGGAGGGGAAGAATGGAACCAGAGTGAGGGTGGGTGACTGCATCTGTTTTTGAGTGAATGCCGTGCTATGGCGAACGTGTCAGCAAAGCGGAGCCTGTAGAAGAAATGCTGTACTCAGACCCTGCAGTCTGCTTCCTGTGGCAAAGCGGAGTTCATGGCCCCCTGGTGACCCTGGGAGGTAGTATGGGGAGGCAGCCTGGATGCAGAGGCTGAGGTTAGACTTCTCTTTAAGATCTAGGAAGCTTCATAGGCAGAATACAGGGCTGTTGCAGGCTGAAAGCCAGGGATTATGGATAGAAGAGGAAAGACCTTTGTTGTCTCTCCAACAAACTTGCCTTTTCTTTCCATTAAAGTTCCTTGAAGGAACAGCTGCAGAAAGCCACTGAAGAGGAGGAGGCCCGCATGAGAGAGGAAGAAGGCCAGAGGCTATCCCGGCTTCGAGCTCAGGTCCAGTCTAGCACAGAGACAGATGAGGACAGAATCAGGTGAGTGCACACTGCGAGTTGCCCAGCCCCGTGGAGGTGACCCCAGGGTGCACAGGGCCATCCCCATTCCACTCTGTCTGCCAGGGCCGAGCAAGAGGCTTCCCTGCAGAGGCTGAGAGAAGAGTTAGAGACTCAACGGAAAGCCGAGAGGGCCAGCCTGGAACAGAAAAACAGGCAAATGCTGGCGCAGCTCAGGGAAGAAATGGAGGCATCAGAGAAGAGCGAGCAGGCTGCCCTGAACGCCAGGAAGGAGAAGGCTCTGCAGCAGCTGAGGGAGCAGCTGGAAGGGGAGAGGAAAGAAGTGAGCAAGTCAAGTGGGGACCACACCCTCTGATGTGTTGCTGGGCTGCCTGGGGAGGGAGCAAGTGCGGAGGAAGAGCGAGGGCAAGCTTCAGGTGGGCGTGCAGGCCGGGGAGCCAGTCTGAGTGTGGCTGTCGTGCACGGACAGGCGTGGGAGATGGTGAGCTGACCGTCTGGGCCCATCACTCCACATGGACTTGACTGGTCTCCATGGCAGGGTGGACATGGCAGGTGTCCAGGGGTCCCTCCAGGGTTGGGCTGGTCAGGCAGTGGCAGCTGAGTGTTGTCAATGGTGGGGAGCAATGTCCTGTGGATTTGGGAAGGTTTCATGGTGGAATAAATTTCAGCCAGACCAGAGGTGCCCTGTCCCTGTCTCTGAGGGGCAGCTGCAATGACTTCACTTCCCTCTTTTCTCTCCTGTCTTAGTGTGAGAGGCTAGCAACCTAGAAGGGTTTTTCTCCTTTGTCCTTACTCCCTCTCCCTCCAGCCAGATGGTCTGCCTCCAGGTTAAACGCAGGCCATTCTTTTTCTCCTGGTGAGGAATGGAGCTTTAGCTGTTAGGGGAAAACTGCAGCAAGATGGAGAGGACTTCATTGTACTGCTAGTGCTCAGAGAGATTGTGCTAAAACCTCCAGCCCTCCCTGGCTTGGATCTTATTTATACTGTGAGTGCCCTCTGTGGACCTGTGGCCGAGCCCAGAGGCAGGGGGATGGGAGCGGTCAGCTGAGACTTACTGAAATGCCCCTCTACTGCAGGCTTCATGTTCCTGTTCATCCCCCGGTTGTAGAGTTTAGGGACTAAGTCATTTTACAGGAACAAAGATGTGCCACTCTTTCCCTTTGGCATGGTCTTCCTGACTCTGCCTTCCCTGGTGGTCAGTACCAGGCCGGCTGTTCCCACCCTGTTTCCCTCATAGGCCCTTTGCTCCTCCCCAGGCAGTGGCAAGGCTGGAGAAGGAGCACAGTGCCGAGCTGGAGCGGCTCTATTCCTCACTGGAGGCCAAGCACCGGGAGGTGAGATGTGGCTGGCTCTGGCCTAAGAGGGAAGAGCCTGGGCAGCTTGAGCCCTGAACATGAGCCCCAGGACCCCCTTCATGGCTGGTCAGTAGAAGAGCTCAGCCCCTTCTAGGGAGCGAGCCTCCCTTTTCCTCCAGGTCCCAGGGAATGGATACTGGGTCCTAGGAAAGTGTCAGCATCTCTGCGGTCTGAGGGTCACACTCCCCTGTGTGTGCTGGGACCTCCTCAGGTGGTCTCCAGCCTCCAAAAGAAGAGAGAGGAAGCTCAACATAAAGACGAAGCTCAGCTGCAGGAGAGCCTTGGGAGGGCAGAGCAGAGAGCTTTCCAGAAGGTTCACCAAGTGATTGAGTATGAGCAAGAGGTGAGTACTGGCTGTGTCTTCAATATTTGTATGCACCTGTCGTGGGCTCTCTTACAGTCTCCCAAGCCATCTTGGCCTAAGTGTCCCCCAGTTTGGGGTTAGTACTTCTGGTTCTGTTTTTATGCCTTACTTCCCTTGAAGCCAGGTACTTCCGCATCCCCTCTGTGCATATAGGGAAGGGGTGTTGGAGGTATGGCCATGTGTATGCCATGGTGCCACATGTGTGTGATGACTGTGTGTATTGTGTGTGTACAGGGGAGGTTGGAGAGGTAGGTATAAGACCCTCAGGTGCACCAGGCCCGGGTGCTGATTGGCCTTCAGTCTCTGCCATCTGCCCTGCAGCTCAGCAGCCTCCTGCGAGAGAAGCGCCAAGAAGTAGAAAGGGAGCACGAGAGGAAGCTGGACAAGATGAAGGAGGGGCACCAGCAAGCGATGGCTGAGGCCAGAGAACAGTATGAAGCTGAGGTAGCTTGGCCATGTCCCCTGTACGCATGTACACACACATACGCACGCGTGCTCTCGCTTTCTCTCTCTCAGGCTTTCCTCCCTGGTATCCTGCAATTATGAAGTTATTTTTTACCTTTTTACTAAAGCATGAGAAAAACCTCCACCTAATGGGGGGAATTTCTCTCTGTTGGGCAGGCTGTACTTTTCTTCCAGCGGTAATAGTAGCCAACATGTGCTGGGCTTGTACTGTGTGCCTGGCACTGCTCTAAGGTCTTTATATATGTTAACCCATCTATTTCTCACGATAGCTGTGGGAAGTACGTACTATCATTACATTCATTTTAAAGATGAGGGCACTGCGACTTAGAGAGTTTAGGTAACTTTCCCAAGACAATACCCAGCTAATAAATATAGGAGCTAGGATTCGTGCCCAGGCTATCTGACTCCAGAGCCTTCAGTTTCATCACTCAAACACCATGCCATGAGGGTTAATTGAAATTTCAGGACACCATGAAATAGACTGACAAGAGCCAAATAATATTTAGGTAATATTTGCCTATCTTCAGCCTTTGGCTTTAAGGTGGGAGAGTTTAATTACTTGAGTGGCCTCAAGCTGGCTTGGCTTGCTTATGCTGGGTGGGGGTAATGGTGGGAGGGTAGGGGGCAGCTGACTTTAGCCCACAGCTGGGTCTCTGTGGGGCATTTTTAGGCTATTGCTCTTGTAACTGGAACCAGTATTTCAGACCCTTTCTGTAATCTGTTCCATGTAGAAATAGTGGTCCTGTGATGAAGTTTAGCTGAATCCCATCCCAAACTAATTATGACCTTGATGAAGAATAGGGATAATTTATCAGTGACCTTGCTTCCCTTAAGGAGGAAGAGTTAGACATGGTAGAGCAGTAGGAGACCCAGAGGGGTTCCTCATGGCACTTGGCCAGCATGTGCTTCAGCTGCAGGGAGGGGGATGCAGGCTTGGAGGGGCTGGGGCAGTGCTGGCCTTGCAGCTCTCCTTCTCATCTCTAAGAGCTGGCCTTAGGGGGCTCACGATGTCCCTGAGCTGATTGACCTGGGGCTAGGGGTAGGAGGACCATGATTTTTGGGGTGGGAGGGCTCACTGCAGTTTCCCACTGGCCGGCCCACCCTCCTTCAGGAGAGGAAACAGCGGGCCGACCTTCTGGGGCACCTGTCCGGGGAGCTAGAGCGCCTCCGGAGGGCCCATGAGCGAGAGTTGGAGACGGCGAGGCAGGAACAGGACAAGCAGCTTGAGGACTTGCGGCGCCGGCACCGGGAGCAGGTGAGGGGCCTGGGGCGGGATGAACCCACCATGACTTCTCTGTGCAGGTTAGGAAGGCGTCAGGTGCAGACGCCATGGTCGTGGCAGGATGAAGCCCAGCAGCTTCCAGAGTTGGGGTCTTTCACTGGCCATCTCCAAGCTGGGGCACCTCTGCTGTTTTGTTTTCTGGGCCAGGGAACACCCTCAGCATTACAAGGGGAGGTTAGCCCTGGAAGGCTTTGGGGTTGGTGCCTTCGCTTCTCCTTGTCCCCACTGGAAATACACAAGGTGTGGTGCTTGTCTGGGAGGCTGCAAGGGCACACTGGGAGGAAGCCTGAGCCCAGAGTGGAGGTTGTGGTGTGTTGTGGTGGGTTGTGGGTTCTGGAACTCACACCTGCCCCTCAGCTCATGCCTTATACTCCTTCTATGCTTCTATCTTTCTCTCCACTTACTCCTCTGGGCAGGAAAGGAAGCTCCAAGATTTAGAGATGGAACTGGAAATCAGAACTAAAGATATCAAGGCCAGGTTGGCTCAGCTGGATGTTCAGGTGAGGATCCGCAGGGGCCCTGAACTTAAGAGTCATAGCTCCTCTAGGAGAAGGCTGGCCCTGCCCCTCAGATAGGGGTCTGTAGTCAGCCAGCGTGCGCTGTGTCTTCCCGTCCAGGAGGAGACAGCCCGGAAGGAGAAGGAGCAGCTGTTTGACATGCAGAGGCAGGTTGCTCTGGAGAGTGAGGTTTGTCTGCGGCTCTTGTCCTCCATCCCCTTCCTTTCCACCCCTCCTCACACCTTTTTTGTTCACCTGATCTGTCCAGGGTCCTGAGGTTCCAAACTCTGTTGGCTAATATTCCACAAATAGCTTCACTCTGTGGACCCCCACTTGGGGAAACCCGAGGAAGTGGGGCTGTCATGGGATAGGAGCCTGCAGACCTCCTCACCTCAGAGACAGTAACTTCAGTGGCTCTGAGACACCCCCCAGCCCGCCCTCCTCAGGCTTCCCTGCCCTCTAGTGCTGCCTGCTCCCTGCCTTCTCCCCACTGTGTCTCTGGGTGCTTCAGTCTTTCCATCCACCCCTAGGAAGCCACAGCCACCCATCAGCAACTGGAGGAGGCAAAACAGGAGCACACCCACCTGTTGGAGTCAAACCGGCAGCTCCGAAGAATACTTGACAAGCTTCGGTCCCGCAAGTTGGAGTTGGAGTCCCAAGTGGATCTGCTGCAGACTCAGAGCCAGAGATTGCAGAAACGCATCAGGTGGGGTGGGCACCCTGCCCTTAGTCACCCTGGCTGCCTCCCGCCTGTCCTCTGACTTCCGCTGCTTGTGGGCCCTGTCTCATCATGGCCCAGTTCATAAGGGAGAGGTAGTGGAGGCCAGGGACAAGAGCCTGTGGCTGCTGCATTTTGTAGAGAGTAGGGGGTGTTAAGAGGCTGTGAAAAGCAGGGGATCCCTGGTTCTACTGTTCCACAGCCCCACCTCTGGGGGACTGTGATTGGAGTGAGGGGATGGAGATGTCCCGACAGGGTGCTGCCTGGCCCGCTTAATCATGAGACTGACTCTCACCCCAGTGCTGGCTCCCCTTTCCATCCATAGCAGCATGGAGGCGGAAGCGCAAAGGAAGCAGGACCTGTTAGAAGAGCTGAGAGTTGAGGAGAGTAATGCTTCTGCACATTTTGAGCCGGATCTCCACATTGAGGACCTGAGGAAATCCCTTGGGACAGTGAGCTGGGGGCTGGAGACAGGGTGGGGTGTAAATGGGTAGGACATCAGGAGGGCCTGGCTCTGTTCTCTGCAGGACCTGGCCTCCTGTTCTCATTCCCACCTCCCACTGTCTTCACCAGTCCAGTGGTATCTGCAGGGAATTGTGCCTGGCAGCTGGCAGGGCCATTTCCTTATCTTGGCCATTGGGAGGGCTTTGGGGCCTCTTGAGCCTACAGGTGTCTGCTTTAGCTGCACTCAGTGGGTCTTTTCTACTGTGTATCCCTGGAGCCATACCAAAGTTGTGTCCTCTTCTCTCTCCTAGGACAAAGATGACCTGTCCTTGGACAAGTGAGTTCCTGTGGCTTGTCTTATTTCTGGTTGGGGGTACTGTGAAGGGGTGAGTGAGTGCCTGCGTTACAGAGTTGCGGTAAGCTGAAATGAGCTGACAGAAATCACCAGTGGGACTTGGTTCAGCAGGAAGGCCCCAGGGGACTGAGGAATCTTCTCTGTCAAGTTAAGAAAGTATCCACTGTGACCTTTGACACAGCATGCTGGCATCTGCCGACCTCTGGTTGAGGATCAGACCTCTGGGATGTCTGGTCATCTGTGCGGAGGCCCTGGGTGTAGTCCCTGTCAGAGTTAGGGTAGGGGCACCACTAGTCCCATGTGCTGCGTGCTGTAGGCATTTAGCAGTGGTACCTCAGCGCACTGCCCAGCCCCAGCCCAGCAGCTCCTGTCTGTCTTCAGGGTGGGCATCAGCTGGGAAATTGGCTGTGTGACCCAGAGCAGGTTCTTAGAATCTTCTGTTTTCCTCCCAATTCTCCTGCCCTGGCCCACCCTCCCAGTGTCCGGCACTACCTCTCTGCCGAGGGAGTAGCCCTCCGTAATGCCAAGGAGTTCCTGGTGCAGCAGACACGCTCCATGCGGAGGCGGCAGACAGCTCTGAAAGCTGCCCAGCAGCACTGGCGCCATGAGCTGGCCAGCACTCAGGAGGCAGCTGAAGACCCGTCGGGCACCAAGGCCCTGGGAGATGTGCGCAGGAACCTGGAGGAGGTCAGGACCTTGAGGAGGCTTGCCAGCCTTGTGCCAGGGGGCGTCCTGGGGGAGCCGGTGGAACACACACCTTTGGGCCCTGCCTCAGTTGATTATTCTGGGAACTCCATGAAAGTGGCCACCTTGGCCCTGGGCTCACTTACATTCACATGGCAATGCATGGCGTGCAGACAACCTTCTGTGATAGTAAATCACTGTGTCCTCACCATAACCATATATAATGTGCAAGATAGTAGTATTCCCACTTTCTAGGTGAAGAGTACAACTGAGGTTTTAAGACTTTCAAATGCAGTGCTTTGCTTTTTCATTTTGTCACACTAGAGACTTCATTTATACACAACAGTCTTTTTTTTTTTGAGACAGAGTCTCACTTTGTTGCCCAGGCTAGAGTGAGTGCCTTGGCGTCAGCCTGGCTCACAGCAACCTCAATCTCTGGGACTCAGCGATCCTACTGCCTCAGCCTCCCGAGTAGCTGGGACTACAGGCATGTGCCACCATGCCTGGCTAATTTTTTGTATATATATTTTTAGTTGGTCAATTAATTTATTTCTATTTTTGGTAGAGACGGGGTCTCACTCAGGCTGGTTTCGAACTCCTGACCTTGAGCAATCCGCCCGCCTCGGCCTCCCAAAGTGCTAGGATTACAGGCATGAGCCACCACGCCCGGCCTTACACAACAGTCTTTTAAACACACTCAGCATAAGACTCTGAGTTCCTTCTCTTATAGCCTAATTTGCATTGAAAAGGCAGAGATGTTATTGTTAGTTGGGATTACAGATCCTTGTACTAGTATGGGGTCCTGGCAGAGGTTCTCTTGGATCATGCCTGGGCCCTTAGAATTCTGATGATGATGATGTAATGACAGCTGGAGCAGTGATGATAACAACCATTTGATTAACAGTAACCATCTGAGACTATATTAGGTGTGGGCATGGTGTTACACATGTAACATGCTCATTTAATTCTCACAACCCTATGAAAAGTCGTTATTGCTCTTTTCCAGATGAGAAACCAGACTGAGACTTAAGTAATTTGTTCAAGATCACCCAGCCAGCAAATGGTAGACTTGGGACTCCAGGGTCAGTACAGTCAGTCACTTCTCCTCCCCTTTCTCCCTGGCTGCAGGAGACCAGGCACCTGGATGAGATGAAGTCAGCTATGCGGAAAGGCCACAACCTGCTGAAGAAGAAAGAGGAGAAGCTAAATCAGCTGGAGTCCTCTCTTCAGGAAGAGGTGCAGCCCTGTGGCCTCCCTCTCCTGTTTCTGGGTTTGAGTTGGGTCCTTTGTTCCTCTGTCAGGGGAGCTGGGCCTCAAGGGTCCAGGACTGGGCAGTAGGCTTCGGGCTCCTGGCTGGTGAAAATGACAGTGGCTTTAGCTCTGAGTTTGTTGAAGTCACCTGTGGGTTTGGATGTCTATGCTGAATGGTCCTGAGTACACTAGAACTTCTTACTGGAGAGTCCTGAGAAGGGGGCCTAGCCCCTGCCCTTACCCTGCCTGTGTACCTAAAGAGAAGCTTGACCAGGGTGCCAGGAGTGGATGCACATGACAGACAGGTTCTCCTACCTGCCCTGGGACCTTTTGGACTTTTCCCTGGATGTCTGAGACTTAGATGTGGCAGGAGGGAGGCTGAGGTGGAGAGACACGGCAGGCAGAGTTTACTGGGAGGGTAGAGTGGGCATCTGTGTGGTCCTGGTGGCCCTGATGCCTGTGTCTCAGGTACTTGGGTTCTCTTAGCCTCGCCTCCCTCGCTCCCCACTGTGAGACAGCCTGTGTGGTGTGCCTCCCCCAGGGTGCCTGGTGGAACTGGGCCCCGGAAGAGCCAACTCACTGAGTCCTCAGTCCCCACGCATTGCAAGGGCAACAGCCTACAGTCTTGGATATGTAGCAACGTAATTGCAAGGAGAGCAAACTGAGATGGCCGTGTTTCATGGATTTGCGTAAGAAAGCCAACTTAAAGACAAAACACAAAAGAACCCAGCTCAGCATCCTAGCCACTTGCTAAAAAGGAAAGAAGTGAGGTAGAAAGACACCAGAAGGGTCAGTAATGGCTACTGCTTCTACTCATCAGGACTTAGGTGAGGACACTCTGAAAGGAACCCTCACCAAGAAGGTGACTTTCGACCTCAGTGACTTGGACGACACGAGCAGTGAAAGTTCTGATTCCTGCTCCTCGATTCACAGTGAGTGGTGGTGGCAGTGGGGAAGTGATGGGGGGATATGCAGGGGTGGAGACCACAGTGTCCATGGATAGGGAGGAATTTGGGGAACAGAGGAACAGCCCTGCAGAGGGAGGTCTCCACAAGCCAGTGTCTGTGCTGGGTACTCAGTAAATGCTAGGAAGGAGTGAGGCCACCTGCGTTTGCCAATACACAGGGCTGAGAGGGTTGGGAGGGCCTCCTGAATGCTGCAGAGCACTTTACAGTTTGTGAGCTGTCCCTGCGAGCCTCTTCTCTTCCAGGGCCTCCCTGGGGGCTGCTGTTCTCCCCCTGCTGCTCTGGCCTGCGTGTGGGCAGAGGGCCCTCTTGCCTTCCTTTTCTTCAGGGTCCTGGGCCCTTCCCCAGGGCCTTGCCCTGGAAACTTCTTTCTCATGGCCAGCTTCGTCTATCCTGTCTGGAACACAGAAGCCCTGCTGACCCCAACCCCCTCATAAACCAAGGGGCTGTTGTCCCGGCTGTCTGCAGGAACAGGAAGGGGCGGCCAGCAGGGTGCTACAGCGCCAACTGGGTCTGGGGTCATTCTAGGCCTGGCCCTGAGTCCTTCCCCACCATCCACCTCTTCCCTTTCAGTCAACTTGTCCTCCAGTCCCATCATCCCTGACAAGATCCACGACTTGAGCAGCTCCCTGCAGCGGATCAGCGGCCAGCTGAACGCTGTCCTGGACCTCCTGAGCAACCTCAACGCCCAGCCGCCACCGCTCTTCACGTCCACGCCAGTGCATGGCTCCCTCCGGGCCCCCAAGAGCATCCCTGCTCCCACCTATTCTCCCTCCATGGCCAGGGCCTCAGCCTCATCCCCTGTGGCACCCACGTCCACCCAGTGGGCCTGGGACCCGGGGCTGGGCCCCAGGCTCTCCTCCTCCATACCTCAGGCAGTGGATGACTTCCTGCTGGAGAAGTGGCGCAAGTATTTTCCATGTAAGCCTTGCTCTGGGCCAGTGTGTGCATCTGGGCTGAGCCTTCTCACCATCCTCATCTTCTTTCTTCCTTTTCTTCTACCTCTTTTTCCTACTCCTTTTTCCTCTCCTCCTCTTTGCCTCCCCTTGTCCCATGCCTCCCAACTTCAGCATGGTCATTGGTCCATTGACTCTGTCTTGGGGTCCCTGATAAAGAAGGCCTTGCTGGTGGCCCTGCAGCTGGAGGCTCTGTGGGTCAGGATGGTTTAGATGCAGCCTGGGCTAACTGGGGCCTTTATTATGGATTCTAGAGCTCTACAGAACCTAAAAGGTCATTGTTACCGTCATCTTAATAATTACCATCTTGTGCCAGGCATTACCATTATGGCCAGGCATTTTATATATTTTTTTAATTTAGACCTTATAGTAATTCTCTGAGGTAGTTATTATTTATCTACATTTTACAGATGAGGAAACTGAGACTCAGGGAGTTAAATAATATGTTCTGGGTGCCCAGTGAGTGAGTAACAGAGTTTGACCCATGGCTCTGTGACTGCAGGATTCTGCTTGTAACCCCCTGGTGTGTGACTCCCCTTGCTTCTGGGCCAGCCTTGCTGAGGAAGGTGAAAAGCCATAAAAACACAGGCATTTGAGGGCAACCTAAATCTCTTCTTTATGCCCTGACTGAAGTTGAAAAGTAGATTAAGTTTTAGAAATAAAATAAATAGGACCATTCCTGCCTCTCACCTGCAGCCATGGAACTTTTCCTGCCTTTACTGTTTGTGCTGGGGAGGCAGCGGGTGCAGGGGAGCAGGGAGGCGCCTGTGTGGCCAGGCTGGGGTGCAGCCCACCGACCAACCACCGCCTATTTCTGAGCCCTTCCTCCACCCTTCTAGCTGGCATCCCGCTGCTCAGCAGCAGCCCTGCCCCTTCGGAGAACAGGCTGGGTTACGTGTCTGCCAGGTAAGCCTCCCTGTGTCTTGGTCCGGGTTGAGCCTCAGATCAAGCTGCTTGCTGTGCCTCCCCAGGTGGGTGGGACCTCTGAGGGGAGCAGGCCCCAGGAGGTCAGGCAGGCCCCCAGCCCGCAGAGCTGCCCACATCTTGCCTGGGTCTGAGGCACCCCTCCACACCCAGAGGGAAGTCAAGTCCACATCACCGAGTTCCCAGTGGGGGCAGGGCTGGGCTTACCCAGCCAGCTCCACGAAGAAGCAGCCCTGCAGCCCTGCGGCACCTGTGGGGAGAAATCAGCCCTTGGTGGGACCCAGGCCCTGCCCCTTCCTATGGCCCCTCCAGCCCTGGAGTCTGGCCTTTGTCTTCGCCCTTGAGCTCGTCTGCTTCCTGTGGCTTTCTTCTTCCCTGAGTCCTGCTGAGCAACATCTGCAGTGAGAGGGGCACCCCATTGGGGAGACAGACAGGCAATTATTTAAACCTGTTATTAATTTCCCATTCATCTTATTCCTTGCCAAATGTAACCCCCACTCTCCCCCCCAAGACCCCCAGCCGTAAGTACCGCCTACCATCCCTTTGGCCATCTTGGGAGCTGACGCTGGGCTTGAGTCAATAGAGGGGAGCTCTTTGCTGATGGGATTGGCTGGCAACAGGCAGATGTGGGAGCCCAGAGCCTAATGTCAGTAGTACACACTTGGAAGGTGGGAGGAGGGTGTCCACCACCTTCCTTTTTGGTTCCAGAGGGGCAGCTCTTGCCAGTAGAGGAAGCTTTGAATTGCTAGAAACCCCAAAAAGGCTGCAGCTGGTAGTTGAGAGGAAGAAGGAAGCAGCATGATGGGTTTGGGTCGGCGCTGTGCACATCCCCTTCCGCGGGCACCCCTGCCTGCCTTCTTCCTCTCCCCATGCTCTCCTTCTCCTTCCCAGTGAGCAGCTCCGCCTCCTGCAGCGCCCACATTCCCAGATCCCCCAGGCGGGCAGCACCAACTTTCAGGGCATGATCGATGCTAACCGAAAGTGGCTAGAAAATTTTAAGAATGACCCCAAGTTGTATCCTTTTAGCTGTTTCCAAAATCCTGGTCCCTTCCTACTGTAGCAGCTAGGCTGGGCTGCAGGGTGTGTCCTTGTGCCGTGGGGGTCCAGGAAGGATCCTGTTCGGCCTTTGACCCTTTAATGGTCCCTGCCTGGACGTGCTCAGCTGACTGCAGAGTTTTCCTTCACCGTGTGGCCAGACATCTCTTCTCGGTGCCCAAGCCAACACCCACGTCCAGCCTCCTGCAGCTGGGCCTGGATGAGCACAGGAGGCTGAAGGTGTTTCACTACTGAGGGCTGAGCCCGGGCTTTGGGGCAGCCTGGCCTCTCCTCCACCCAGACCAAGTGCCTGAGGAGCTGCCTGCACTTTATTCCACCTGATAAAGCATTCTCCTGTCCCCTTTGCCACCTCCCCCACTCAGGACTTGGAGGAGCCACCAGGGACCAGGGGGGTGGTCAGCCTCACACTTTGTGCCCTTGGGCTGAAATGTGTGGACTTCTGCGAGCTCCTGCATGGACGTGGCAGACTGATAATTTGCAGTAGCTGTGGAGCATTGGGACATGAGCGCCTTTGAGAGGAAGCTGCCTTCAGGAACCAGGGAACGTGTGGAACTGGGTTGGGCCTTTGGCCCTGCAGGGTCCCGCGTGGGGCTCCCGTGGAGGGCTCCCATGGAGGTTGTGTATATGGTTCTCGATTCACCAGGATAAAGCCCCCCGGCATGCTGGTACCCTGGGCTAGGCTTTGCTGGGCCCACACCTGTCTCTCCAGTACCTCAGCCTCAAAGATCACACCCCTTCATTTTTCTTTTTCTTTTCTTTCTTTTTTAATGTCTCTTTCCTTTTGACTATCTCAGGATTGGGCTCAGCTGCCCAGAACCCTGCGGAAGGTTGCTGGGGCCTGTCCTGTCCCTCTGCTGCACTGTGCTTTCCTCAGGGACTTGTCCTCAGGAGTACCCCTCCTCTGTCCCTCGGGCTCCTCCCCAGAGCCATCCCAGCAAGTCTCAGGTCACAAGCGTACAATTTCTCCAGGAAGCCAGAAAGCCACGGGAAAGACTGGGATGGCTTCTGGTTCTCAGTTTTTCTCTTCCTAGAACACCTTGGGTATTCATGAGTCCCTGTTTTCATCTGTCTTTTCTACCTGTGCCTCCCTGTTCTCTGACCCCACTACTGCTACCTCTTCTCAGAGCCTGGCTGGCAAGGGGCTGGGCCAGGGCCTGGCATGGGCAGTGAGGGCTCTTGTACCAGTTGGAGCTATTGCCACTCTGGCAGAGCTTCCTGCAGTCCCACTTCCCATCGGTGGGCTCCTTGGGAAGTGGTGGATTATTGCAGGAGATGTTCTCTGACATCTGTCTCATTGTTTAAATAAAATGCCCCCATTTTTCTTGTCCTGAAAGCCGTGGGGTTGCCATTGCCTCTCTAACACATAGAAACCCATTCTCACCATCCCCCTCTCATTGCTTTATCATGCAATAAGAAACTAAAATCTAATTGACTATTTTATCCCTCAGATACTTTTTAGGCATCAGCCTGCCACACAGAAAAAGCCCATTTTGTTATTTGGCTCATTCTGTGCTTTGGGAATAGCTCATGTGATACAGCCAACTCTGGTGGTGACAATCCTATGTTTTCTGCATCAATTAAATCTCTGCAGGTCCATTTTCTACAATGCAGTTGTTTGAATTTGTCTACTTCTCTTTGGAGGCCTTTGCTTCCTTCTTCCTGGGAAGGGAGGAAGGAAAAATTAATATTCGTGGAGTACCACCCTAGGTGGTATCTGATTTAATTATCACAACGATGTAGTAGTTAATGTAGATATTTTCTGCTTCATTTTTATGGATGAGGAAGCCAAGGCTCAGAGATCTTTAAGTGCCTAGGGTCCCCAGTAAAGTAGCTGAGCTCCCTACATGTGCAGAACACCCACACTCTGTCCCTACACCCCCAGAGCACCCTCTGTCCTTTCCCAGTCCTTGGGAAGTGACGTTCTCCACCTCTCCCTTTGCCCCCCCACCCCCCGCCAGCTGGAGACCCATGACGCTGTTTCCCAAAGGCCAGTGGGCTTTTCCCTCTATGCAGAAAAGTGAAAGATAAGCCCCCCACAGCCCCTAAACTGGCAGAGTTGTTTTTTTTTCTGTTCCAGTGGTGTGAGCAGCTTACATACAGTCTTGGATTTGTAGCAACAGAATTGCTTGGAGGGCAAACTGAGATAGCCCCTTTCATTGTTTTTCATAAGAAAGCCAATTTAAAGACAAAACTTCCAAAAGAACCCAGCCTAGTGTCCTAGCCACTTCAGCTCAGTTGTGAGATGTTTGTGGACTTTTCCTAAGGGAGCAATGTTGGGAATGATGATAGACCACCCCCCACTAACCTCCCAAATAAAAACTTCCACACAAAATAGCGGTATGGAGCATGGGGAAATAACCCTGGCCTTAGGATGCCTGGGTTTACTCTTGACTCTGCTGCCTGCAAGCTCTGTGGCCTGAACAAGTCCTTTCTGGGCCCTCGTTCCTCCTCCTTACATCTCCTACTTCCCCTGCCTGCCTGCCCCATGGAATGTGCCTTCTCCAGCAGCCATGTCCCCAAATGAAGGGCCACAACAAAAGGAAGACAAGCTTACCCTTTTCCAGTTCTCTTTAATTTGGAACAACTACGCACTCTTGGTTTCCCATTCCCAGAAGCTGGTGGTTCACACGGGCCAGCACACACACTGGCAATGACCTTGTTTCTAGTAAGTGAGTCCATTGAAATGGGAGCCTTAATTTATATGAGACATATCACTGTCACTCTGAAAGAAGAAAATAGAGGTGCTGGCTCCCCGCTGTCATAAGCACTGCTCACATCCAAGTAGGGTTGGGGAGACGGCAGACATTTCTAAATAGGAGTTTTTGTAATTTAGCATCTGCCAACATTTTTTATCAGGTGGGAGGAAAGGAAATGGCCAGGGATTCTGCTTCTAATAGTATGTTCCAGGACAGTGTGGACACGGGCATGGGCATACACCACAGTGTGCTTGGCTCCATCGTGGGTTAGAAAGTCTGCATCTTACGCTGGGGAACACCCCAGCTCTTGGCTTTGAGGTCACTTTACACTGTCCCCATCAAGCCTATCCTGATTGTTGTCAGAGCTTTTAGAAGATCTGGTGGCATTTCTTCTAGAGAAGGCATAGGAGTCCCCTTCTGGCCCAGCAGGGCACTGTCCTCAAAGCCCTGATCCTCTTCCCCTGTCTGTGGGGCCCCACAAAGCCTCCCTGGGAGGGCCCACTCCCTAGGAGTCCAACAGCTCCTCCTTTTCCTTTCCAGGGTCTCTGAGGCTGGTGGGACTGTGGAGAGGCTCCCCGCAGTGCTCTCTCTGACGCTCAGGCTCAAGTTGGGATCCCAGGGCTCCTTGAGAGGGAGCGAGGAGTGATGGGTTGCAGGCCTGTGGAGATGCTGGCACCAGAGTGCATGACAGTAGAACAGGCTCTGGTACATACCTCTGGGATGGACCAGTGGCCACAGCTTGTTGGAGGCAAGGCTTAGGACAAGATGGCCCAGGAAGAAGGATCACCACCCTCTTCCTTGGTTGGGTCAGATCATCTGGTTAGTTTCCTTCCTCCTTTGTTTTTGTCTTGAAAGAACCTTACCACTTCATCTTATTCGTATGTCAGTTGCTTCCCCCAGGCTCTGCACTCCGATCAGATGGGGGACTGGATCTGGGTCTCCCGGATGATGGATCTGCAGTTGGGAGAGAGCTACTGGGTTCATTAAGCCAGCTCAACCATAGCGTCCCCGCTGGGAGCACTATTGTCTCTCCAGCAGCCCTTCTTACTGTGCAGGGAGAGCTCTGCTGTCTGTGATGAAGTGGTTTGTGGGCAGGCAGCACGGCCTGGGAGGGAGGCACAGACCCCCCTGTGGCTCTGGCAGGATGGGGTGCAGGTTGTGCTTTCCTAGTTCTAAAAAAAATATCCTAAGGTGGGAGAAGTCAGCCTGCTTCCTGGCCTTGCTTTCCATGGTAGAGTGGAGGGCATAGGGGACATTCCTGATGGCCTCCACTGAGGAGAGGGACATCTGCTCTTGGGAGGTAGAAAGCAGAGGGACAGTTTGGGGAGTCCCACTGTCAGGGTTAAAAGCAGAGAGGGTATGAATCCAACAAGGATTCCCACTTCAGCCTCTCTATATCTCAATTTTCACATCTGTAAAATGGGGCGAATAGTATATTATCTATCCCTTAAAGTGGTGTGAGGGTTCAAGAAGTCCTCAGAACAGTGTCAATGCATAGTAAGGCCTCACCTTGTTACCACCCTGGCAGGGGAGTCAGGAACCATGACCGAGATGCTGGAACCTGTGTGACCCACCATGAGTAACAGCAAAAGTCTTGGACACAAAGGACAAAACAGCAAGGAAAAAGTTTGCTGGGGGATTGTGTTCCTCTTGGTGCCCAGTTATGTGTGAAAGAGGAGAGGAGAGATGTGGGGAGGGGAGGAGAGAAATGGAAAGTGTATGCTCCGGAGCAGGCACGGGGCAGGAGGCAGAGCCTGTCAGGCTTGAGAGATGCTGCCCTGGGTTGGAACACAAGACTGGCTCCTGGGACCCAGAGCCTGTCAACCGCATGGACCTGGGAATTTGAGGACACAGGCTCCACTACTCTCCTAGTGGCCAGCCCCCCTGTAGGGACACTGCTGGGGCAGCTTGGGCACCAAGGCCTGGGATAGGAAAGGGGCAGAGGTGGGGAGTGGAGACAGGACTCCTCTGGATTACCTGTTACATTAGGCTGGCTCCAAGCCTCTATATTGTGCCTCTAAAGGAACTGGGTTCAAATCCTGGCTGCCATTTATCAGCGGGACACAAGAACTTTTGGAAATGAGTCCTCTTTCTAGGCCTCAGTTTCCTTATTTATCTAATGGGGCTGAAAATGCCTCATACGGAGAGGATGAAGGAGATAACCCATGTCAAATGCCCGGAGTGAAGCACCTTATAAACTGTAGAGCGCCCTGGAAATGCAAGTCGTCATCCAGCCTCTGCTTGAGCCACTCCCTAGGACAAGGTGCTTATCACCTCCTAAGGTGGCCGATTCTGCTGTCGGCCAGGGCTGGAGGTGGCGGTCGGCAGCCTTTTCTTACAGCTCTGTCCTGGACTCACACAGAAGAAAATGCCCCCTCCACTTCTTCCACATGCCGTAATGAAACGGGTCACAGATACCCGCCCCTGCCCCCGCTTGTCCCTCTTATGAACACACACGTGTGTGCACACGGAGTTATGGTGTGGTGCACATTTATATTCTCACAGGGTCTCTTAGTAGTAGTAGCCTCTGCTTGCTTAGTGTAAGCCAGCGCTTATACTGACAACATCTTACTGAATACTCACAACAATCCTACGAGGCAGGGGAGTATGATCTCCATGTTACAAAATGAAAAAAAAAAAAAAAAGATTTGGACTGAAGGATTAAGCTAGTAGGTTGCAGAATCAGAATTCAAACCCAGTGGCTTGTAGGGATGGTTGTGTGTGGGCGCACTTGTGGGGACAGTGCATGTACCCTCACGAGTGTGTGCCCTCCGTCCTAGCACAGGGATTGGTGGGCAAGTGTGGGGACAGGGAAGGGGGTCCAGAGAGGCTAGGGAAAGTGCCAGAGGAAAGGCCTCCTGGTCTGCCCTTCCTTGTCTTCCCTACGGCTCTCCCTGCTTCGGAGGCCAGGGAGCCTCCGACTGAAGGCAAGACAGCGTTTGTGCCCGGAAATAAATTGCCCGTCTCCTCTGTCCTCAGCCCCTCCTGGAGAAGCTGGCAGGCCCTGGGGCCACAACAGCATCCACTTGCCTGTAGCCACAAAGAGAGGTTGGTAGGGACACTGCCTGGGTGTCCCCGTCCAGGAACCTCCTCCCGGGGAAGGAGGCAGCTGCGCTGGGGCAGAGGCAGACCTGAGCCGCTGTGCTCGGGACAATGACTATCTAGAGACTGAGCCTCAGGGTCTTCCTCCGAGGAGGGGATCATTCTAGCACCCCAGGGAAGTCCGCTGGACTGCTTGTCCTCCTCCCCTCAAGCCCTTAGCCCCACCGAAGGGCGAAGTACATAGTAGGCGCTCCGTGAACAGAAGGCTTTCCTCCACCGGAAGGCCCACGTGTAATTCCCTCCCTTCTTGGCATGGTGGACTCTCAAAGGCCCCGGCTGCTACAGCGACGGGCTCTGCAGGCTGCGCTCTGGTCCACAGTGACCCAGACCCTGGCGGCTGCTCCGAGGGGTCTGGCCGGGCAGCGGTGACCCCCTGCCGCCCTGATATCTACCTGGGTGGGGGGACCGTGCTCTCCTCTAGTCTCAGCATCCCTTGGAGGGGGTGTCAGGGCCTGAGAGTCCTGGGACCCGTGTCCTCCCGGGGAGGAGGAGGGTAGGTGGGCCCCCAGGTGGCGGGCAGAGTCAGACGCCACAGGAATGCCTGTGGGAGGGAGGGGGCGCGGGCCGGTGGCCTGAAGCTTGAGGGCGGCTTGGGGCCTGGCTTTTGCGACGGGCATTGGTCCCAGGCAGCTGCAGGGATGGCTGTGGTGGCCACTTGGGTGCTGAGCTCGGGGGTGTATGCTCAGAGCCCACGTGGGGGTGCTACATGTCACCAAGGTCTCACAACCCGCGCACGGAGAGGCCACGTGTCACCAAGGCCAAGGCGCTGGCGGGCCCTGGCAGCCAGGGACACGCCGGCGAGCCCTGGAATGGTGCTATCTGCCTCCTCCAGGCGGAGAAGGGTGGAGCTAACGAGAATGAGTGGTGCCCACAGCAGCAGGGGGACTTTGGGGCAGAGGCCTCCTTGGCGGGGCTGAGGGCACTGACATGGTGGCGCTTTACTGCAGTTACCACCTCTGCTTAGGTGACTCCCGTCGAGAGTCAGGCAGCCGAGTGCCAGCTCCTGGTTCCCAGCGATGACGGTGGATTTGAGGTTGTCCCGGCCTCCAGAGCTTCTCTTCCTGTACCTGTAAGGTGTCTTGGTGACTTTCAGTAGGTTCTCCAGGGCAGCAAGGGACCTTCACATCCTACCTGCTCCCATGGACACAAGCCTGGGCAGAGCAGGCAGCTCCTGGCTTCTCTGGGATCTGCTCCTGTGAGCTGCTGGTCTTTATCTGCCCACTTTGCAGTTAGAGCACTTAACCCGCATCATGGCCTTTTGGTCTCAACCTGGCACAGTGCAGGGATCATTTTCCCATTTCACAGAAGAGGAAATTGAGGCCCATGAGGGTGAAGCCGCTCTCCCAGGGTCACAGAGCTGGAGAACGGGCGCTGGGATTGGACCCCACATTCCTGCTTTTTCCATGCACAGTCCCTGCCACGTGGCAGGTGCTCACAGATGCTGCCTCCAGGTGGCACCTGGGTTCTGTAAAGGATTCCAAGGCGTTTGGGGAACACTAATCTGGAATTCAAACCCTGCCTATGCTGCTTGCTAGCTGAGTGACCCTGTGCGAGTCACCTGACCTCTCTGACTTTTAGCCAGTAAAATGGAGATTATACCTTCTCAGGACAGAAATAATGGATGCATTCATTTTCCAGCCTCATCTCTTTCCCACTGCTCACCAGAGAGGGTGCGTGCCTTGCCTGCTCCTTCCCCCACCTCCTCTGCTTCCCCTGTACCCAACTGCTGCTGTTTCAAGAGAACATTCTGCAGAGGAGAGGAGGGTGGAGCTGAGAAGGGCTGGAGAAGAAGGGGCAGAGTGTGGGGACGGGGACGGGGGTGGGGGGGCACAGGCCCTGCAGCGCCAGGCGTGCGGACTTGGGTGGAGGAGGAGGGTGTGAGTGAGCATCACTCTCTCCTGTTCATCTGGGTGCCCCAGCGTCACCAAGACAAAAGCTAATAATGAGTTAATTAAAATTTCTCGTTTGGTTCCTGGATTGCGGTTCTTTGACCAGCGCCACTGAGACTGAACCATGTGGGTTTTTGTGTTCATGGGAGTTACACTTTCTCACAGGTGGTTGTAAAGGGGCGAGAGTATCCGTGTTAGTGGCTAGCAGGGTGCTCAACGCAACCAGACTCTCCATAAAGGGCAGCAGGTGTCACTGTCTTCTGTTGTTTTGTCTTCTCATACCTTGGCTCTGTGTTTCATGAGATCTCAGTCTTCACTGATCTACTCCCTGCGCATCTCTCCCCCCCTTTCTCCTTCATCCGTCCATGTCTGACATGTGTCATGCCCCTCGTAAACCAGGCATCGTTCTGGATGTCACAGGGAAGGAATGGAACCCTTTTCTGCCCTTGTGTCGTTTGTCAGCTGAGAACAATGTTCACATACCACGTGTGGAGGGCTGCCGTGTTGGGGAGGAATGACACTTGTTTGTGGGGCCCCGAGGAGTGGTGATACCGAGCCTTTTGGGGGGGGGAGTCAGAGGGGGCGGCCCACACGTCGCGTGGGGGAGACTTTGCTAGTAGACCCGTGCAAAGGGGCGATGTGCAGGCTGGGGGGTGATGTGTTTTCCAGCAGGAGGAGTGCACGGGAAGGCCGGTCTACCCTTCTTGATTGTCGACGGGATTCGGGATTTGGGTGGAAACCTGGACTAGGTGACCTTGCAGGTTTCTTTGAGTCCCGAGAGTCTGTGATTCTTAGAGACACTAAAACCAAACATGGATCACATCCAGGGTAACACCCCCCAGCTGGCAGATGTTTCTCCTTCTGCCTAGAGTACTGCTGCCACTGCCCAGCAGGAGGTGTGGATTTGGGGAGGGAGGACAGAGCCCTGACTCAGGGCTGTTTGCCAACCCTTTGGCTGTGTAGGGGGAGAGGAGGTGGCATGGGGGGAAGATGCCCTGGACCTGGACCACCACGGGGGAATATCCACGGGGAGCCAAGTTCCCCTTCATCTCCTGTGTAAGGTAAGGTGATACTAGCTGTTGTAAAGATAAACTCTGAAATCTCAGTGACTTGATACATTAAACATTTATTTCTTGCTCACATAAAGTCTGATTGTCATTGGTGGGGTCTCTGGTCTACAAAGCTATATATAACCCAGGCTGATAGGGACTCTGCCATCTTCAGCAAGTGGCTTCCAAGTTCACGTTGGGCATTGACATCCAGTTGGAGAGCGTGGAGAGTGGCTAGTAGGATTTTGAGCCAGGCCTGGAAGTACCATGTTTCACTTCTGCCACATTCCACTGGCTGGAACTGAGTGTCACGGCCTCATCTAGAAGTCAGGGGGCCTGGGGCCTATAGTCATGGGAGGGGCAGTCACTTCCTAGCGACAGCTGTGTCCTGTGGAGGGGGCAGCATGAGGCTTTGGCAGACAGCTAGCCATCGCTGATGTCCTCCCACTCCCCACCAGGCTTCCCTCCTTGGGCCTCTGACAACTTGCGCACACACCAGACAGTGAACCCTTTGAGCATCTGCAGTGCCCAGCTCGGTGCCAGGTCACAGGAAGTGCTTTGGGGTATTTGGTCAATGAACAAGTGCCTGTGTATCTTCTTGCTTCTTAAGAAGGCAGATGCCTGGTGGAAAATGGTTTGTTCCTTCCTCGAAAAGTTAAACATAGAATAAGCATACGAGTCAGCAAATCTGCTCTCAGATATATACCCAGGAGAAGAGAGGGACTCAAGCAGATCCTTGCACAGCCATGTTCAGAGCAGTGTCATTCAGAATAGCCAAAAGGTGGGAGCAGCCCAGGGGTCCATGAAGAGGTGGATGGCTAAGCAAAATGGGCAAACAGTGGAATATTATTCGTCCTTAAACAGGAGTGAAATTCCGATACATGCTACAACATGGCGGACCTTAGAGACGTTAAGCGAAGTAAGGCAGACACAAAAGGACAAATACTGTGTGATTCTACTTATAGGAGGAAGCTAGAATCGGCAAATTCATACAGACAGGAAATAGAGTGGTGGTTGCTAGGGGCTGGGGGAGGGGAAAACCGGGAGTTACTGATTAACCAGTGCAGCGTTTCTTCTTGGGATGATGAGAAAGTTCTGGAAATGGATAGTGGTGATGATGGTTGTACAACAAGGTGAATGTACTCCATACTGCTGGGTTGTACACTTAAACATGGTTAAAATGGTATAATAAATTTTATGTTTTTTTGTATCTTTTACCACCATAAAGATACAAATGCCTGAGCTGTATGCCAGTAGATTCCGATTCAGTTAAGATTGGTGAGATCTGGGCTTCTGAATTTTTTCAACAAGCTCCTCAGGTGAATCTGATGTGCAGCTCAGTTTGAGACCCACTAGTCTAGCTCTGGTGGTCGGTAGATGGGGAGAGAAAGGGGTGATCTCTCTGAGGGTCTTCTGGAGGAGGAGGGCTTCTTGAACTTTAATGAACCGCCTGGGGATTTTGCTAAAATGCAGATTCGGATTCCGTGCTCCTGGGGTGAGGCCTGAGATCTGGCATTTCTAACAGGCTCCTGGGTGACGCTGGCGCTGCTTGTCGACACCACATGTTGAGTGTCGAGGCTCCCAAGGACAGACGGTTGTCTTGTCTACGGTGGACAACGTGGAGGCCTGGGGAGGAACAAGCACATTTTAAGATGATTGGCCCAGATACATAGTTTAGTGAGGATGCGCTGGGGACGGATGAGAAGGAGCAGGAGCTCTGCTGATTTTCGAATTAGCTTCTGGGTGCGGGTCAGACAGGCAGGCTTGAGGTTCAGCTAAAGAACATATCAAGGTTAGAGATTATTAGCATATAAAATCATGTGGATTTGGCATAAGTCCGTCTGAATTTCCAGACCTTGTGCTTTATAGGAAGGGGCCTCGCTCAGCTGAACACAAGTTAAACTGGCTCAAGCTTCACTTTTCTGTTGCCTTTCCAAATCCCTCTCACCCTACACAGTCCACCTCAGGTCCCAGGCCTTCTGCAGCCCCCAGAGCTGAATCCTCCCCTTCCGCCACTGCCCCTCGCCCGAGCAAAGTACCTGAGAGCTCCCGATCCAGTGCTGCTTATTGGCTCACCTGCATGGACTGTTTACTGATGTTTCCAAGTCAACTGCTTTCCCACCTGTAAGTCCAGCTTGCTCACCTGGACCTGGCGGACTCCTCATCTAGCAACATCCTGGAAGCAGAGCTGAAATTGAGACTTTGAACATGGGGACACCAGGAAGTATGGCTCAGTAGTTAAGGAATCAGACACTCATGATTCCTTAAATCTTATCTCCAACTCTTCTTGCTCCTCTAACCTCAAGTAAGTTACTTAACTCCTGAAAGCTTTCTGACTTGTCAAGCGGAAATCATGATACCTTTCCCCCAAATCTGCAGTGCGGTAACATGAGCCAATGCAAGGCATGTGTTTTGCTCACCACCTGGCACGTAGTATAGGGATCCATAATGTGTTTTCATGACTGTGTCCCTGCTTTGCAACCGTCAGGCGGGTGGCTCCACCTCCTGTCCACTCTAGCCTCTGTGGAGTTGTTCTTTCCTTTGTGCTGGTTGGAGCCGGGTCTGATTCCTGTTTGTTTCCCCAGTGCCCAGCGTGCAGGGGAGCGGGGTTGGGGGCCTTCCAGGCAGAACGCCTGGGATTGATCCTTATGCTTGCAGTTCTGGAGATGACCTGCAGATGGCGCGCACAGCCCTGGGAGGCGTCCGGTCCTCCCAGAGCCGGAATGAAGCTGGGCTGTCACTGGTGTCTGAAATGAAGGGCCTTGGTTTTCCCAGATGCTGTTAGCTGGCTCTCCTGGGTGGCTCCTGTGTGGGGGGGCTGAGATGGCATTTTCCCATGAGCTTGGGAATAACAAGGAGTACAGAATGCCCGCCCCTTCCCTCTCATGGTGCAACCTGCCTTACCTGGGAATGTAGCTATGCATGGGCGAGACTCTTCTGCATCCCGCACAGGTCAGGTGCTAAGAATGTTTGTGGCGTGAGTTGCTGCTTGGAAGATGCTTCTATTAAAAGCCATGCACCCCGGGCTGCTAGGTGTGATCTGCTTGCATGCTGTGCGGACTCCTCCCTCCCTCTCCAGTTCCCCATCTCAGCGGCTGGAGAGCAGCACGTCCCAGACTCACCTTCCTTCCAGATTCTGGATCCACAACTCAGCCTCAGCTTGAAGTCCTAACTCAGGAGCCCCCTTTGCACTTCCTAAGTGCACTTCCTTTTCCAGGATGCCCCGCCATGGTGCGGGGAGCGGTTCCCCTCCAGACCACCAGCTCCGTGCCCCTGGGCTTTTGCTAGTCTCCTGCCTCTGCCTGTCCAAACCTTCATGTCCGTTGAGGCTCAGCTCACCTGCCACCTCCCAACTCTCTGGTCACACGCAGTGCCTCTGCACATGCACAGCACGTGGCCGCGCCTCCGTGTGGACGCCTTTTCTTCTACCTGGCAGTCAGCCTAGTTGCCAACTCTTTAGAAACCAGGCGAGGTACCTGGGGGCCTGCTGACCTGACTCACTCTGGCTGAGCCCATTCCCTCTCCTCCATGAATGAGCCCCTTTCGCCCCTGTGACCTCCAGTGACCTCTCTCCTCCCTTTGCTCTCACCTTACCTGGACAGTCAGCCCAGAACTTCAGCCCTGGCCAGATACCACAGGTACACCCTCTTCCTCCTTGCTCCCGGTTCAAAGGCATCTTTCCCATAGCTGCTGGGCAGTGGCTGTGGGTAGCCGCGTCCCCCTGGCTACCTGGTGCTCTCCTGGGGGAGAGAAGCTGGTGGACAACCCCTCCCCATCCCAGCCTCTCTGCGCTTGCCTCGTTCCATTGGCCACAAGCTTCCCTCAATTTACAGTGAAGGAAACCGTGGTGCAGAGGGGGTTAAGAGCTTGCTGAAAGCCACAGAGCGGGTCCTTGGGGCCCTTGGGCCCTTGGGGCCCAGCATAGCTCTGGGAACAGGAGAGGATGCACCCTGGCTAATTGAAAGCCTTTTCGAAAGCTTGGAAGCACTGAGTGAAAGCCCGGGCTTCTCACAAAGTCTCTCCCTGAGAGATAGGCAGCCTGGTACAGAGGTCTCTCCGCCCTCCCCACTGGCCCTCGCCAGATGGGAAAAAAGCCACCACGTAGAAACATAACCTTTATTGCACACGGCGCTGGGTCTTTTTTCATAGAAAAAGGTATTAACACATAAGCATCTGCAAATTGAAGCAACTCCTGGTTTTCTTGGAACAGTAAAATCGCATGCAGTGTCTCTGAGTTGGGATTTTGGTCTTTTGTCAAAACCACCTAGGTTGGAGGGGGGTGAGTAGGAGGGAAAAAAATTGCTGAGTCTTTGTGCCTCTGTCTCAAAATAGGGTGAGAGAAATATATAGATATATAGCTTGTCGATGTGTTCCTATCTCTCTATATATGTATATATTATCTCCACGCAGATTTTGGGGGGTGGGGGATTTGACTTGTACTGTCAAATTCTTTGTGCCCTGGCTTCATGGAGAAGAAGAAAATAGTTTCATTTGTACAAAAGAGTTCTATGTACAAGCGTTCATGACTTGGGGGGTTTTCGTCTGTCGGTTTAATATAAATAATGCAGGGAAACAGCCGAGTTGGTGTGAGGGCCGAGGAGCAGCGAGGTCCTGGTGGCGTAGGCAGCTCTTCCCGCCGTGCCCTACACCAGGGTGTAGGATTTGGAGTAGGCCCCGGCCCCCTGCTTCTGAGACCTCCCTACCCCCGACGTGCTCATCTCGAGAAGTGAGTCCCTGGAGCCCCCCATTTTGGTGTGTGGGCCCCCGGCCCGCGGAGGCTCGGAGCTGGGGGCCGGAGGGGCAGCGCTGGGGGCGGCGGGGGGCTCGGCAGGGGTGGGGCCGGGGGCTGGGGGCGCCGTGCCGGCTGGGGGGGCTGGCATGGCCAGAGTCCTCTGAGGTAAGGTGGCCGTGGAGGCGGCAGCGGGGGCCCCTGGGTGCGGGAGGCCCAAGGGCTTGCTGGCAGGGTCCAGGGTCAGGTGGCGAGCCTGGGTGTGGTAGGTTCGAGCCAGGTTTCGGATGGAGGCCTCGCGGGGCGGGACCACGGGGCAGGGCTCACGTCCATCTGCTTTTCGGAAGAAGGCCTCCGACTTGGCGTACAGGGGCAGGTTGCAGTAGTCACCTGGAATCGCAGAGGCAGAGGATGTTGGAGGTAGAGGCCTCTGGGAACAAGCTTGTTCACCTCCGCCCCACCCCAAGCCAATCTTCTCCCTGATCTGGCATAGGAGCCCCTCCACTGCCCGGGCAACAGAGTGGAGGAAGGATCAGGTACTTGACCTCTCTGAGCCTCAGTTTCCTTGTCTGTGAAACGGGGATGATCATATTTCCCTACAGGATTATTGCGAGGAGTGAATGAGATGAATTACGTAAAGTGCTTTATTTTATTTTATTTTTTTCACCACGTTTAATGTAAGCTGTAAAGTGCTTCAATGCAGTGGCTGGCACCTATCACAGTTGCTCAATAAATTGCCACCTATTGTCCAATGATCACTACAGGCTAGTCAGCTTCGGGGGGTGGAGAGCCCACCACTGCTGAGGACGAGGACTTCCTAACAGTTCCGGCTGTCAGAAAGTTTTCCTTTATTCCGATGAGGAAAGGAATATCACTCCCCGTCCCTGCCTTGGTTTCTTAAACTGCCTCCACGTCGCCACCCCTTTGCTCTGTGAGCACCTGCCTCTGTCACCTGCCAGCTGTGCCCGGCACTTTGGATGATCTCATTTCATCCTCACAACAGCCCCCAGGATTGTTAGTGCCTGCCTGCGTTTTGCAAGCAAGGAAACTGAAGTTCAGAGAGATTAAATACTTTGCCCAAATTCACACAGCTAGAAGGAGCACCCTTCAGGACCACTGGGCTTTGAACTTGCCCTTACTCCAGGCTCTTCTCTAGGTGGAAGGAGCCCCCCCATCCCCTCCCCCCTCCACCTGTTAGCATGGCCAGTGCCAAGCAGGCCAGACTCTATGTTGTTTGATGGTCTGTGTTTTGCACTCTGTGACTCCCGTGCCTGCTGAGGGACCCACTCATAATCCTAGACCTGCCCTGCCAACCTCTAAAGGCATATGCAGTGGCCAGGCCCCTGGGTCCGGTGGTGCCCAGGTAGGCTAGGTCACTGTCCACCATGACATAGGACCACTGTGGGTTGACCTGCCAGGTTTGCTCCTTTGGATCTGGATTAGTTCAACCAACACTGAGACCAGAGGCCATTGGCAAATGACCCCATAAGCAGTCTCTTCCCATCCTGGCACAGCTTCAGAGTAAGGGAATGATCAGAATTTAATGAGACCTTACTATATGCCATGCATCTATTTCATTGCTAATGCCCGTTATGACAAAGCAAAGAAGATGCTACCATTGGCATTTTGCAAATGAGAAAATTAAGGCTAGAGAGGTTAGATGACTCGCCCAAGGCCACAGACATGCTAAGAGGGAGAGCCATGGTGCTGGCTCCACTACCCTGCACTGCCAAGGAGCCAAGCTGGGCTGGCAGAAGTCAGATGCTAATGGGACTATATCTAGCTAGGGCTCGTGGGGTAGGGGGCGGGGACACAGCATGGGAGGGGTCTGAGCACTCACTCTTGTTTGCCCGGTGAGGGATGGGCACAGCCACATTTTTGCCCCGGTCGGCATCCTGGGGCTTGGGTGGGGAGGCGGTAAAGCGGCAGATGCCGGGCTCTGAGGGTGTGCTCATGGACGTCATGCTGTCAGCGTTCTCGTTGGTGCCTGTGGTCATCTGGTCAGAGGAGCTGTCAGAGATGAAGCACTCGGTGATCTCGAACTTGGCGTGCTGCAGCTGCTCCTCCAGCTTGGCGTGCTCATAGGCCCGCGCCAGCTCCTCGTAGGTGGAAGAGGCACTCTCTGTGGACACCATGCTGTTCCGGCCTTTGTCTGAGCAGAGAGAAGGCACAGGGTTGAGGACAGGAGTGGGTTATGGGGAGAAGGGTGTAAACCAGACTAGACGGAGCAGGTCCCCTGATCCTAACCCCAGCAGCCGTCTGAAATCCTGGCCGGGGAGAGGACCAGAAGATCCTATGAGGGTGGAAGTGGTGGCAGAAGTGGGATCTTTGGTTAATGAAGCACAGAAAATCTTCTTTCTTGAAAATAAGCAATCACCCCCTGGAACATTCAGACTTTTTTGTCTCAACAAACATCCTTTGTACCACTGTCTCTGACAATTTCTGGAGAGAACAAAATGAAATCTTTGACCAAGCAGAGCTCAGTGGGGTCAAGTGCTTTTGTCCCAGCCACACTGTGAGTCCGTGACCAGCTAGAAATGAAACTCACGTGTGCATTGGGCCCCATGAGCTGGTGGGAAGGAGTTGGGAAGAATGGAAGGTGGGGACAGGTGCTGGGGACCTGGAGGAGGGTGGGCAGGTTGCAGGCAGGGGCCTAGGCACACCTGTGTCCTGGGATAGACTGGCACTGTAGCTATCACTCTCGGTGACAGTGACACCATGCTGAGAGCCCACGGTGCGCCAGTCAGAGGTGAGGGTACGGGCAGGTGTGGAGGCCTGGCACTTGGTCAGGGTCCACTGGCTTGAGTACCGGTTCCGGGTGCTGTGGGCTGACTTCACATTCTTCCTGGACACTGGATCTGCACAGAGGGAAGTGAGAAGTAACACCCTCCCATTGAAGACACTTGGGCTGGGGCAGCTGGTGCTGACCAGAAAGGGCAATGGGGAGCAAGGGAGGGGGCAGAGGCAGCCTCAGAAGCTCCCGTGGGAATGCTGCCCAACTTGCCTTTCCTGACCTCGTGCCTGCCCCTGAGGAGAAGAAGAGCAACAGAGTGGAGGGGTGAGGACAGGGACAGCACCTTGGCTCTCCCTACTCACCCCTATCTCTTCTTCCCACTGGGGGAAGAATGTGATACCTCTCCTGCTGCCTCCTGACTGTCCACTCATTCCCTATAGTCCTTGTTGTATCCTGTCCTTATGTCCAGAGTCACAGTACTAGACATAGAAGGCCCTTGGAGAACAAGCATTCCCAACCTTCTCAAAATTTCTAAGGTAAGGCAACTGAGGCCCAGAGGGGTAAGGTGAGCGATATGCCCAAGGTCACTGCTAGTAAGTCTGCAATTGAGATCTCCAAACTCTAACTCCAATGCTCTTTCCATTCTATTCCATTTTGCTCCTGCTTCTCCCCGACCCACTTCCTTTTTTTTTTTTTTCACCTCTGCCCCATGCTGTGCCCAAGCCACCCTGTGTGAGAAGGTGGCTGTCCCCCTGGGAATAATGCATACTGGTTCCTGGCCGGATGTCAGACATGTCGATGAGGGGTCCTGTGCTCTGGATGAGAGCCGGGTGGTGCAAGGAGACACCAGTGCAGAAACTCTGCGGATTGACGGCTTGGCTGAACTCGGCATCCGTCACGGGGATGGTGGCCTTGTCATCTCCTAGGGGAAGGAAGACAATCACCAGGAGTCCTCCCCAAATTTGTCTTTACTTCCCAAATTTCTCTTTGTTTTTATCCAGTGATGAGTCACAGAAAGGCCTGTAATTCCCCACACTGGGCAAAGAGGAAACTTAGCCCTGGAGAGAAGCTGCAGTGAGTTCCAAGGTTGTTGGGTTGTTGATAGGGCTAGAACGCTGGGCACTGCCATGGGGGCTGGTGGCTGCCCTCCATGGGTTGTGGCCTGGGGAAGCACACCCAGAGCAGGACAGACAGCTCGTGGCACCTGTCACTCACCCAGCTGCTTGATGCCCTCTTTGTCCTCGATGAGCAGCTGGACCCTGGGGATGTCGATGTGTAGCCGTGGGCCCTGAGGTGGCCCTTTCACAGGGGTGTCAAAGCTTCGGTTGTTCTTGCTGTGGGGAGAAGGACAGGAGCTGGTGGCTCAACAGCCATAAGGGATAGGGGGCGGGGGGTTTGCAGGACAGTGGGATCTTAGAAGCCCGGCTCCTACCATGGGAGCACAGAGGGAAGTCCTGAGTCCCCTGCAGGGGAGAAGGGGAAGGGGAGAAGAGAGGAAGCAGCTCAGTGATACCCACCTTATCAACATTTCTGCCAAACTCTTTGCATCTGTAAAACAACAGAGAGAGGCCCTGGGTGAGAATGGAGTTTGAGCAGGATGACAATTGGAAAAGGACTGGGGAATAAGGTGGGAAAATTCCCTAAAATGGGGCTGGGGCTGGTCTCCCAAGAAGCAGAGGAGAAATACAAGGACCTACAAAACAGCCCAGACATGATGAGGTTTCATTGCTCCCAATTCAGGATTTGCTTGAGTCTGTTTTCCTTTCCTCAGATCTTTATCTAATAGGGAGACCCTTCCCAAAGCATAGTAAGTCGTCCATCTACTTCATTAATTGACTCTGATTAAACAAGGCACCATACAGCCGGCTGGAAATATGCATCAGTGGAGGGTCTATCCTCAGTTACCCACTGGAAGAAGAGCCTGGAGGGTGAAGTCGAGGTGGTCAATGGGAAGCCCCAGATGACTACATTTTCTTATCAGCCCAAACGCTTCACTTCTCCTCTAGGGTATCTGTCCCCGAAAAATCCATGCGTGGATTTAGAGGTCTCTGCTTTGTCTCAGAGGAGCCTTGAACTCCTCTGATCAGGACTCTCAGGTTGGGAATTTGGAAAGGAGGAGAATCAAAGGGCCTAGTTAATCCAGCAGACCCTTGATAACTGAGAATGATCTGTCAGAGTGAATCTTGATAGCTGCATGTATGCATCCAACTATCTAACCATCCACCCATCTACCCATCCATCCATTGAGCTATCCACCACCATTCATCTACCTACCCAGCCACTCATTCATCTATCATCCACTCATTCAACCATTTATCCATCTATCTATTGATCTAACCATCCACCCATGCATCCACCCATTCATCCATCCAACCATTACTTATCATCCACTTATTCAACTATTCCTCCATCCATCCAACCATCTAATCATCCATCCTATCATCTAATCATCGATTCAACCTTCTACCCATCCATCCAACCATACATTCAACATCCATCCAGCCACTCTTCTATTTATATATCCAATCTTCCATCTGACCATCCATACCATCATGCAACTGCCCATCTATCCATTCATTCATTTATCCCACCATTCTAACTATTCTTTTTTTTTTTTTTTTAGACAGAGTCTTACTCTGTTGCCTGGGCTAGAGCTAGGCATTAGCCTAGCTTACAGCAACCTCAAACTCCTGGGCTCAAGAGATCCTCAGCCTCTCGAGTAGCTGGGACTACAGGCATGTGTGACCATGCCTGGCTAATTTTTTCAATATATTTTTAGTTGGCCAATTAATTTGTTTCTATTTTTTAGAGACAGGGTCTTGCTCTTGCTCAGGCTGGTTTCGAACTCCTGACCTTGAGCGATCTGCCCGCCTTGGTTTCTCAGAGTGCTAGGATTACAGGCATGAGCCACTGGGCCTGGTCCTGTAACTATTCTTTCATCCAACCATCCATCCATTTTTGTCATACATCTATCCATCAAAATATCCATCTATTTAAGCATCCATTCAGTCATCCACCCATGTAGTTAACTGTTCATACAATCATCCGTTATCTTTCCATTCAACAATTCAGCCATCCATCCATCCATCCATCCATCCATCCATCCATCCATCCACCCACTTATCCATTCATCCATTCTTTCAACCATATGTCCATACAACCACCTATCCATCCAACCTTTCATTCAGCCACCCATACAATCATCCTTCCATCTATACATCCTTCTGTCCAACTATCTACTCAACCATCCAACCACCCATCCAGTTATCCTTTCATTTATACATCCTTCCACCCAACCATCTATTCAATCATCCATCCATCTAATCATCAACCATCCAGCTATCCACTAAACCATCCATTCATCCATCCACCCAATTCCTGAACACCCTAGGGAGCATTAATCATTCCCTCTTCTGTGCTATTATTATCCACTGGCTTATCACATTAGACCATGAGCTCCATAAGGGTGTGACCCATCCCTTCTTCATTTATCTCTATGTCTATATTTTCTGGCAGTATCTATGATGTAACAGACCCAATAAATGTTTTCCAAATAAGGAAATGAACATTTATGCAGCAACTAATAGGTGCCAGACACTGTATTAGACCCTGGGAAAATTCAGGTAAATCAGACCCATTCATGCCAGGCCCTGGTGTCAGGTGTTGAAAAGGGGGATGGTATTCAAAATATTTAACACTGACTTGGCAGGGAAATTGCCCAGTCAGGACTGAGCATGTTCCTAGAGACTCTCTGTGGGTCTATAATCCCTAGTGGCTGGATCCTAGGAAAGTTGCAGGGATCCATGCTAGAGAATGGAGCATCCAGGGTAGGAGGGAGCAACATCTATTTACCAGCCAACGTGGAAATGTTTCAAGATTTTCACAATCAGTACGGCTTTACCAGAGTGTGCCTCTAGCTGTCACCCCTGAATGGGGCAGGCACAAGGTGCTGGGGACACAGAGGAGGACGATGGTGAGCAACTGAGGAGGTTTCAGAAGGTCTGAGTGGCAGCCCTTCCTTCATGGGGACATGGGCCCCTCCCTCCTCCAGGTGGTGCCGTGAGCCATGGAGGGTGGCCGTTGTCTGAGTGACACCCCTCCTGGAAGGCCCGCGGGAAACTCTCTCACCTCGGAGTCGCTTCAGCCGCTTCTCTTTCCTCTTCTTGCGGACGACGAAGAGCAGTGCCACCCCCAGCGTGGCCAGGATGACGGGGCAGCCGATGGTGAACAGCTTCTTCACGTCATCCCCCTCGCCTTGAGCAGACTTGATGGGGGGGATGGTGCCTGCGTGGGGCAGAGGAGGGGATCCAATCCATCGATGTCCCTTAGCAGCCAGGCTAGGCGGAGTCCCACGGTGAGCTAGCCCTTTGACCTCGCTGCTGCCTTGGTGTCTGACCTCCTCCGCCTGGCCCAGGGCTCCCGCCCTCCCCGCTGCTCCCAAATCTGCTCCCATCAGGACAGCCACGAGCAGCTGTGTCGTTTTTACTTTGCCTTCCGCTAATGACTTCCTGGTACTGTTTCAGATTTAGCCTGAAGTCTCCCCGAGTTAGTCTCCTGCCTGCTGGCATTTAGTGTTCAGTCCTAGAGCGTGCATTGATGGGGTTACATTCCCACTTCCAGCCGCCGGGTGGTGGCAAAGGGAGAGTGCAGGAGGGGGAAGTCAGGGCAGCGGGACCCTGGTTCTCTTACCCAGATGGGGACAAAACCCACTAACACCCTGCACCTCTCACTGCTCCTTCTTCCCATGGGTGACATCTGTGGGGCTTGGGTGTCGTCAGGGAGGCGTGACAGGCTCTCCTGCTGACACAACCCCCTCCAGCCCTGACCCTTGCCTGATTCACAGTTTTGCTTGAGTCCCCTCCTTCATGGAGCCTTCCGTGTGGGAAGGCCATCCCATTCTGATACTGCCTTTACTCTGTTTCCTAAACACATAGGGGGACTTGTGACAACGGGCCCCTCTGAATTCAGCCTTCTGTGTTCCTGCAATGTCTCTGTGCACATGCATGTGTGGGTGCATGTGTGTGAGGCATCCCTGTGTGGCAGATACCGGTTAATGTCCCCCACATGTCCCTGTGCTTGTCTGCATTTCCCCGACTTCCTTGCAGTTAGATGGGAACCCATGGCTAGCTCTGGACGGCAGTGTGACCGGAAGTGCTGCATGCCACCTGCTGGCCAAGGCAGTAACAAACTGGAGTGCCTCTTCTGTTTCTCTCTTTGGCGACCCTGGAGGCTCCATGTACAAGGAGGCACAGCTAAAAAGATGGTGGCCGGCCAACCCTCACAGGACTTTAGCAAGAAACAAATCTGTACTGGGTTAAGCCACCAGGTTTCCAGTGTTTGCTACTGCAGCTTAGTCGCTCCCGTCCGGGCTGATGTTCCACATTAGCAGACAGCTCCTAAAGGGCAGGACTTCACCTGCAGCTCTGCCTCCTTCCCCATCACCCTGGAGCTCTCGTCTCTGGTGTTACTGACCTGCCTCCCGCCCGCGTGTCTGTCCGTCTGTACTGGCCGCCGGTACATCTGCCCACTTGCCTGCCTGCTCCTTCGCCTGCCGGCCAGCCTTTCCCCTGCCTGCATCCCTGCCTGTTTTTCTACTTGTCTGTCTCTTTATTTTATTTTATTTTATTTTTTGAGACAAAGTCTCACTTGCAACCTGGCTAGAGTGCCGTGGCGTCAGCCTAGCTCACAGCAACCTCAAATGCCTGGGCTCAAGTGATCCTCCTGCCTCAGCCTCCCAAGTAGCTGGGACTACAAGCATGCGCCACCATGCCCAGCTAATTTTTTCTATATATTTTTAGTTGGCCAATTAATTTGTTTCTATTTTTAATAGAGACGGGGTCTCGCTCTTGCTCAGGCTGGTTTCAAACTCCTGACCTCAAGTGATCCTCCCGCCTTGGCCTCCCAGAGTGCTAAGATTACAGGTGTGGGCCACCGTGCCTGGCCTATTTGTCTGTCTCTTTATGCGTCTGCCACTCCGCCCGCTTCCCGGGCACCACCCTGCTCCAGCCTCCGTGCCGCCCCTCCCCCATCGCCCACTCACTGCCGTCGTAGTCCAGGGTGGCGAACTGGGCGGTCTCGTTGCCGCAGCCGGCGCTGTTGCAAGCCCTCATGCGCAGCTCGTACCAGGTGGCCTCTCGCAGTTCTGTCAGAAACACCTCCCCGGAGCTGTTGGCCCGGAGGCCCTGCCAGGCCCAGGTCCCCTTGGGCCGGTACTCCAGGACGATGGCTGTGATGGGGCAGCCCCCGTTGTTCCAGCCCTGCAGGTTAAGCCGAGCATGCGTGGAGTTGATGTGGGTGAAGAGGTGTTGGTCTTTGCTGAAGGAGGGCTCTGGGGGCCGGAGGGAGAGAGAGAGGTTAGAGACTGAGCGGGAGGGAGGATGTCCCTGGGGCAGCTGGGACCGCAGTGGCCCTGGGGGGATAAGTGGTTGGCACAGAGAGGAGTGGGGATGCCCCAGGGAGGAGAGGGAGGAAGAGGGGGAGAGGAAGAGAGGGGGAGGGCCTGGAGAGAGGCCTCAGCAGAGGGGAGGTTTAGGGGGTGGAGAGGCAGATGAGTGCCACACTCTGCCAGCCTGGCTAGGAAGTGGGACCCGGTTCTTCTACGGGCTTCATCAGGATGCTCTGGTGATGGGAAGGCTGAGTCTCCCTGTGTCCCCGGGCCCCTCCTCCCCACGCCCCCAGCCATCTTGCACCCATGCCCTGGGCCCCCTAAGCCCCCCGCCCCAGCCCGACTCTCCACCCCCAACCAGTGTCGCCCGGGCCTCACCCCGCCCGTGGGTCTTGGCCTCGATGATCTCGCTGATGCGCCCAGAGCCCACGCTGTTCTTGGCCGCCAGCTTCACCTTGTACCACGTGCCGCACTTGAGGCTGTCCAGCTTGAAGGACCGCTCGCTGGAGCTGATGAACACGTCCTTCCACTCCTCGCTGTTGTCCACTGAGTACTGCAGCACGAAGCCTGCCCGGGACGGGTGCCTGGCTCAGTGGGGCAGGGCGGGGCAGGGCAGCAGGAGCCCGGCCTGGGCTCCCCCACAGACCACCCCTGCTGGGCTCCAGGCAGGGGCAGAGTCATCCAAGGGGCATATGCAAATTAGCTGCAAAACTGGAAGGCCCCTGGCTCCAGCCCCTGGGCCAGTGTCTCTCTTGGGCTCCGGGGTTGGGGTTTAGGGCCAAGGCGGGGAGGGGAGCAGAAGGGCAGACCTGTGAAGTTCACAGGGGTCCTGTTTAGACCCTGGCTGCTCCACGTGTGGGCCCTGAGCAGCAGCAAGAAATGCGCACTCTGAGCCCCCGCCCCAGACCGGCTGGAACAGAGTCTGCACTTGTACGGACGCCCTGGTGGTTCACGTGCACGTTCAAGGTGGGGAAGCCCTGAGCACATTTGTCTCCCTTGACAGACAGGGGAACCGAGGCCCAGAGAGGAAGACAGACTTAATGCTCCAGGCCCGAGCGGCTCACAAGAGGTGGGGTGGGGGCAGGGGCTGTATTAAAGCCCAGACACGGCTGGTGCGCTTTCTGTGGCACTTGAGTAATTTCCTTGTGGCTGAATCACTCTCCCCCCAGTCATTTCCTGGGTGTTACAGGGACAGTTGGTGGGAGTGGGTGAAGCTCTCTCCCTGCCCCAGGGTCCAGAGTTCCTCCCACATCTTCCCCTCCTGCTCCAGGCCCTGCCTCACCTCGGATGGAGCTGCCCCCGTTGTCACCCGGAATCCAGGTCAGGGTGATGGACGAAGCTGAGGTTTTGGAGACAGTGAGGCGGGGCTGGTCGGGGGGCACTGCGAGGGGAAAGCCACCAGCCATCAGCACCAAGGGTGAACCCGACGATGGGGCGTCGGGCCGATGGCAGCAGGTACTGGCTCTTCCAGGCTCCCCCTGCTGTTCCCCACCCCTCCTGCCTCCCGTCTGCCCGCTGCTCTGCCCCACCTAGGATCAGTCCCCAGACAGAGACCCATAAGCATCCAGGACCCCTCAATCTCACGTGATGGAATTCCTACCCCTTCTCCATCCCTGTCCCCGCCGAGCCCGCGAGTCCCACCTTGCACCAGAAGGTTGACGATGATGGTGTCGAAGCCGCCGGTGTTGGTGGCCGTGCAGGTGTAGTAGCCCGAGTCCTCGGCCTTCACGGCGCGCAGCAGCAGGGTGCCGTTGGTGTGGATGAGCCGGTGCCCGTCCATGGACACGGGGATGGCCGAGTCTTCGCTGCAGGGCGAGGGGGGGTTATGGGAGGCAACCCTGATCTTGAGGCCCCTCCCCCCAGGTGCATAGGCAAATAGAGTTGGGAGTGGAAGGAGGCTTCCCAGGGGACCCTGGGTTGTTGGGGTTTTGCTCAGCCCTTCCTGGGGCATCCAGTCACCGTGGCCTCTTTAGCCACCCAGGGAAGGGTCCTTGGCTCCCAACTGACGGGAACCAGGGGGTCAGGCCTGCTCGGGAGAGCAGTAGCTGTGGGCCCTGCAGGGCCTCTGCCGGCGGGAGGGACACCCCAGACTCTCTTCATCACGACTCTTCTGCTGCACCCCTCTCTGGGGTCCCCATCCCTCCAGGGGCTCGCCACTCACCTGTCCTTGGTCCACTTCACGGCAGGGGCTGGATCGCCCACTGAATTGCAAGGCAGCCGGACGTCTTTCATCCAGGGTGTCGTCACGGTGCCCCCGAATGAGATGATCTTTGCTGGGGCTACAGGGAAGAGAGGATGAGGGTCACCCCACTTCTACCCCGCACATGCCCTGGGCCCCCTTTCTCAGGGCTCCCCAGATTTACAATTCAAATCTCCCCTCCCCTGCCTGACCTCCACTCTGGGCTGGGGCGGGGGCGGACCTCAGGGCGTTTCGGCTGGGAGCGAGTCAACAGACATTTATCAAATGCCTCTCAAGGAGTAGGTATCGCATGAGGCTGTGAGGTTCAAAACATGAATAAGATCTATTCCCTGTCCTCAAGATGTCTAAGAGGGAGACAGACACGCTAAAAGTCATTACAGGGTGCAAAATGCTCTGGTGGGCGTAGGTACGAGTAACCAGGGAGCACTTGTCTGCCAAGTGAGTGGTGGGGGCGTTGGCCAGGGAAGGCTTCTGGAACTGGAGGCTTTTTTTAAAAATAGGGTCTCACTCTGTCTGTCACCCAGGCTGGAGTGCAGTGGCATGATCATAGCTCACTGCAGCCCCGAACTCCTGGGCTCAAGCCATCCTCCTCAGGCCTGGATTTAAAGAACCAAGTGCCCGGGCGCCAAGAAGGTCAGAGGGGGCCCTGGAGCTGGGGACCTTCCTGGGTGGCGGGACAGTGTGAGGTGGGTGAGACAGCAGCTGGAGGCTGGGGTGCAGGCTTGGAGGCGACAGGGCTTAGCGTGGAGGGGTCTGGGGGGCTGCCGAGGGGAGGGAGAAGGGCTGCTGGGGCCAGACGGACTGGCCAGGCAGCGGGGCCTCCACAAGGGGCGTTGAGGAGAGTTCGAGGTTCTCAGAGACCTGGCTCCAGACCTGGTCCTGCCGCGGGCTGGGCTGGCTCCCTGCGCCCTGTGACAGTGCGCGAGTGTGCATGTGTGCCGGAGTGCGTATGGGCCCAGCGGTGCTTGTCTGTCCTACCTCTCGCGCCGCTGTGACGGGAAGGTGTTCTAGGAAGTACCGAGCTGTCTAGGAATGTGTCCTATTAACGCCCACAGAAGGGACCAGCCTTCTGTCGAGATGCTCAGGTCCTCAGACCCTGGCCTCTGGGCCAGTGCCAGCTGTCCTGAGAGGGCCGCAGGCTCCAGGAGAAGGGCTTGGTTGTGACCAGGGAGGAAGGGGGTGGTGGCGCTGAGGTGGTGTGGAGAGAGCCCTGACTCGGAGCTAGGAGAGCCAGCCCACCCCGTCTCAGCGGGGCATGGACAACACCCCGGCTGGCGGGGCAGGGCTGAGGCTCCTGAGTCTGAGCCGGGAGAAGCTCAAGTCAGCCCAGGAAGGGTGGCTGGGCTGAGCAGGCACACCCCTCCTCGTCAGTCTGGGCCCTGGGACGCCGGGGCTACAGAGCCAGGGGTGCCAGTCGTGGCGGGGGAGGAGACGGAAGGGCCCAGGGAGGCCCAGAGGCCAGTAGAGGACCCACAGTCCCTGGCTGTTGTGGCCAGTACCTACGCCCCAGGCTCGGGACAGGCTCAGCTGTTATTCTTCAGAGAAGTAGGGGTGCAACCCCACACTCTTGTCCAGGTCAGGGATGGGGGAGGCACTACTAAGAAAGTGTCACTCTCCTCCTTTGTGGGGGCCCCTCCGTGTCTGCCGTAGGTGGCAGGAATCAGCAGTGCCTGGAACCGCCTGTGCCCCAGGGGTCCAGGCTTCTGCGGGGGTCGGGGGGGGGGCTGTCCTTGAGCCTCAGCTGCTCGGCTTGGCTCTATGTGGGGGGGACTCCTCCTCTTTCAAGCCGAGAGCAGGGTTTGGAGCAGGACGAGGTGCAGGAAACCCACCCGCAGGGCCGGAGGGCCACAGCCTGCTGTGAGGGCTCCCTGAGTCAGGGGGCAGCAGAGGCCCAGAGTTGGGGGACGCGGGCAGGCGGGAGGCGAGTGGCCAGTTCCTCCTCGCGGCCAGGTCACAGACAGAGCGGAGGGGAGAGAGCCCCTACTGGGGAACCAGAATTCTGGAAGGGAGCTTTTGTGGGCGCCTGTGCCCCTGCCCCTGCCCTGGCCCCGGGCTTCTCACCCTTGCCAGCTGGCTCGATGGTGACCTTCTCGCTGCTGTTGCCCCGGCCGGCGGAGGTGACGGCGGCCACCCACAGCAGGTACTGCTGCCCGCGGTTTAGGTGGGCGATCCGGTAGAAGAGCTGCTCAGGACTCGTCTCGTACTCGCTGGGAGCCTGCGGGGCAGAGGCGAAGAGACCCTAAGAAGCAGAACCCCCCCAGGACTCCAGCGTCCAAGTCCTCCGTCCCCAGCGCCCTGGGCCCTGGGGAGAGGCAGGGCTCGGTCCAGCTTGTGCTCCCCAAGTTTTGAAGCCGAAGTGGACGGTTTGCACTGGGCTTGGCCCCTGCGAGCTGATAGGCCTGCTCTGCCGTGTTGCTGGGCCAGCCTCGGTTTCCCTCTCTGGTTGATCCGAAGAGGTAACTGTGGCTTCAGTCCAAGGAATGTGAGAGTTTGGGGTGGGGGACGGCAGGGGGGAGGCGGGGAGGGAGGTCAGGAGGAGGGAGAATGGGGGAGGGAGGGAGGGTCCCAGGAAACCCCGAGAAAAGAAAGAGTGTTTGGGAAGAAGCTAAATTACTGCCTCTGCCTTATTAGGGTGGTAGACAGGCTCCCCCAGCCTGTCCCCGGCTCAGTCACCTCCCAGCCCTGCCGTCTAATTACCGCTCCTTCATTCTGCAGGCAGCAGGCGGCAGGCGGCAAGGCAAGCCGTCGGGGGAGGAAGGGGCGGGAGAGGAACCGTGAAAGCTTTGCTGGGCTGCACTTTATTAATGATTATTAGTGGTATGGATCGCCATATATATTTGTAGGTTATATAAATCTATAAATTTTTTTTTAACAAAATGACAGTTTTGACAAGTTGCCAACAAAACAATATCGGATCCCAGTGGTTTTACCAGTTGCTTTGATGAAAAGATTATGTTGCCTTGGAAACCAGAGGCTCAGATATTGAAATGAATTTGAGAAGGAGCTTTTGATAAGCGCTAGTTTGCAGACCTCCTGTCAGCCTCTTCCCTGGTACGGGCGGGATGGGGCTGACTTTCATTTTATTTTATTTTTTTGTCAGCCGCGGGGTAGGGAGAGGAGGACAGCACTGGGGCCCCTTTGAAATCAGAGTGGAAGTCCAGGGAGGGGGGGCAGCCCTGGAACAGATGGGGGCCCCCGAGGCCAGAGGGAGCTGATAATTAGTTATCTCCACAGTCACGGGATCTTGCACACACACATGCTCACACACACAGACATGCAGATGCATGCACGCACGTGCCAGGGGACAGACCTCCAGATAGACATGGGGCCACAGGGGGACGTTTTCCATGCCCCATGGGAGGGCTGAGGGGCCCAGTGACTTAAAATAGGAGAAAACATCCTTTTTGGCCCCAGGCTGTCCGCAGGGAAATGTTAGGGAGAAGGCACAGGCGTCTCTGGCACACACACAGAGCTCCCGAGCAGACTCCTCCTCCTGCCCCCTTGTGGGCGTCTGGCCTTGAACCCAAGAAGTCCCTGCTGGGACCGGTTGCGGGGCCCCCTTGGGCCTTGTTGTTTGGGAGGTTTTTTCGGGTTGGGGCCGGTTGGCCGGGTTTTGCTTTTTTTTGTTTCCCTTTTGGGGTTGGGTTTTGGGTTGGGTTGGGGGTTGCACCCCTTGCTTGCCTTTTTTCTTCGGGTTTTGCCCCTTGTTTTCCCCGTTGTTTTTTGGGGCCTCAGTTTTCTCCTGCAAACCAGGAAAGCAATATAGCTCTGCCTACCCTGCGTGGTGACTGCGAGGTGCAGTGAAGCAAGGGGTGTGCAAGTCCTTTGTAAACTGGGACGTGTTCTTCTCTGGGCTTAGTTTTGGTGAGGATAGAGGAGTGTGTGTGTGTGTTTGTGTGTACACATGCATGTGCATGTGTGGAGAAAAGTTGAGTCTACTTGCTTGTGTGTGTCAGTGTGTGTACCAGAGTGTACATCCTGCCTACACAGGACAGGAAAGTTTGGCTTCCCCTTGAAGGTATTAGCATCTGACCCAGATCCTGGGTGCCTTTCTTTTAACCTGGACTCCCTATGAATCTCCTGAAATAACCTTCAGAAGCACATAGTCATATGCCAAATAAAGTCCCAATGGATCAAAGTTTTTTAAAAGAGGCAAACTATGAAAGAAGAAACTATAGGTAAATATTTCTGTTTGTCTAATCATGACAATAAAGGCAAAAAATCATAAATGGAAGTGATAAATTTGAATTCTTTAAAAAAACCTATAGTTCAACAAAAACAGAATCAAGAGGTAAGCAATGAACTGTCAAATAATTGCAACTTACATGATAGCAATGGTTATCCTTAATATGTAAAGAGCATTTACAAGTCAATAAGAAAAGCATGAGAAATGCAAATAGAAAAATGGACAAAGGACATGAATTGATGATTACCCAAAGAAGAAAAATATAGCCAATAAACATATAAAAATAATTCACCTAGCTAGTAATCAAAGAAAAGCAATTTAAAATAAGATACCTTTATAAAAATTCAGCCAACAGAAATAAAAACAAATAAAAATGAACCTGAAATCAGCACAGGTGCAAAGGACAATGCTGCTGGTTCATACCAACATGCAACAGGTACCTACAATAGTGGTGGAAAAATAAATTTGTGCAAACTTTCTGAAGGGCAATTTGTAAATGTGTATGCAAAACCTTAAGAATATTCACATTCTTTCTGACTCAGGAATTCCTATAGAAATTTACTCTAAGAACATACTGAAATATGTGCAAAAAGACTTGCAAAGAATATTCACTGAAGTACTATAATGCTGAAATGGTGAAAATTTGAAAGAGACATTAAATATAGAATAATGGGGGAACTGGTTAAATAGATTATGTACAAACAGCCACGTTTATGTTTTAGGTCATGGTTTTTAGAAGACTATTTGATGGTGTGGGAAAGTACCTACATGCATTACATGAAGTAAGCAGATACATAACACTATATAAAATTTTATTTTAATTTTGCTAAAGAAAACCCCCAAACAACCTATAACATATGTACCCTCAAAGACTCGAAGGCTATATACCAAAACATCACCAGTGTTTATCTTTAAGAAGTGAAAGTACAAGTAATTTTTACTTTCCTTTTTATTCTTTTATATATCCTACAGAATTTTCTATGATAAAATGGCATTATTTTTATAATCAGAGGACAACAACAAATGTACTAAAGTATTTGGCAAAATTTCTGCCAGGACTCAATGCAGCTGTGACCGTCCCCAGCGGGTCACCCCCCGAGTGCCAATGCCACATGCACTTCTGTCCTGAGGATTCCACACGTACATGCTCACACGCTCCCGGCCGCGAGCAGTCGAACACACTCAGGTAGTCAGGCCTTCACTCGATAACCCCGACGCTAGATACCGGCGGGTTTGCGATTGTCACCTAGTGGTGCCGCTCACCCCAGGCATCCCGGCGCAGGGGCTGGGTCGGCGAAAGAGGTGAGTTTGCAATGCAAAATTTTGGAATTTGGAATCTATCGTGGTGCACTAGTGATAATGTCACAGCATGGTGGTTGGCTCCCTAGGCTCCGCCTACGTACGTTCAAGCCGTTGCGTCCCTCCCCTGGTATCCCCAGTGCCCCCTCGAGAGAGATGTGGCGCACTCGCCGCTCTGCATGCCCACAGGAACCGCTGGGTGTTGACTCCAAAGAATCTCTCCACGGAGAGGAGGGGCTTCCTATGATGCTCAGGACAGCCAAGAGGGTGGGAGAGGGTCCCCGTATCTCCGGGAGCAGGAGGGGCCCTGTGGTCGGGACCAGGACTCGTGTGTCTGGGGCTTGGGAGAGGGTGCTGCAAGCCACCCCACTAGGGGCCTCCTGTGAAGCCCCGAGTTATTGTGTGTGGTTTATGTCACCTGTGTGTTGTTGTGAAAGACTTCAGTCATCCGAGGAGGAAACAAGCGCAAACCCAGCTGGACAATGACTTACGCCTTCCCCCATCAGTAAGGGAATGCAACCGGTTGCCCAGTAGGCTAAGGCGGTATACAGGCTGCTGCTTATTAATCATTGTTCTAAGTTTCCGGGTGGCTGCTCCTTATTAATTCATCAGACGTGTATTAGTGACCACAAACGTTCCGGTCA